TTGCCAAAGGGGGCGTGCCATGGTTGTGAGAATAAAGAGCGAGCTGGGGGAGATGAAGAACACCAAGAAGCTGCAGGCCGACCCCGTGAATGTCAAAACTGCAACTAAGAGACGGCAGCTTGGAATAACAGTTCAGTCAATAATTGTAGTATGTGTTTTATTATCTCTTCAACTGTGTTCTTGAGCCTGCCCAAAACATCTTTGCAAACTGCACTGGGCCAGGTACGAGAACAGCCGGCGCTGCAACATCCGTGTGCGACTCACCAAGGAAGAACTATTGAATCTCCAAAACCATGATGAGTTGCTTGCTGAAGTAGATCGGCTGCGGCTGGACAATGACTCCATGAAGAAAGAATTAGATTTCTGGACCAAAAGCACTACCATGGGTGCACGGGACTGGTGTGACCGTCTCCGCCAGGCTGAGCAGAAATTCCGTGAAGCAGCTGAAAAGAACGCGCGGCTTGAAGAGGCCCTGCGTGATTTAAACAGCAAGTTGGACCAGCTTGCCCTTATGACAAACTGCGCTCGCGCAGTTTGTTTTGAGGCGAAAGCAGCCAGCGCCAGTGCCTGAGGCAAACCTGGCAGCTGCCATATGACGGGGTCTTTTCCATTGGCATGGGGCAATGCCGGAAAAAAAGAGAGCAGCTGCGCGTTCACGGCCTTTTGCTTCTTGCTTATCGGCTGCTAAGGTGGCCAACGATTGTAACCAGTAGGCTGCCAAGTTCCCCTGCTGCATGTTTCTGCCCAAGCGGATCCCGCCCCTTCCCTCTTGACTTTCTTCTTTGGGGTCCTTTTGGCCATGCAGCAACGCAAGTCAAGTTCAAGCCACCTCGGAGTAAGAGCGCATCCCAAAATTCTTCCCCCCCCCCCTCCCTCCCCAAGATTTTCGGCAAAAAAAACACTTCCGAAAAACGGATTGTTTTGACAAAGAACGCGCACGCGAAAAAACAAGGTGTTCGGTCCAAAAAAAGCACCAAACAAAAAGGCATAAAAAGCATGTCCTTAATGACCGGCCAGCCCATGGCTCAAATATTCAGTCTGGCAGGATCAGGAGTGGGTGCGGATCTATACTCCAGGACAACCTCAGCTGTGGCAACCAGAAGAAGCCGTACCTGACCTACCAGACAACTCGTTTCGGGAGTGGAAGCGGGTAACTGATCCCATTGGTGGGACTGGTGAACACAGTCAGGCGTGGACAATTCGCGACTGGCAACATCAAGGTTACCAACGCATTCTTTCTCGCTTTGAGTCCTTCTCCACTCATCAAGCCCAGGATCAATCACTTGTTGACGTGCAGAATTCGGACATCATCCGAGTCGAGGAGATGTTCACCTATGCCCCCCTATTTCTGACGGTGATCGCTCGACTGCTTTGCAACTTCCTCCGGTTGCTACCGCGTTTATCTCTTCGACTTGCGGGTTTGAGTGTTCAAATCATGTTGGAGCAAGATGTGCAGACATTCATAACTTGGACCCATGGAGCGCAGCCGACGTGGTTACAGTTTCACGGGCCTGGTACATTGCTTGACAGACCAGTTTTCTTGTGTAGTTGCTGGTTGTGCATGGTTGTGCATGGTGACTGTTTCTTTGCTAGCTGGATCGGAACCCGCGGTACGCCCTGTCTTTCACTTCGGCATGGACATCGAGGATGCAACTCAAACGTCGGGCCGAACCACTGAGCAGCACCCATGGCTCAAATATTCAGTCTGGCAGGATCAGGAGTGGGTGCGGATCTATACTCCAGGACAACCTCAGCTGTGGCAACCAGAAGAAGCCGTACCTGACCTACCAGACAACTTGTTTCGGGAGTGGAAGCGGGTAACTGATCCCATTGGTGGGACTGGTGAACACAGTCAGGCGTGGACAATTCGCGACTGGCAACATCAAGGTTACCAACGCATTCTTTCTCGTCATCAAGCCCAGGATCAATCACTTGTTGACGTGCAGAATTCGGACATCATCCGAGTCGAGGAGATGTTCACCTATGCCCCCCCCCCCTTTTTCTGACGGTGATCGCTCGACTGCTTTGCAACTTCCTCCGGTCTTCTATGGCGACACCCGTCATGCTCATCGTGGTGATGCATGATTGTGTATTGGCGCTGCTTGTTGCATGTTTGTTGCATTGCTTGCTGCTTCCGCAGTTTGAGTTGCCCACTGATTGAAGCACCCTTCCTTTCCAGCCATATTGTACACTGGAATGGATCATGGTGACCTTTTACGAGAATGCCGGCTTATGCTGCACGCCATCTCGTCGCAGATCAGTATTCTTGTGGCTGGACTCCAACGTCTCGAAGGTCAGCAACGGCATCCGCAGCCGCCTCCTCCGCCACCAGCACCTGACGGTTCCGGCCACATCGGTCCGACCAACTTATCCAACGCTGCCCATCACGCTTGTGGCCACCTCAGACAACCGGATGGAACCAGCCGGTCACGTTAATCCGGTGAGTGTCAGCACTTCCAGAGAACGCAGACGGAGATGAAGATCCCGACGCCGGGACCCTCATCGGCGTCGGTCACGCAGCCGCAGCCACCACAGGCGTCCTCTTGGCCGCCCTGCCCACACTGGTTCCACGTCTGACCATCGCACTTTCATGCCAAAGGCCCCCACCAGCAGTCAAGGCCATGCCGGCGTGTCGACCATCTGGTCTTTCATATGACCGTTGACGGACAACCAGCGGCAAAAGGTCCTCAGCACACCGATGTACACCAGTCTTGCTAACATGAGTTGTTTATGCTGTTCCGCAGCCTTTCTTGCTTGGGTTGGCCTTGCAGTGATTTTATTTACCATGCAGTTGTCAGTGGAGTTCGTGAACAACCTGGTGGCGGTACTCAATGTCCTCGCATCCCAAGTGGCGACTGCCCTGGACACCCTGAGCTTTGCCCTGGCGACAGAGCGAAACCAGCAGTCCGACGCCCGAGTGTCTCCCAGAACTCCACGGAATTGCATCATCACAGAGTCCGATCGGTCTCGCACTCCCACTCGCATCCGAACCCGGCCTATGGATACTTCCTCCACCTGGTATATACCTGCACTATCCCCACCTCGTGAGGCACATCGGGATGCCACTGACAGTACTTCTGTTCGCCGTCCGGAGACAATGTTGGATCGGTTACCACCGCCAAGACCTCTTGCTTCCCTTCCCCCTCGCAGCGGCCGTGAACCAGGACAGGCATCGCCTACCACACCTGATTCGGATTCGGATGGTTCCGTTCGTCCACATCCAGGTGCTTCATCGTTCCGTCCATCTCCCACAGTGTTTCATGGACCTCGTGAACTTCTACAAGAATTCACTATTGCCCTTCGCAATGCACATCTTGAACCGTTCACGGCATGGACACAGGGTGAACTAGATGAGATGGTCAGACGGAAAAAGGACAAGGGTTCCAGGCCCACCTACAAAACCATTGCCCGTTTCCTTCAGCGGCCCACAGAGAAAGTCAAGCAAGCCTGGAAGGTCTACCAGCAGCTTGAGGCTCGCACTTAGGGCACTTTGCATCAAGAGAACGAAAGACTCCCGGAAGGTGACAGTGCATTCCGTGAGCGTTGCAAGTTGACGAGATGGTTTGAATTGCAGACATGGTAGATCGCATGATTCTTTTCTCACTTGCTTGCATGACATGGCTGGCATACTTTGCAGTGAGGACTTGAAAGACATGCATGACATTTCTGACATTGAGGGCATTGTTGGTTGTCATGGAAGTTGATGATGACTTGGATATCATGCATGGCAGAGCTGCTACAGCGTTTATCTCTTCGCCTTGCGGGTTTGAGTGTTCAAATCATGTTGGAGCAAGATGTGCAGACATTCATAACTGGACCCATGGAGCGCAGCCGACGTGGTTACAGTTTCACGGGCCTGGTACATTGCTTGACAGACCAGTTTTCTTGTGTAGTTGCTGGTTGTGCATGGTTGTGCATGGTGACTGTTTCTTTGCTAGCTGGATCGGAACCCGCGGTACGCCCTGTCTTTCACTTCGGCATGGACATCGAGGATGCAACTCAGACGTCGGGCCGAACCGCTGAGCAGCACCCATGGCTCGAATATTCAGTCTGGCAGGATCAGGAGTGGGTGCGGATCTATACTCCAGGACAACCTCAGCTGTGGCAACCAGAAGAAGCCGTACCTGACCTACCAGACAACTTGTTTCGGGAGTGGAAGCGGGTAACTGATCCCATTGGTGGGACTGGTGAACACAGTCAGGCGTGGACAATTCGCGACTGGCAACATCAAGGTTACCAACGCATTCTTTCTCGCTTTGAGTCCTTCCCCACTCATCAAGCCCAGGATCAATCACTTGTTGACGTGCAGAATTCGGACATCATCCGAGTCGAGGAGATGTTCACCTATGCCCCCCTATTTTTGACGGTGATCGCTCGACTGCTTTGCAACTTCCTCCGGTCTTCTATGGCGACACCCGTCATGCTCATCGTGGTGATCTTTCGTTCCCGTCTTCTGAGCGGCTTCGGGCAGTTTCGCGTTCTCCTCGCCGCTGTGGATATTTTGGTAAACGATAGAGATAGGAAGTTGAGTATGTGATCTTCCTGCTGAAAAAGAGACTTCTCGCCCCTCACTGAGGGGCGTGTGTGTGCGGAGTGGCAGAATACCCTGTCACCACAATTAGTAGCAGGGGGCCAGCGGCCATCAAGCAAACGCTGGCCTACGAAGCTATGCTTGATGGTGGATGCACGGATTGATCACCCGTGTGTACCTGCTTTTGTGAAGTGATGTTGATGAAAGTCCAGTTGGCCGCTTCATTTGCCGCTGTGTGTGCTTCATGTTGAACCTTGTAACGTTTTCGACACTAGAGTGAAGCCAAGTGACCTGCCAGCCGAACCTTATCCGACTTGAGACTTGTCAGTTGTACTCGAGCCTCATCAGTTGTACTCGAGACTCATCAGTTGTACTCGAAAGATTAGCACCCTCCATCTGGAGTTTAAGTGTGTGTTTTTGTGCGCGTGCGCCTGTGTATGAGCTTGCGCATTAACCGTTTCTTTTCCAGGTACCACGCGTTTTGCGTCAGTGGCTGCAATCAAGCAAAGCAGATGCATTCGACGACTTGCTGGCTTTGCTGCCCTACTGCTTGCAGGCCTGGCATGCCATAGCCTCAAAGCATGTCCAACGCAAGAAGCGCGAAGTCAGGAACTCTTAGGCACCAGGACAAACCCAAACTCTCGTGCACATTGTAAGAGGCCTTGACGTGGTGTTGTGACGGGTTGGGACTTGTCTGGAAAATTGTTCACGGGGCTTGTGTCACACACCCACATTTGACACGCGTTTGCCAGCAAAATGGATCCTTGCCAGGAAGTCGCCGAGCCAGCTGACTTGGATGGCTGCCCTTTGCTGCTCACGCGCTCAAAAGAGGTGAAGCGATTTGACGAGAAGGATGGCAGAAGACACTTGGCTGGCAGCATGGATCGTTGACAGAAAGGTTGTGATTGCTTGAGAATTTACTTCTTGGAAAAGCAATCGCAGCGGAGAGGCGATTTTGTATTCTTGGTCATTCTGCCGATTCTTGCTGACCGCTTGCTGCCTTGTGTTTGAAGTGGCCGAGGATATGTTTGTTGCCTCTCTCAGCAGGAAGAAGACCTAGCGCAACATCTACCAGACGGAGAGTGTTTGCATCCTGCTGGATTGGGGGATGTCCTGCTGATGCATCCGCAAATACAGAGGTTGACTCAGAGTGTGTTGGCGCATCAGAAATTGAGCGCTGGGGCAAGAGATGCTTTCTGGCGATGGTACCGATACGCTTGCTCCAACGATTTGTGCAGCCCTTTGCCAGACATCCCGCAGTCCGGTGATCACATCCTGGACGACCTGGAAGTTCTTCCCATCCTGGGCTCTGACAGCTGCACGATCCTGAGAGAACGCAAGCGCGCCCTCAGTGTCAGACCCGAGCAGTGTGATGAGCTGGCCGAGGGATTGTTGTCGTGCCACGTTTTGCTGGTACCGACAGACATTCCCTGCCCCCAATTGTCGTCTGTTGACGCAATGGCTCGTGCTCTTGCATGCGCGCTTGCGCAGAATGAGCGTGTTGTAGAGCATTTGGCTTCAGTTCGGATGGTCTTGGAGAAGCTTTCACAATCCCATACTCCGGAAGCCGAGGAGGCCGCTTCAAAGTTGCCTGCTTTTCGCACATGGGATGGCTTTGGCTTGCCATTGATGCCACTTTTGCCAGCCTTGCCAGACTGCATTCGCCGTGCTTTGTGCCACGTGCGCTTGGATGTCCTCGATGAGGTGTCTCCTGCAGTTGTGTCGCTGCTTCGACGGATGCAAAGACCAGAGCTTACACTTGAGCAGGTGGCAACGGAGGCAATCTCGCGCACGCAGCACCTTGAATTAATTGCCGCGCTTCTTCAAGAGAACTTGGGGGCTGTTCTCTGTGACAGGAGCATTCTTCCGGTTGAAGGTGCCGGCTTGCTGAAGCCTGCAGACTGCTTGTTGTGGGACAGTGAGCCTGACTTTCCTTGCCTCCCACGTCGGATGGCCAAGCTGGCTGCAGCACAGTTTTGCAATTTGCGCTCCCAGCTGCTGGCGCTGGGGTGCCGGCGCGAGCTGGATGAGGTGGACGTGTTGGACATTGCCAGACAGGTGGAGCAGCGGTCAGACGCGGATCTGGCAGAGCGGCTTTTGGAGCGCTTGGAGAACCACCCAGACTGGCAGAAGATTTGCCAGTCTCCAGATCTGCAACCCGTGCGCTGGCTGTCAGTGAGACATCCTGGGGCTGAGCGCAGTGTGATGGCGCCTGCAAGCAGGCCTTGGCAGCAGAGCGCCGAGCAGCTCGTGGGCAGGGTTCGACCACTTGTTGCTGCCAAAGCCACAGCCGCGCGACTCCTAGGAGCTTTGGGGGTTCCGGGGCCAGAGGATGTGGATGACGCGGTCTTGTCGGAGCAGCTGAAGGCGCTTACCAGCAAGGCCCGAGCCGAGGATGTGACACCCATCTACCAAAAGCTCCGGCGCCCGCCAACGCTGGAGAAGTGGGTCTGGACCAAGTCCGGCTTCCAACCCTTAGAGCAAGTCTCAAAGGATGGTCGTGTGCTCGGCCTTTGCCCTGCCTTCCATTTCCTGCAAGAGCAATGGCATGACTTGCCGGTTTTCCAAGGTGTCAATCTGAAGCTCACACCCAAGGAGATATTCCATGCAATGGCTTCCGAGCCGCCTGTGCACGAGGTTCACATGACTGCCATCAAGCTGCTCACGGATCTGGCAAGTGATTGCGGCAACAACACTTTGCTCGCAAAGTTTGCGCAGGAATGTGGGTGCGAGTTGCGGGTCCCCACAAAAGCCTGCAAGCTGGTGCCGGTGCAACAAGCATTCTTCCACGACATGAAGTGGAACGGGGAGGGGCTTCCTTCGGACTTGGAGGAGGTTCATGGCGACGTGTCTAAGTCTGCCTGCAAGTGCTTTGGTGTTCGGAACCTCAGTGAGATCCTAGCCCAGGAGTGCAGCTGTGGCGAGGGGGACTGGTTGGAGGTTACTGGGCAGCACGAGCCGTTGACCCGACGCCTCAAGAACATCTTGAAGGACTACCCCTGGCAGGCCCTTGTCAAAGAGATGCTGCAGAACGCTGAGGATGCCGGCGCGTCGAAGTTCAAGATCTTGATCGACCGGCGGCCTCGCGGCAAGGAGTCCCTGCTCACCCCACAGATGGCCGATCAGCAGGGCCCTTGCCTTTGGTTCTACAACGATGCCGTTTTTGAGGAGAAGGACTTTCAAGCTTTGGTCAGCCTTGGCCAGGGCAGCAAGGCTGGGGAGAAGGGCAAGATCGGGCGCCACGGCCTGGGTTTCAACTCTATCTTCAACATCACGGACCTGCCCTCTGTCCTGAGCAGTGAGCCGGGAACTCAGTTTTTTTTGCTCGCAGGCGACAGGAAAGCTAGCTGTAGTTTCTACTTGTGCAAGCACGTGCGTAGGCTGAATTCCCACTTCATAATGTTGCCAATCCTTTAAACCGAAGTATCTTATATGATTGATCCCCCCCCTCCGAGACAAAAACTCCGAACTCAAAGACTTCGATTTCCTTCTCCCCACCAGCCCACACAGGTGGCAGGAAGGCTCTGACAGTTCTACCGTTCCCAAAACGACCTCGGCAAGAGGTGGATTTATCGAGCAGCCTCTTTTAGGTCACGCATAAGCAAGCGCATGGGGTGAAATCTAGACGTGTTGGTTCAAGTTTAAAGTCCTGGTTAGGTTGTTTTTTAGTTGTTGGCTTCTTGCTCAGTCCTGTCACTCAGGTCAATACTCTTCTTGGATCCGCACGTGCGTCACTTGAAGCAGCTGAAGGCAAGCCATTTGCAGCCAGGGATCCGGCTCAACTTTGCGAAGAAGGATGTTTGCGCTGCCTGGCCAGACCAGTTCAAGAGTTATGAGGTCCAGGGTTGCAAGCTGACAGCAGGGAAGTTCAACGGCACCTTGATCCGCGCGCCTTTGCGTAGACCAGAGGCGGAAAGTGACATTTCCAATCACTGCGTCGGCGAAGCGGGGCTGCGGGACATGACTGAGCTCATCCGTCTGGAAGGATACCTTTGGCTGATTTTCTTGAAGAGCGTGACTTGCATAGAAGTGCAAGATTTGGAGTCTGGAGACTTTCTGTGCAGGCACGTGCGGTTGAAGGAGCCGGGCAGTGAGATCCAGATCCGCACAGACCAAGAACAGAAAGGCGACTTTGAGCAGAGGAGGTATGAGTTGCAGAGTGATGGCGAGGTGAGCGTCGCTGTGCCACTTTGTGTCTCAGCCAAGAGCGATGAGGGTCGGGTTTTCAGTCGGCTGCCTTTGAACATCAAGGCGGGCATGGCAGCTCATGTGTCAGCTCTGTTCTGGACAAGCGCTGATCGGAGAAGCGTAGTGTTGGACGTTGACAAGGATTTGCAGGGGTGGGCGCGCCAGAACCGTGACTACTTGCAGCGCATTGCTTGCTGTTTGGCCACTTGCGTTGCCAATCGAGCTGCGCAAGCAAGAGAAGTCCCGATTGAACTGTTCCCTCGCGGGGAGAAGCCGAGTGAGACTGCCGAGCTTCTCCATGCCATGTTCTACCAAGAGATTGTGCGTCGGTGCAGAGATTCCGACGCCGGAGTGCTCTACAATGTTGCTGGCCTTGAAGTGAAAGCCCCGATGATTCTTCTGACGGCTCAGGATGTGCCACAGGCGCTGCAACTTTTGCAAGCGCCGGTTGTCCTCGTCAATGCAGAGGTCCTCCAGTCCCTGAAGCAGCTGGATGCCAAGCTGTTCTTGGAGCTTTCCCCGAAAACCTTGAGGGCGTGGCTTCGCAGTATGCCTGGTGAGCTGGATCGTCACTGCGACAAGGAGATCCTGCGCTTTTGCTTGCGGGACGAAGCGCGCGGGGCAGCAGGACAGGTGGCTGAAGACTTGGCCGGCTGCCCCCTGCTCTTCACTGCCGACAGCCAAGTCAGGCGCTTTGCGCATGATGCTTACAAAGGCCAGACAACTCTTAAGATCCTTTGCTGTGCCAGCAAGGAGGAATGGGACCTCGCGCAGCACTTCCCGCGTGATTCGGTCTTCCCGTGCACACCCGAAAGCGCACAGGTGCTGTTTCATCATCCACAGATCTGCAAGCTGACTGTGGAATCTGTAGCAGCGCTCGGCCAAGAGGCTTGCGGGCAAGAGTTTGCGGCTGCCTTCTGGCGCTGGTTTGACCCCCTGTCAGCGCAGCAAGCAGAGGTCAGACTGCCTGACCCGCCGGGAAAACAGCACCCCCTGGATCACTTGCGAGTGTTGCCCGTGCTCATGCAGGCTGGCTGCGAACTTTTTCCCTTGGTGGAGCGGAAGCGAGGTTTGTGGCGAAGTGCAGATCCCGAGCTTTCCAGAGGCTTGGAAGCTTGCGGAGTTTTGCTGGTGTCACAGGAGTCTTCATGCCCACGGATAGTGCCAGACAGCGTTGCGCGGGCCGTCCATCACGCGACCAGTGCCACCACAGAGCCGCTGGAGCCGTCCCGTGCCAGCGCGCAGGCTTGGCGTGCTGTGCTGCAGCAGCTTGCGCGGTCAGATTTGTCAGAGGCCGCGCGCGCGGCCCGCCGGTTGCCAGCATTTCGGTCATGGGATGGCCAGGCATCGTATCCAGACAAGCGCCTTTTCCCAGCTCACGCATCAAGGATGCTGCATGAGGCGCTGCAGCACATCAAGCTTGACGTCCTAAAGGAGGAGGACATGAACATCCTGGCGCTGCTTCGCAAGATGAAAGTGCCTGAAGTGCCACTGGAGCAGGTTGCAAGAGATGCGCTTTGTCAGACCCAAGACATCAAGTTGGTGGCGCTACTGATTCGTGAAGGCCTAGGAAACGTGCTACGCGGTGAGCCCGTTCTACCCGTGCAGGGCGGCTCTTGCCTGCCTCCAGAAAGTTGCCTGCTTTGGGACGGTGAGGGCGAGTTTGAGGTCGTCCCTCGCCGGATCTCTTCCTCAGCGTCGGAGCAGTTGCGGGGGCTGCAAGGCAAGCTTGCCGAGCTTGGGTGCCGGCGCGAGCTGGATGAGGTGGACGTGTTGGACATTGCCAGACAGGTGGAGCAGCGGTCAGACGCGGATCTGGCAGAGCGGCTTTTGGAGCGCTTGGAGAACCACCCAGACTGGCAAAAGATTTGCCAGTCTCCAGATCTGCAACCCGTGCGCTGGCTGTCAGTGAGACATCCTGGGGCTGAGCGCAGTGTGATGGCGCCTGCAAGCAGGCCTTGGCAGCAGAGCGCCGAGCAGCTCGTGGGCAGGGTTCGACCACTTGTTGCTGCCAAAGCCACAGCCGCGCGACTCCTAGGAGCTTTGGGGGTTCCGGGGCCAGAGGATGTGGATGACGCGGTCTTGTCGGAGCAGCTGCAGGCGCTTACCAGCAAGGCCCGAGCCGAGGATGTGACACCCATCTACCAAAAGCTCCGGCGCCCGCCAACGCTGGAGAAGTGGGTCTGGACCAAGTCCGGCTTCCAACCCTTAGAGCAAGTCTCAAAGGATGGTCGTGTGCTCGGCCTTTGCCCTGCCTTCCATTTCCTGCAAGAGCAATGGCATGACTTGCCGGTTTTCCGAGGTGTCAATCTGAGGCTCACACCCAAGGAGATATTCCATGCAATGGCTTCCGAGCCGCCTGTGCACGAGGTTCACATGACTGCCATCAAGCTGCTCACGGATCTGGCAAGTGATTGCGGCGACAACACTTTGCTCGCAAAGTTAGCGCAGGAATGTGGGTGCGAGTTGCGGGTCCCCACAAAAGCCTGCAAGCTGGTGCCGGTGCAACAAGCATTCTTCCACGACATGAAGTGGAACGGGGAGGGGCTTCCTTCGGACTTGGAGGAGGTTCATGGCGACGTGTCTAAGTCTGCCTGCAAGTGCTTTGGTGTTCGGAACCTCAGTGAGATCCTAGCCCAGGAGTGCAGCTGTGGCGAGGGGGACTGGTTGGAGGTTACTGGGCAGCACGAGCCGTTGACCCGACGCCTCAAGAACATCTTGAAGGACTACCCCTGGCAGGCCCTTGTCAAAGAGATGCTGCAGAACGCTGAGGATGCCGGCGCGTCGAAGTTCAAGATCTTGATCGACCGGCGGCCTCGCGGCAAGGAGTCCCTGCTCACCCCACAGATGGCCGATCAGCAGGGCCCTTGCCTTTGGTTCTACAACGATGCCGTTTTTGAGGAGAAGGACTTTCAAGCTTTGGTCAGCCTTGGCCAGGGCAGCAAGGCTGGGGAGAAGGGCAAGATCGGGCGCCACGGCCTGGGTTTCAACTCTATCTTCAACATCACGGACCTGCCCTCTGTCCTGAGCAGTGAGCCGGGAACTCAGTTGTTTTTGCTCGCAGGCGACAGGAAAGCTAGCTGTAGTTTCTACTTGTGCAAGCACGTGCGTAGGCTGAATTCCCACTTCATAATGTTGCCAATCCTTTAAACCGAAGTATCTTATATGATTGATCCCCCCCCCCTCCGAGACAAAAACTCCGAACTCAAAGACTTCGATTTCCTTCTCCCCACCAGCCCACACAGGTGGCAGGAAGGCTCTGACAGTTCTACCGTTCCCACCTCTTTTAGGTCACGCATAAGCAAGCGCATGGGGTGGAATCTAGACGTGTTGGTTCAAGTTAAAGTCCTGGTTAGGTTGTTTTTTAGTTGTTGGCTTCTTGCTCAGTCCTGTCACTCAGGTCAATACTCTTCTTGGATCCGCACGTGCGTCACTTGAAGCAGCTGAAGGCAAGCCATTTGCAGCCAGGGATCCGGCTCAACTTTGCAAAGAAGGATGTTTGCGCTGCCTGGCCAGACCAGTTCAAGAGTTATGAGGTCCAGGGTTGCAAGCTGACAGCAGGGAAGTTCAACGGCACCTTGATCCGCGCGCCTTTGCGTAGACCAGAGGCGGAAAGTGACATTTCCAATCACTGCGTCGGCGAAGCGGGGCTGCGGGACATGACTGAGCTCATCCGTCTGGAAGGATACCTTTGGCTGATTTTCTTGAAGAGCGTGACTTGCATAGAAGTGCAAGATTTGGAGTCTGGAGACTTTCTGTGCAGGCACGTGCGGTTGAAGGAGCCGGGCAGTGAGATCCAGATCCGCACAGACCAAGAACAGAAAGGCGACTTTGAGCAGAGGAGGTATGAGTTGCAGAGTGATGGCGAGGTGAGCGTCGCTGTGCCACTTTGTGTCTCAGCCAAGAGCGATGAGGGTCGGGTTTTCAGTCGGCTGCCTTTGAACATCAAGGCGGGCATGGCAGCTCATGTGTCAGCATTGTTCTGGACAAGCGCTGATCGGAGAAGCGTAGTGTTGGACGTTGACAAGGATTTGCAGGGGTGGGCGCGCCAGAACCGTGACTACTTGCAGCGCATTGCTTGCTGTTTGGCCACTTGCGTTGCCAATCGAGCTGCGCAAGCAAGAGAAGTCCCGATTGAACTGTTCCCTCGCGGGGAGAAGCCGAGTGAGACTGCCGAGCTTCTCCATGCCATGTTCTACCAAGAGATTGTGCGTCGGTGCAGAGATTCCGACGCCGGAGTGCTCTACAATGTTGCTGGCCTTGAAGTGAAAGCCCCGATGATTCTTCTGACGGCTCAGGATGTGCCACAGGCGCTGCAACTTTTGCAAGCGCCGGTTGTCCTCGTCAATGCAGAGGTCCTCCAGTCCCTGAAGCAGCTGGATGCCAAGCTGTTCTTGGAGCTTTCCCCGAAAACCTTGAGGGCGTGGCTTCGCAGTATGCCTGGTGAGCTGGATCGTCACTGCGACAAGGAGATCCTGCGCTTTTGCTTGCGGGACGAAGCGCGCGGGGCAGCAGGACAGGTGGCTGAAGACTTGGCCGGCTGCCCCCTGCTCTTCACTGCCGACAGCCAAGTCAGGCGCTTTGCGCATGATGCTTACAAAGGCCAGACAACTCTTAAGATCCTTTGCTGTGCCAGCAAGGAGGAATGGGACCTCGCGCAGCACTTCCCGCGTAGTTCGGTTTTCTCCTGCACACCCGAAAGCGCACAGGTGCTGTTTCATCATCCAGAGATTTGCAAGCTGACTGTGGAATCTGTAGCAGCGCTCGGCCAAGAGGCTTGCGGGCAAGAGTTTGCGGCTGCCTTCTGGCGCTGGTTTGACCCCCTATCAGCGCAGCAACCAGAGGTCAGACTGCCTGACCCGCCGGGAAAACAGCACCCCCTGGATCACTTGCGAGTGTTGCCCGTGCTCATGCAGGCTGGCTGCGAACTTTTTCCCTTGGTGGAGCGGAAGCGAGGTTTGTGGCGAAGTGCAGATCCCGAGCTTTCCAGAGGCTTGGAAGCTTGTGGAGTTTTGCTGGTGTCACAGGAGTCTTCATGCCCACGGATAGTGCCAGACAGCGTTGCGCGGGCCGTCCATCACGCGACCAGTGCCACCACAGAGCCGCTGGAGCCGTCCCGTGCCAGCGCGCAGGCTTGGCGTGCTGTGCTGCAGCAGCTTGCGCGGTCAGATTTGTCAGAGGCCGCGCGCGCGGCCCGCCGGTTGCCAGCATTTCGGTCATGGGATGGCCAGGCATCGTATCCAGACAAGCGCCTTTTCCCAGCTCACGCATCAAGGATGCTGCATGAGGCGCTGCAGCACATCAAGCTTGACGTCCTAAAGGAGGAGGACATGAACATCCTGGCGCTGCTTCGCAAGATGAAAGTGCCTGAAGTGCCACTGGAGCAGGTTGCAAGAGATGCGCTTTGTCAGACCCAAGACATCAAGTTGGTGGCGCTACTGATTCGTGAAGGCCTAGGAAACGTGCTACGCGGTGAGCCCGTTCTACCCGTGCAGGGCGGCTCTTGCCTGCCTCCAGAAAGTTGCCTGCTTTGGGACGGTGAGGGCGAGTTTGAGGTCGTCCCTCGCCGGATCTCTTCCTCAGCGTCGGAGCAGTTGCGGGGGCTGCAAGGCAAGCTTGCCGAGCTTGGGTGCCGGCGCGAGCTGGATGAGGTGGACGTGTTGGACATTGCCAGACAGGTGGAGCAGCGGTCAGACGCGGATCTGGCAGAGCGGCTTTTGGAGCGCTTGGAGAACCACCCAGACTGGCAGAAGATTTGCCAGTCTCCAGATCTGCAACCCGTGCGCTGGCTGTCAGTGAGACATCCTGGGGCTGAGCGCAGTGTGATGGCGCCTGCAAGCAGGCCTTGGCAGCAGAGCGCCGAGCAGCTCGTGGGCAGGGTTCGACCACTTGTTGCTGCCAAAGCCACAGCCGCGCGACTCCTAGGAGCTTTGGGGGTTCCGGGGCCAGAGGATGTGGATGACGCGGTCTTGTCGGAGCAGCTGAAGGCACTTGCCAGCAAGGCCCGAGCCGAGGATGTGACACCCATCTACCAAAAGCTCCGGCGCCCGCCAACACTGGAGAAGTGGGTCTGGACCAAGTCCGGCTTCCAACCCTTAGAGCAAGTCTCAAAGGATGGTCGTGTGCTCGGCCTTTGCCCTGCCTTCCATTTCCTGCAAGAGCAATGGCATGACTTGCCGGTTTTCCGAGGTGTCAATCTGAGGCTCACACCCAAGGAGATATTCCATGCAATGGCTTCCGAGCCGCCTGTGCACGAGGTTCACATGACTGCCATCAAGCTGCTCACGGATCTGGCAAGTGATTGCGGCGACAACACTTTGCTCGCAAAGTTAGCGCAGGAATGTGGGTGCGAGTTGCGGGTCCCCACAAAAGCCTGCAAGCTGGTGCCGGTGCAACAAGCATTCTTCCACGACATGAAGTGGAACGGGGAGGGGCTTCCTTCGGACTTGGAGGAGGTTCATGGCGACGTGTCTAAGTCTGCCTGCAAGTGCTTTGGTGTTCGGAACCTCAGTGAGATCCTAGCCCAGGAGTGCAGCTGTGGCGAGGGGGACTGGTTGGAGGTTACTGGGCAGCACGAGCCGTTGACCCGACGCCTCAAGAACATCTTGAAGGACTACCCCTGGCAGGCCCTTGTCAAAGAGATGCTGCAGAACGCTGAGGATGCCGGCGCGTCGAAGTTCAAGATCTTGATCGACCGGCGGCCTCGCGGCAAGGAGTCGCTGCTCACCCCACAGATGGCCGATCAGCAGGGCCCTTGCCTTTGGTTCTACAACGATGCCGTTTTTGAGGAGAAGGACTTTCAAGCTTTGGTCAGCCTTGGCCAGGGCAGCAAGGCTGGGGAGAAGGGCAAGATCGGGCGCCATGGCCTGGGTTTCAACTCCATCTTCAACATCACGGACCTGCCCTCTGTCCTGAGCAGAGAGTGTTTCGACCGCATAAGCCAGTGATGTGCTTGCGTGTTGTTTTTGTTTTTGCCATTTTGGGGTAGGTGCGCTATCAATTTTAGTGTATTTTAGTGGGGATTGGGATGTTCACTGGGTGTACGGGGTTTTGACCCATGGCCAAAATGCAGCGTTGTATTGTCAATCCGCGCTGCAGGTCCGTGCTATTCCTGGATCCGCATGTGAAGCACTTACAGCGTCTTGGAGCTTCTGCAGCAAAACCTGGAGCTAAGCTGAACTTTGCCAAGAAAGACCTCAAGAGCGTTTGGCCTGACCAGCCCCTCCTGCTTCAGCAAGTAGAACTGTTTGGCATGAGTCCTTGGATTGGGTCTTGCCAACCAAAACAAGGCCAACCAGAAATGTAAGAGGGCCGCGGCGGCAAAAGGGCTTTGCGTTTCCTGTCGTTTTTGGCCGAGGTTCACTCCATACGAGTTGGAGGGGTGCCGCTTGTCAGAGAAGTTCTTCCACGGCACGTTGGTGCGGGCGCCTTTGCGTCGTGCTCCGAGTGAAATTAGCGCGACGTGTGTTGGAGAAGAAGAGGTTAACCAGCTACTGAAGCTCATCACAACCGAAGGTCATCTTTGGCTTCTGTTTCTTCGGCAGATCTCTGAACTGGAGGTTGTTGACGTGAGCGACAATAGCACGCTCGTCACTCACCGGCGGCACCAGGCAGCCGACGAGGTCAGGCTCCAGAGCCGAGATAGGGGCGGCGAAGAGTGCCGCATCTTCCATGCGCGCAATGATGAAGAGGTGTCTGTGGCTGTCCCAGCTGGCAAGGGATCGTTCCAGGGTCGTGTTTTCAGTCGACTGCCGCTTGATATCCCATCAGGCATGCCTGCACATGTTTCTGCTTTGTTTTGGACAAGCACTGACCGCCGAACTCTGGTACTGGACACAAGCAGGGATCAAGCGCAATGGGCCAGGCAAAACCAAGAGTTGCTGCGCTTGGCTTGCAAGTGCTTGGTCGCTCTGGCAGCAAGTCGGGCAGCCAAGCGGCGGTCCTCGCCACTGGAACTCTTTCCAGGCCCTACTCGGCCAAGTGATGCTGCTGAATTGTTGCACAGCTATTTCTATGGCGAAGTTGCACAGTGCTGCAGGTCTCCCGATGCTCAGCAAGTTCTGTATACAGTGGCAGGTGAGCCTGCGTGCTTTTCCACCGTCTTGCTTGCGCGGCGCGGAGTGCTTGACCGCGAAGAGTTCGCTGATGCGTTGGACAAGCTGAAAGCGCCAGTCGTAGCGGTGGACCAAACCATGCTCGAGGGGCTCGCAGCTGCAGACCTGCAGATCTTCCAGGAGCTCACTCCGCGCTCCATGCGTGTGTGGCTGCGCCACGTGCCGGAGACGGTCAGTCGCTTTTGTAACGCATCTGTGCTGTGCTTTTGTGTTGCAGACGGCGCGCGCAAAGATGTTTCCGGGCCTGCAGGTGAGGATTTGGAGTCGTGTCCTCTTGCCCTCACTATTGACGGAGGTGTTCATCGGTTTGACTCGTCCTTGCCAGCACAATTCATTTGTTGTGCAGATTTGGAAGAGTGGGCTATTGCGCAGCATCTCCCTCCAGCAGTTGTTCTTCGGCATGTCCCGGCAGCCAGCGAAGTTTTGCAGCATCATGCTCAGGTTTGCCCTGTGAATTGCCAGACAATTGCCAATCATGGTGTGCACGCCGCGGGAGAGGGTTGGGCGGCCGCCTTTTGGAAGTGGTACAACCAGCAGTGCTTGCAGCAACCGAGCATTCGACTGACTCGGAGAGCAGGCGAAGCTCACATGTTCGATGCTCTTGTGGTGTTGGACCATAAAGAAGCGGATGGCAGCATCCGACTGCATGAGTTGACAGAGCGGCACAGAGCTCTCAGATGTGATGACTTTGCTTCGCCTGTGGTGCCATGCTTGCGAGCCTGCGGTGCTCTTCTGGTGATCAGTGGCGACTGCCCCTTTTGGGAGAGCCCAGATGCTTTGGCTGTTGCTGTAAGCCTGTCCCTTTCCACAAGCAACGGCGACGCTTTTCAAGGCAATACTGCAGTGACGGAGGAAGGCTGGAGGGGGCTGCTTGCGATTCTGATGAAGTCGGAAAGGGAGGAGGCTCAAAGTGTTGGAAGAGCGTTGCCCTTGTTCCGGCATTGGAACGGAAGTCTTGGCAAGCCAAGCACGAAGTTATTTCCTACATCGGTGAGCGGCAGCTTTCGCTCTGCCATGCGGGGCCTGAACCTAGAAGCAGTCGCAGAACAGGACGGAGCAACCGTTGATTTCTTGAGAAGGATGGGCGTCGAAGAATGGACGCCGCAAGACATTGCCAAGCAAGCCTTGCAGATGAGCAGCAGTACGGAGATTGTGGCAAGCATCTTGAAGGAGGGATTGGGGGATGTGCTACGTGGGGTGCCTGTGTTTCCTGTACAAGGAACAGAGGAGTTGCTCCCAGCTGACGAGTGCTTGCTTTGGGATGCAGAAGAGGATTTCCCATGGCTCTTTCGCCGCATTGCGCAGCCTGCAGCAGATGTGTTGAGGGGTTTTCGCGTACGACTTTTGGAACTCGGTTGTCGGGTGGAGCTGGATGCAATAGATGCGGCGGAAGTTGCAAGAAATGCACACCAGTCTCAAGACCATGCGATGGCAGGGAAACTTTTGGCCAGGTTGAGCAAGTTGCAGCATTTGTGTAGCATGACTTTATTGCAGGAGATCGCGTGGTTGCCTGCAAATGATGGCGCTCTGCATGCCCCAAGCCAGAATGTTTGGCATGAGTCTGCAAAGCAGCTAGTCGGCCACGTGAGGCCCCTGGCTTCGGGGGACAAGGCAACTCTCAAATTGCTGGGCGTTCGAGTGCCAGAGGACGTAGATGATCCAGTTCTACACGAGCAACTGCAGTCCATAACGGCGGCATCCCATGGACCTGCCAGGATGGTTCAGCCGATCTATGAGCTCTTGAAGCAGCCGCCGCCAAACCTGACTTGGGTTTGGACAGAGCACGGCTTTGCAGCCAGCGAGGATGTTTGCAAGGACAGCAAGGCTGGTGAGTTGTGGCCTCTCATGCATAGGCTCCCGCTGGAATGGTGCAGCTATCCTGTGTTCAGCAGCATTCAGTCGCAGTTAGATGTCCCCACCTTGCTGCGGTTGTTGCGACAACTTGAGGCTTTGCAAAGCAGCTCCCAGACAGAAGAAGGCATTGTGCAGGGCGCATTTCGCAGTTTGATGGATGTTTTCGGAGGGGGGGGCAATAGCAAGGAGAGGAGTCGGCATGTGGATGTTGCTTGCAGTGTGATCAAGTTCTTGCACGAACTTCTGCCCAGCGTCCCTGACTTCCTCGAGAAGCACAGGCAGGATCTGCTCCTACCATGTGAGGCTGGACTTTTGCGCCGCCTGGACGCGCTATATTATCATGACATGCCTTGGACATCGCGGAAGTGGACAGACACCATGTTTTTGATGCATGCCAAAGTCCCTTTGTGTTTTGCGCACGCTTTTGGCGTGCAGCCCAGCAGTGTCTTGATGTTGAAGCAGCTACACCGCAGTCCAGTTGGAAGTGATCAGGACACTTCCCCGCAAGCAGATGCCCAGCGGTCCAAGGGTTTCAATCTTCAGCGGGCAGGCCAAGGCCAGACGTCCCTTGCAGCGGTGCTGGACCTCTTTCTTCAAATGGCAGACTCTGCTGGCGCAACCATTCTGCAAGCCACCTTCGATATGGACACGCACAAAGACGTGTCGTTGATCTCGCATCGTTTGGCAGAGTTGCAAGGTCCAGCGCTTCGCATTGTTTTCAACAAGCCGTTGCACGGGAAAGACTGGAAGAGCCTGCGCAATCTCGAGATCAAGTGGAGCCCGCTCTTTGGACTCTCCGACTTGGTCGCAGTTGTCAGCAAAGGCTATGCGTGCTTCATCGATCCCGTCAAAGGGTATTTGCGGGACCTTGTGGATCATCCTGACCAATATTGGCTAGGCCTGTGCTCAAAGGATTTGAACATGAAGTGGCCCGACCAATTCAAGCCGTTTGAGCATGGGATGGAGAATGTTTTCTCGGGAGAAACCAATGTGACCATAGTGCGGATGCCTTTGCGGGGGATGATGTCAGCATCTCTGACTGAACGTGCCAAATTCAAGGAGTCTCAGCAGAAGCAGGTGAATGAGATTGTTGGGCAGAAGCCTTGGTTGCTATTTGCCCGCAGTGTGTTTTGCTTGGAATTGCTTGAGCGTGATGTGAGTCGTGATTCTGATCTTGTCGCCGCAAGCCCCATTTACAAAGAAGAAGTGAAGCTTCAGCGACTTGGGCCAGAAGGCACGTGCCTGGAACAAAGGTCAACCTCTGACTGGCACTTGGACCAAAACAAACAGCACCAAGAGTGGCTCGTTGGGTGGCGAGAGGCCAAAGCGCTGGCGTGCAATTTCAGGTCCTCAGATGCTTTGCTCGCGCCACGAATTGGAGCAACATTCCAGTCAGTCCCTCAAAGGCCAGTCATCTTCTCTGGAGCGCACGTGTTTGGTTTCGACCAGGCTCAGCTTGCAGCTGGGGCTCCGGAGTCAGATATCAAGCACCTGGCCAACGCTGCTGTTGACATTGTGTTGAAGGTATGGGAAACAGAGCATCGGCTTCAGCAAACTTTGGTGCCCCAGGATCCTGCTGCGAGCCTAGGGAGGTTCTTTGCTGACATCTTCATCGGCCGCTTCCGGGTTGGCGGGCAGAGTTTGAGGGTCTGCCAGGAAGCCCCACGACCGGATCTAGTTGCAAGCCACCCTGGCTTTCAGACATGGCTGGCATCCACTTTGCGCGTCATGGTGATGCCGCAGCACCTGGGGAGACTGATGCAGCAGGCGGCCAATTTCAGCATTCCGAAGGCTTCCGTCAGGCACGTGCTGGATGGGCTTGCAAGTCTACCCCCAAGTTTTGCGGACGCTGCTTGCAAGTGGCTCTTTGAGGGCTTCCAGGATCAGAACGTCAAGCAACACATATCCAGCTCCTACCGCCACTTGGCGCTGGTGAAGCGGGAAGACGGCTCTTTGGGAGACTTTGCCGGCCGGGCATGGCACATCCGGGACGAGGATCGCCCGCTGCGCGCCCTGATTCGCGCCGCTGAGCCGAGTAAGAATGTCATCAAGAGCCTTGGTGGCTCCCAGCCGTCCCCTTAGCTTTTTAGCCTTTTAGTTTCCATGTAACCCACTAAAAGTTAAACTTTCAGCGGGGGTCTGAGGGCAGCCCAGGAGCACGGAGATGGCGCAGAGGTACTTTGATCGTTCGCTGGGTGTGTTGGATCCGCGACGTATCGAGGACGTGGCCGAGGGCATTGTGGATGTGAACTCCCAAGTATTCTGGAAGTTCTTCCAAGAGGGCCTCTATGATGCCTCGCAACTGGCCCTGCTGGAGCGGAAGATTGAAGTGAGGATCAGAGGAGCAAGTCAGACCATGCCGCTGGAAAGATATGCCTTTCTAACGCCACGATGCAAGGGGCTGAAGCCACTTGTGGCTATTGGCTGTGTAGAGGCTTTGGATGCTGTTCCGGAGCCTTATGCGGGAAGCAGTCCAGAGCATGTCGCAGCTCATGTGCGGGCTCTTGTCTCCAAGGGCCGGCTGCGGGTTCAAGCAGCAGGGGATGATGACAGGAAGACGCTTTGCCAGATGTTTCTGGAGGAAGCTCATGACAGTACAGTCATTCAAGTCTTCTCAGATTTGCCGATTGTGAAGCACGGAGATCGACATGAACCGCTGAAGAAGTTTAGTTCCTGCCTTAGCCTTCCGTTATGGCGTGGCCCTGAGCAGTGTTCCTTGGCACTGTATCCAGGCATTGTGCCACATGCACGATTGGCCTCAGCCTGTCGTCATTGTGGACTTCTGGAGTCTCAGCATTGCATTAGCAGGGCCTTGGCAAGCTTGGGGCATGTGCCATGCAGGTCTTAGCGGAGAGCGACCGCCTCAGCAAGGCTTTGAAGAAGGTCCAACCTGCCCGGCACAGCGAGGCAGGCTAGCAAGTGGCTTGCTGTCGTTGAGCTGTCCTTGCGCTATCGGGATTTTTGAATATGCCTTGGCTCTCGACTCTAGCCGTGGCTAGCTTTTTGAGGTTGCTGTGTGCTGTTCCGAGAACAGTAAGAGTGGGGTTTCACGGTTGCACTTGTTGCTTGTATCCCGGCTGCAAGCAGGGGCCTGGCGACCTCCTTGAGAGACATCAACAAGAATTGCGCAACAGCAACCGGCAGGCCCGTTGCCTGCGTTCAACGCACCGGATGTTTGTGGTTGAACCTGTGCATGCCAGATTGTGATTTGTGTCTTTCGATGGCATGCACGGGCAGGCGTAGCTACAGTAAGTCTCGGCCAGCAGTTGCAACACACGAGGAAGATCTTCAGCGACTTCTTTTGGCTGCCTTGGAGGCGTCGGAGGATGCAAGTCAAGTACAGCCGCTTCGAAAGATCTTGGGCATTCTATGTGATGTCATATTCATAGAATTCCTTGCTTCAAGCCTGAAACCATTGGTGGGCGGTATTTGTCCTGTGGCTCGACGTGTGGAATCTAAGGAAGATTGTGCGCTGCCCTTTGCTGGCGGGCCAGCAGATGATTGCGAGCCTCTGGCGGCCGACGGATCCGCTCGTGGGCGCCTTGCCACTGTTTGCCTGCCCGAGACACTTGAGCGATCTGGAGGCAAACATTCTGGGCGCCGCAGACGCCACGCTTCAGGCCTTTGCAAAGGCGGGGCTGCGAATACGCTCAAGTGTTGGACATCAATATTCAACGGCGTGTGTTTTAGGGGATGTGAAGATTGCCCAAATCAAATTTAATCGACACGCCCCGAAGGCGCAGCACGTTCACAAAAGTGCAGCGCGGTCACAAAGAACAAGAGTACGTCGTTTTCGTTCGCTTGATCCCACTTTGCTGCTCTTGACTTTTTTTGTCCACTTGCGTCTCTGCAGCCCTCCAACACGCACACACAAACACACACCAGCGCAGGCACATGCACTACGTGAAGGGGTAGTCAGGGCTGCATTTGCTGCAGCCCGCATGCTCCCATATCTGCTCTAACTTGGCAGACCACCTTCCACGCAAGGGGGCAGCGGATTGCTAGGTACTTCTTTTTCTATCATTAAAAGCTTTGCACTGTGGAAGACACTTGTGTGCTTGGGCTCTGCCAGATGCACACGTGCCGCGAAGGAGGTAGCAAGGTTCCCCCACGTCAAAAGCCTGCTGAAGTCGACCTTGACACTCGTCGGCAGGGCTTGGGGGGGTGGGTTCCGTGGACTTTGCGGATGTGCAAGTTTGAAGCAACACCCAACAAAATTGAGGCCAGACGGTTCTTTTTGGGCACAGTGAGCTGTGCTCCTTTGCCGATGTGCGGAAAGCGATTTGTTTGCCAAAGTGCACATGGGCGTGGGTCAAAATCAAACCTCTAGGGGACTGCAAGTCTTAGTCCATGTTTCCTTTTACTATACTAGGGCCCATTTTGGGTGCATATCTTTGACCCACAGTCACGAGCCGACTCCTGAGCCGAAGCGAGCCAAGGAAGGCCAAGCATTTCCTGGAGCTGATGGAGGCGCAGAGGCTGGCGGTTTTGAGCCGAACGCATGGCTCGAAGTGCTTGGGCTGAGCCACAAGCGAAACGGACACTCCCAGCCACAAATAGATGCGGCCTTCCCTACATGGTTCTGGGTCAACCATTTTTGACCCCGGGCTTTGATTGTGACTCAGCTGGTTGCTTCACATTGGCAATGTCCTGCCCGATTCAGGCACTCTTGGCAGGTATTTCCAGCATGTCTCCAGCCAACATCACTCCAAGAAGATGCAAATCTGCGCAGAACGCAACGTGTTGCAGTATGATCCCACATGACGACAGCCAACACAGTCTGTTTCTCAATCACGTTGGAATTCGTCGGCGACTTCACTAAACAGCAGGCTAGTTCTATTGAAGCATGCTTTTCTCCAGAGTGACTTTGAAGCAGCAACTACAAGCAACACAGGAGATTCAAAGGACATCAAATTCCAACCCCTCAGACCAGCCCGGCAAATGCAGGGATGCGTTCCCCGGAGGCAATGCCGCTTCCAAAGGCCTTTGGCCGCATCAAAACACTTAGCTCAGGGTTTCGCCCTCCGTGATTTAAGACCACATTCCATACGAGCGCGCGTCTCGAGCTGAGCTCGTGTCGGCAGATTTGTGTGGCCTGTCGGCAGGTTTTGTCGTGTCTCGGCTACTTTCCAACTTCTGCAGCTAGATGCTGCCTGAGAATTGGTAACGCATAGATATACCATATGTATATATATATATATATATATGTGCCAGTCCCTGGGCCATGTACCCCCCCCCCCCCCAATGGTATGGTCCCCCCCTCCCCCTGCATCATCTGCTTCTTGGGGATGATGCTGGCAATGCTGGGGATGCTGTCCAGTACCGTGAGCCCTGCAGCTTCGGTCCCAGACTCCTCCTTTCACCCCGTGAACCAACACCCCAGCACCTCTCGCAACATCCTACCCTAAACCAAACCACCCTGCAACCCCTCCTTAACCCCAACCCTAAGCCTAAATCAACCCAAACCCCAAACCCACCCGAAACCCACCGCAAACCAACCCTGAACCCACGCTTAAACCAACCCACCAAGCCTAAACCAACTCCGAACCACACCCCAACCACCCAACCACCCAACCACCCAACCACCCCACCACCCCACCACCCCACAACCCCACCACCCCACCACCCCACCACCCCACCACCCCACCACCCCAATTGGGGGGGGGGAGGGGGGGGGTTCACGGCCTGGAACATATATATGTATATATATATATATATATCTATATCTATCTATAGGGCCATGGGTCATAACCTATGCCTCCACTTTGGGGCGGATGTACATCCACGTACCACCTATTTTGATGTTCATCAGGGTTCCAGGGCTTTGACCCATAGGCATATATATCCATCCTTGCTGTCTCCGCGGCGCCGCAAAACAGCTGTCGGTGCAGGCCAAGAGATCGGCTGCAGGGCAAGCAAAGGGACAGATTTGCAGGCGCGCAGCTGGCACTAACATCGGGGCACAGCCTGGGATGGGCAGCTGTGAAATGGGCGTGGCTCAAAATTAAGGAGCTAGGGTAAGACCCAGGTTTTGTTGTTCGGTTCCATTTACCCAAGGGCCAGTTTGGTACGTTTGTTTGAGCCACAGCCAAATTACTTGTCAAGTGGAGAGACCCTGCCGCCCCAACTGCCCTGACGGCCGGCGGGCGCCACACTACCTTATGCAGGTGAGATTCTCAACACCCTCGGCAAGATGCACGGTAGCGAGCTGCAACAGCTCCAGCAGGGCAGATTCAGCACATTGCCGATCTTCTTCATGTGCCTTGGTATGCTGCCGCCGTGGTGTGTGTGTGTGTGTGTGTGTGTGTGTGTGTGTGTGTGTGTGTGTGTGTGTTTGTGGGTGCACGGCAGTACCAATTGCACCAGGCATACCCGACAATCCCCTTTGTCTGTCAGGAATGGCCACTGGACACAAAGCTCTGACATCTTTACACAAAAGTTCGAGAGCCTTCTGTGCTACTGCGACGTGCCTATTCTCCCGCGGGAGTTTGCGCCCGATGTGGAACGCCTTTTTGCAGCAAAGCCCCCGGCTGCTTTGGTTGCCCAACATCTTCGCAAGCTGGCAGAGCGGCAAGGCGCAAGCGAAACACTTTCTGCATGCAACCAGTTGGTGTGGAGGTCTTAGGACTGGTAGGACGGGATGCGTGAGAGCCGCTCGTGGGAGCCGCTCCTTTGCGCCAGGACGCGCAGTGGCTCCAGATCAGCGCCAGAAGTTCCTGGTCGTTTACGAGTTGCTTGCAAGCAGAAGCCACACAAGTGGTGCGTGTCACGCGGCATTTCTGATTGTGCATGATTTTGCTCAGGTATTTGAACGACAACCAGCCGGAACAGCCGGAAGTCACAAGGGAGCTGAAAGAAAGCCGGTGCATCATGGACACCGAGGGAGTTCTTCGCTTGGCGCATCATTTCAGCTTGAGGCTGCTCATGGATCTCGGTCCGGTACATGCGGTGCCGGACGACGTGAAGCCGTTTAAGGGGATGTTGCTGGCCCTGGGAGCTCGGCAGACTGCGGCTCGGAGGCGGAATTTCCATGGGACCTTCGTGAACATGCAGACTTGTTGAACCCACAAGTCATTCTGTTCCCTGTTTCTGGGGGTCAGAAAATTGGGCTGTGTCCCTTTAACCCACCACTTCGGGGTGACTTTGATCAAATGATGAGGCCAGCTATTGGAATGGCTGGCAGGTCTCAAACAAAAAGCGCCGCTTGTGGAAAGTTGTGCGGAGTGCCAATCCTTGCTGAGGCCTCGGATCGTCCGCTTCCCCCACAGTTGACACCAAAGCAAGTGTTGCAGGACAGCTTTGGTCAGGGGAAAGAGGTGTGGCGTAAGACATGGTTTGCTGCAGGAGCTAAGACAAGATGACCAGTTCACCGACTTGACTGTCGAATGCCGCGATGGAATGGTCATGGCACACCGTGCCATTTGGTGCAAAACTTGCCCGAAGCTGTTTGACAAACTGACCCTGAGCAGTCCAGGGAAATGGTGCCTCAAGGAGAAGGTCAGATGCTCCCAGCGATCACTCGAGCTTCTGCGCGACATGATGTACTCAGGGAGGGTGGACGGTGACATCGTGGACGAGATGAGCCTGGAGCAACAGCAGGAGTGCCTCAGTGTAGCCCGCTGGCTTGGCATGGAGTATGTGCGGGAGTGGATGGCGCAATACTTGCATGGCGTTAAGCCCGAAGACGTGGATCCGACATGCCAAATTCCTCCCCATTGGAAGAAGCAGCCCATGCCAGCTCAAGGTTGGCGGGCCATCCCCATCTCCGAAGACGATCTGCTTCGGCAGCTGAGCATGGTTCTCAAACCGCGCAACGCAGAGGATCTGGGTCATGGTCGGGATTGCACACGGTGGCCGCAGTACAGGCGCCTGAACCTGAAAAAGGCTTGGCGCGTAGAGAACGCATTGCTATGGCGGAAGTACGACACCGAGAGGGCCAACATGAAGGAGCTCTCCAAATCACGGCTGAGGCAAATGCCAACAGTGCATATTCGCCCTGAGCTGGCAGAGTCAACGCGAGCTCTGCCGTATCCCGTTTGTACGGAGGTCAATGAGGTATTCTTGCTCCACGGTACCAAGCCAGAGACAGCGTGGTGCTCGGCGTCCCACATTCAAGCTGCAGATGCTGCATGCAAAAGTGTAAGGAGTTTGTTTCTGACGATGGCTGAGGTGAAGCACATTTTGAATGATGGGCTGAACGAGCGCTTCTCGGGTGGGCTTTTCGGTAGCGGCTCCTACCTAGCCGAGGCGCATGCCGCTCGTTTTTTTGCTCTTGCATGCTTTGCAGACAGCTCGGCAGGATCCGGAGAAAAGTGACCAGTATGCGACAGTGGACCGGGACGGGAAAATGCTGCCAACAGACCTCAGCACGGAATGCCGTTCGATTGGAGCCTCGGCTGGGCTCCCTATTGCTTTTTGTTTGCAAATTCAGCACTAGTCGGCAAGCTGCATGAGTCTGAGTCTGAGAGCATTGCAACACAGGAGATGTGTTCTACATCTTTGTGTGCCGGACCTTGCTAGGCCCGCAGACTGCAAGCCATTCTTTGTTTTGGACAAGCTTTCCGCAAACGTACATTCGTTCTGGGCAGTATGCTGGCCCCTGCGGCTCTTGCCAGGCTGGTTTGTGCAGACGAAAGATGGTGAGACACATCTTCAGAGTGGCCTGAGTATTTGGTCAACGCGTCTTGAACGCACATCAGCCCGGACAGAAAACGCGGCCTAGCTTGCCATGACTGGGTCAGGAGGGACAAGCGGGAGTTGAGCTACATTCCTGGTGTGGAGCCACAAATGACCTTTCAATCATTGCAGGCAGGAGTTCCATGTTGAAAGAAGCACAGTTGCACATGCGAATTTCTTTGGTGAAAAGTCGGCCTTGAAGCTGATGTTGACGCCTTTTTTGCTCTGCATGATGTTGCAATGTCTCGAGGTAGAGATTGGAGGCAGGGTGCATCGGAATCGGGAATACATCTTGACTCACAGCGCGCGGCGCTCAACTGTGACAGATGAGGGGTGAATGTGGAAAGCGAAGACAATAAGGAACGGATCTACCCTGAGTACTTGATTGCATACAGCAGAAGCTGATATGCAACGCATGTAAAGGAGCAGATCCAGGTGGTGCTTGAGTTGCACGAATTCAGCCATGTCGATTTGTGTTGGGATGCCATGTAGTTCGTGCTATCTAACTTGTGCACTGGCCATGATTGGGGCACCATGCTGCAGCAAAGCGAGTTATTGTTGTGGGCAGACATGCGTCCCGTGATATATTCATGTAGGCAAATTGGCCAACAGAGCCACAGCAGTCGATTTTTCGCCTGGCAGAGCGAGTCAAAGAACCAGAGCGAGTCTCAGTGAAGGTGTTTTGGTTGCTTCACTGCGGTCTTCAGGCAATAAGCGCCTTACTTATTCGGATGGTGAAATGTGACCAGGATTATTTGATGAAGGTTTCAATATCAAACCTCCGGCGTCAGAACATGCAGCATGTTCAACTCAGATTCTCGTTCGACCCATTGCCTTTGCCAGTTGTGGTAGGTTGTGGAACAGGCCCCGGGATTTGCAAAGCCGTTCTTTTTGATGGCACAGCACCCTCGCGAAGCCCCTTCCATGCCTTGTGTCTGAAGTGGTGTGGTGACGTCCGCGGAGCCTCGACGATTTCATCTGCTTTGCAAACTTGTAACATGCCAGGCTGAATTCTGTGCCAGGCATCCCAAACGGACAGCGTCATCGCTAGCATCTCCAGCATGACGCCCAGCATCAATACCAAAAATGGCCACAGGCCTTCTTGTCAGGAGTCGAAGCCGACGCATCGCCTCTTCGACTCGACTCATCGACTCATCCTGCACCATGCGAATGATGTGCCTGGCCTTGGGATTGTGTTGAGCCGTGCTCGTTGTGTGGGGCGCTAGGTTTGGCGCATGTCCGCAAACTTGGGCGCACCCAATTGTCACATTAATAGGCGATAGATCGATGGATCCAACCTTTGTTTTTAAATCCACCGCACTTTGAATGGTGTGCTTTGAACAGTATGCAGCTGTAGTGCCTCCAGAGAGCCGCGAAGTATCAGACTGGAGGGCTGGGGGCTGCATTTCCAGCCTTCGCGATGGATCCAGGCAGGTGTGCCCAATTGCTTCCGGGGTTCGTGTTTCTGGGTGCTGATAGGTCAGAGGGTCTCGGAGTATGCAGTGGCCACCTCTACCAGCGCCCTGTTCTCACGAAGCTTGTCTCAACTGCTGCATGTTTCGGCTTTAGCAGCCTTCACGTATCCTCACGCACTACTGCAAGGATTGAACTGCTTGCGGGGCTTGTTTAGGTTTGACAAGTGAACAATTTGCCAAACCAAGCAGGCATTTCAGCTGTTCATCTTGTTAGTCAGGTGCCCTTGCTCGGACAAGGGGACGCTGCTCGGCAAGACTTGTTTCCAGCATTGCACTGTTGCAGCTGTACTGCGACTGCTGAGCTCAGGTCAGATTCCCTATATGTGCAGCGCACCGGTGAGGGCTGAGCCTGATGGTGTCTATGCAGATGGCATCAAGCCCCTTGCCGGCAGCTGCAACACCTAGCAATCTACCATCTTGTTCTGCGCTATATATGCTCGTGTTTGATTTGCCGAACCCCAGGATCACACTGGCCAACAAGATGTGGATGTACTATGACAACATCATGCGCCTTGGATTGGCACCTATTCTCACTGAGCTCACCTGGGAGCATCAAGCTTTCATGGGCCGTGCCTGTTTGTCCTTGGCCATTTTGGTCTCTTGAACAGGGAGTTGCTTATGTAAGGGGTTTCATGTGCTTTGGAAGCTCCCGAGAATGCAACAACCAAGTCTGCTGAGCGTGATCATGCCCGCTGCCGCTGTGTGGATGCTTGTCAGCAATCAGACATAGGGGGAACTTGGGGATCACTTCTGCAAAGCTGAAGTGGCACGGTGTCCTGCTGCAAGGGTCCTGAACCGCATCCCCAAGTGAGAGGGGCATTTGAGAAGCAGAGACAGCAGCAGTTGCAAGATGAGAAAAAAAGCAGCGCTACGCTTTGAGGCGTTCATTCTAATGCATGAGACGTACTTGCCCAGATAAGTACCTGCCAGCCGAAGTATGGTGTTCATCGCTGACAGCCTGTGAGTTAGAGTCCTGCCGGCGGCACACTTCGTGTGTTTACTGGCATGGATTTGCTTCCTTAGGCAGATCAGATGAACAAGTTCTTTTTGAGACATGCACTTGCATTGTTGCAGGACACGGCCCCGAACTGTAGCCAATGGATCAAGCAATACCAATGGAGACAAGGACTTGACTGATGAAACTGACAGTTAGATACAACAAAGCACAAGCGCGAATCCAGAGAAGGAGGTCCAAACCGGACCGTGCTCATGTGTTGTACCTGATCCATGCGTCGCACAAGTGAATGGATGAGTGGCTTATGCTGGCTAGATGGATTCGCAGTGTCGGAGGGGTAGCAACATTGGACCTGATACGTGTGCACACATTGTGGCAGCTCGCTGCTGGACTGCTATGTAGCACAACGAAACGAACGAATCAATTCATGTTTTTCACTTTTTTTGGTCTTCATGATTTAGTTGCTTTCTATCACCCCGTTTCTGAACCAGAGCCATGTGATCCAGTCCAAAACACAATGTTTGTTCTACATGAATACATGTGATGAGTACCCGGGTGCGAAGCAGGAATTTCAGATGTGATCCACAGCAAGCAAAACATAAAAACAACACATGCATGTGAAATAGACAAAACGTGGGATCTAAAAGATCATTCACGAACATAAACACATGCTTGTGTTAAATCAAATGTCAGCCTGCCGGTGCAAAGCAATGCCGGTGCAACAAGCTTTGTGTCCTCCAGCCCGCGGAGCGATCCGCGAGGCGCGTGCCTCAGAGCTTTGCAGCTGCGCGCGCTTGGTGGCGGAGGTTGATCGCAGTGACTGGAAGATGGTCTGGGCCGCGCTGGTGGAGGTCTCCTTTGTGCAGCGGATGTTGGTGGCGGCCTTCCAAGAGGGCGCCGCGGAACGGCGCAAAGCGAGGCTGCGGCGCCGCTACCAGCTGCTGCTGCTGGAGGAGAAAGGGTGCCCTGCAGCGGTTTGTGAGCTGGATCTACGGCAGAGCGTGGCTCAGCTGTCCAGCCTGGCGGTCCGTGTGGATCGCAGACACTGCGGCTTGGCCGTGGCGCTGCTGGAGGATTGCAAGACTCGGCTGCTGCCCGGCCAGGCAATGCAGCTGGACGTCTATGAGGACAACGTCCCAGCGGAAAAGCTCTACGAGAAATGCGGCTTCCGACCCGTCGGCTACACCCCGGTCACCGACCTGGAGACCGACGCGCTGCTGGGCCGACGAAGCGCGCGTCGCTGGGCCTTCGCGGTCGATGCGTCGGTCGCAGACGCGCTCGAAGCGCTGGAGGCTCCGCCGACGTCGTCGGAGCTGGGGTCTGAAATGCTGCGGCGGTTGCTGCGCCAGGTTTGGATCGGGCTTCTGCTTAGCTGTCCGCTGCGCCTCTTCTAAACAACGCCCGGCAAAAATAAGAGCTGGGCGACGGGGGGCGGAAGCGTGCTTGCCGCTGAGAGGAAGTGTCGGGGGAACGGCAAGCGTTTCTACGTGCTGAGAGGGGGATGCGGGCTAGGGCAGTGAAGTGTGGGCTCCATTAGCCCGCTGCAAGCTGTGCATCATGGATTTTTGCCTTTGTGTCCCGGCGCAGTTGGATCAGATAGTCTTAAAACAGATAGCAAGACAGAATTGCACAAATCTCTTGCAGAGCAAGGCAGACTGAACAAGAGACCTTGGCCAGCTGCGGCCCGCCATTTGCACATTGCGTTTCCGTAGATTTACGGCCATATTCTCAGTTTTGCCAGAGGGACTAACCCTTTTGCTTGCCACCTGCTTTGCAAGACATGACCTGGCAGGTGAGTCTTTGCAGTCATGGAGATGTACGAAGAAAGACCTCCAGAAATCTTCACAGGTGGCTACTTCGATCAGGCAATGCCCAATAACACTGCAAGCTGTTCTCAGGCTTGTTCCTTTGTTCCTGTTTTGTTCCTTTTTGTATTGTATGCCAAAGCGACATTGCGATTCAAAGCTGGAAGGCCAACATTGTGAACCAAACAGAAGGCCTGCAAGACTTCAGGCTCGACTCCGTAGCTTGAACTCAGATCTGCTCCTGGCGAGATGCAGCGTGCGCCAGGCGTAGACAAGAAGGACATTTGATCATCGCAGATGATACTTAGCTCTACAGTTTGCTAAGTTCTTCTGGCAAATTCTTCAGCGAACTCTTCCGAGTTTGGAACGACTGGCCTTGAGATTGCTGCTTGAGTGAGAATATGCTGAGGACCGACCTCTGCTGGTTATGTCGTTTGGCCTGAAATATCAGGGTCCCAACCCTTCCAAGTGCGGCCCCCAGATTTCCGCGGGATTCTCTGATGGAGCCACTTTGAGATGAGGTACAAAATAGAAGGCAAGTACGACATCCCAGTTGGATTCAAGGCCGGAATCTGTTTCAGCGTTGGCTGAGATGCTCCGGCAATAGCTGAGCATGCCGGCCACCAGGTCATCATCAAGTGGGAAGAGGATGAGATTGTGTTCATGACCCGCCAGGCCACCCACTCAAGCTATTGACACAAGCCTTTGCACTTGGTTTGACATGGCGCGCTTGCCAGGGCACCTTCGGACCAGAGTTTCAGATCGTCTACCTCCCGCAGAGCTGCTGCCTTAGGTGTCAAAGTGACATGATCAGCTCAGCTGCTGCCTTCAGACATGATCAGCTCTCAACACAACAAACAACCTTGCAGAAGTGACAACTGCAGTTTCTCGTTCAACATCGTCAGGTCCGACTCCGGAAGATTTCACGGTCTTCGAGTGGAATGCCAACATTGCGGAGATATGGGACCAGGCGGAAGATGAAGCCTTGACGCCTGCCTAACGCCGAGATTTTAACAGGCTGCAAGGTCCGTTTGGGCATGTTGTCATGTACTGACAGTTGGGAAGCGTGTTGCGTTGCAGTTCCTCACGGTCATAGAGGGCAAGGAGGATAGAGATATGCGACTCTTCAATCAAGGACTGTGTGCTGCACTGTTTTGAGGGCAGAATGTGTCAGCTGTTTGTTTCTATCATGGGGCAGGCGCAAGGCAGCAGAGTCCGTTGTGTATGCAAGCCGCTTTGAATGTGGGCATTTTCTCTGTAGCACCATCCGTACGCTGCGGTGTGCCATGAAGGACCTTGGCGGACCTTCGGAGTCACGAGAGACGAGGCGGCTGCGCAGCTGCGCGGCTGCTTGCGCCAGTCGTGAGTCGGGGTGTCGTGGTAGTTTTCAGGTGCAGATGGCGCTGAAGCAGGGCACAGACCAGAAGACCATTGTGGATGGTGACTCCCATGTTGAATGGACTTACCGCGTTTCGTTTTGGGGTAGGTGCACCACCCATTTTAGTCTATTTTAGGGGGGATTGGGATGTTCACTGGGGGTACGATCTGGATTTTGACCCATGGCCGTGTGCAAAAAATGATTGGCCTCGGCCAGACTTGGATTCCAAAGCACACAGGTATCCTGTACTGCGCCGACGGCATAGAGCCTGATTTGCAGGATGGGACGTTGGGAGAAAGGAACGCCACGGACCAATGCAATGCAGTATGGCTATGATTTTCTAATAGGGAATCACTTCAAGAGTGGTTGGCGGACAGAAATCCCCATGTCCAGGCAAGGGTCCCCTATTAAGATTCACCCCCATATGACTGCTTGTTTTGACTACGCCCCTGAAGGAACACATGCGTTACCTCGGCGTGGATCCGGCAACGGATGAGAACATCCTATGGATCTTCACTGCCTTCAAGGCCTTGAATGTGTGTTGTAGATGTGGCCCATGGCAGAACTTTGATGAGGTTTGCTCAGAACTACTTGTAGTCTACGGTCCATTGGCGGAACTCACCAAGTTTCCCACACACCAGCGGACTCACCATGTTTTTCCGCCTGGGGAACGAATGAAAGTGGCCCATATGGCTTCTTTCTCAGGAGGAGCCTCTACCTCCAAACTTCTCGCAGTACGTCAAGGCGCCGTGGCAGCAGCAGTGGACAGTTGAGCTACACAGCAGCGCCGTGTCTTGCGGCAGGATGGCATGGTGTACTGGGTAGATGAGCGCACAAGCGAAGCAACATGGAAGCTGCTCGGCGGCAACGCTGGTGCTAGTCATCGTCTGATGTGCAAACACTGCGGAGCAGGATTGGCACAGCATTGAAGGATATATTCTTGCCAGCAATGTGTTTATCCAACTATATATTTCTTCGAGTGCCTTTCGCCCACTTTCTCTGTCTCTCTTTGTGGAGTGGTGTAGAGTTTCCATGTGCTGTCACAGAAGGTGCTGTTGCTCATTGACGCCAGATTGTTCTTGTACATGTACAGGTCTATAGAGGAATGTTTCAATAATAAATCACGTCACATGGCTGTGGCTCAAAAAACCGGTACCAAAATGGACCCCTGGTAAGTGAAAACATGGACAAACACCTGCGTAACCCCTCCTGTTCAGTTTTGAGCCACACCCACATGTACGTAGGTATATCAAAATTTCTGTTTGGGTTCGAGAACACGTCATTTTGACATCTTTCTCATGCCTGGGTTAAGCCCGCGAAAAACTTGAGGCATCCGCACTACGATAAGTTCAGGAAGATGCTCCAGGCCTGACTTGCAAACTTTAACGGGCTCTCTGACACTTGGCCGTGGGTCAACACCAAAGGGATCCCATTTTGGGGTAAGTGCACCACCCATTGTAGAACCTATTTTAGTGGGGATCGGGATGTTCACTGGGTGTACGATTTGCGGTTTGACCCATATCCACTTTTGTCTAGGTGGCCCGCAACCAGAAGCCAGTGCCTCACTGGAAGTCGATCATGGAGTTCAGGAGCTGCACAGTTGGTGTGACGACAGGGCCTCACAAGTTGATGTCTTCTTTTTTTGCGGAACCCTAGTTCTGCGTTTTGTTTGTTTGTTTGTTTGTTTGTTTGTTTGGAGGAATTGCCTAATTGTGAGACACTCCAAATTTCAAGCTTCTTGGCATGGACGACCCACGGCAGGATTGAGTTCTTGTTATCCAACATCTTCACCTGGGAAGCAGAGGTGGGATTCCGGATATCTTTGCAGATGGCAGTTTGATGAAAGGGATATGCAGGGACCAATGCGTCCGGAGTCAGGCCTCTGGTGACTTTCCTCTAGTTGAAACCGTTGACAACGCCGCTCGGCTGGCACATGGGCCGTGCTCAATGGGCGTTTGATTGGAAAGGCGTCTTGGATGTCCAGATCCGATTTCAAACAGATTGCAGTGGGCTGGAGCAGGTTTGGAAACTGACTGGAGAGAGTTGCCATTGTGCTTAGTCTTATTTCTCCCAAACTATTCAACGCAGCCCTCAGCATCTTGAAAATTCATGCGGCGCCTGCAGTTGTGGGTAGCCTTTTGAAAAGATGTTGACTGATGGAACTTCTTGGTAAGCGGGCAAACGAATCCTCGAGCATGGGAAGATCCAGGCGAATTGCGACTGAAGATGCGTTGCAGTTTCCCTGCCGCCCTCCCGAAGATGAACTCCTCCGAGTGAGAAGACGAGTCGCCCCCTAAGGATTTGGCACCCCAAATGTTTACGTAAGCAGGAACACCGTGTTGGTGAAAAGAGCAGCATGCAGCATGCCGTGTTGCGCTTGCAATACTCCCCACCGTTTGTGGCTACGTTCCCCCCTTTGTTTTCTTCCTTCAGCCTGCATGTGGTGCGATTGTTCCTGTCAGAGAACAACGATGAAAAAACTAGCAAGATTGGAGAAGGAACTTCAATGATACGGGCACCGATTGCAACTGGTTGTTTGCACGTGTAAATTGCCATACACGGATGAAGTCGGAGAGATAGAAAGCGAGGGCAAGCGTGCACGGAATAAATTGCAGCAAGAAGCCCTGTGGACATGCTGTTGCCAGCTTGCAGTGATTTGCCAAATCGAAGGAAGCCCCAAGGCAAGCCCGAAGCAACATTTTGCCACGCAATTCAGAGCTCAGTTCTTTGTGCCTCAGCCTGTGAGCAAACAGACATTCTAAGGTGATAGAAATGGCAAGAATATTTGGCGTCGACATCAAGAACGAGCCGTATTTGGTTCACGCGCCACGTTCAGTAGGTTGAGATCGGACAACATGCAGCCTTGTGCCGTGAGCTGTGAGATTCGTTCTTAAGATCTGAGTGTAGATTGGATCCTCGGCTCTTGAATTTCAGGTGCTCAAGCGGGCTCTTAGACATTATGGCAATTGCGTGAAGGAGAAGCGAAAAGTCAAGGCCAGGGGTGCTGACTGCACAGCGCAGTAGAGTTTGCTTGGGTGTTTGCTACTCAGGATGTGGAGGATTTCCGCAACTTGATGCACCGCTACCGAGATCTTGTCAGCTTTTGCCTTAGAATCAAGTGGTGCGTTTCCAGATGTTGCTTCTTCTATTTTCTTGCAAAATGTGGGCAAGTGGGCCGAAGAGAAGACAGTATACATCTTATAGCTTGCAATGCGTATGTAAAGACTCCTTTCACAGAATGACATGTGCTCTTTTGTGCAGGCCCTGAGCATTCTGCTTTGGCAGGCCAGTACGAGCAGGCCATGAGCATAGAAGAGAAACGCGTGGAGAAGCTGAAGATCTGTGCCCGGGCCTCAGGCTTTGTACTCTCGGGACCCAATGTTAAGTTAAGCGACCAAGGTCCAATGTGACGAGCGAGATGCGGTGCTGTTCTGTGATCAGTGCAAAGACTTCTTTTGCCAAGGCTGCTTTGCCGGACTCCCAGGTTGCAATGCGAACCGATCTTCAGTGTCTCGGTTTCAAGGACAGGCTCCACAGCAGAGGCCGCCGGCAGAACCACCGAAGAACTTGGGTCTGCGGCTTATGATGCAGAATCTATTTCGGTCCCGTGGCATCTAAGACATGCACTCGCTTTGCTAGGTGGAGATGGGAATGTGCGCAGAGTGCGTCGAGAGCATTGCGCTTTTCCATTGCGTGCAATGCGCTGATCTCTACTGTCGGGATTGCTACCAGGCGTGAGTGTGTGTCTGTGTGTGTGATTGTGTTCGCGGGCGTCACAGAGTGAGTATGCCTTGCCAGCCTTGCCATATGCAGCTCTAGGAGTGGCACGTACGTGGCGGTCGAAGGAATCACATTCCCATCATCCTGAGATCGTTCAACTCTCAGACGCACCAGCTACCAGAAGCCACGCCTGCAATGGGCACCGGAGCTGCCCAGATCCTGGCCAAGGCAGTTGCGCAATGAATCATGCACATTGTGTCATTTTTTTTAGACATCGGACCCCTCAAAATGGTGGTGTTCTTCTTGGTTCCCTTGAAAACCAAGAAAAAGGGGTACCCCCAAACACACCACACCCAATATCATGCCAATGTTACTCAGCGTACGCAGGCTCGAAGTCCATGGGTGGAGTTTATCGATGAGAACAATGCTTTCCGCTCAATGGGCTCGAAGTGAGTTGTTTCATTTTCTGCTGCTCATCGAGTGCAGCACACGAGCAAGGTCAAGCTGTATTACAATATCCTGACTACAGAATCGAGGACCCACGTCGCAACGCCACGCAGGCTTTGGCACAAGGCAACCGGTTATGATGCTTTGCATAGGAGAGACAAGCCGCTCGCCGTGATCAACGAGCCCATTGAAGACAACAAGGGTGGAGGTGTGCTGCTTCACAGCACAGCAAGGCTTGTCTGATGCTTTTGTGCAGGTATGAGTGCGGGGTGGTCTGGGACATGGGGCGGCAGCCTCGGGCGGCGGCATACAGAGGGTCAGGAACTCAACACCGAGGCGCCAATATGTTCCCCGATCCACTTGACAGCCGTGCCCAGCCAAGCGCACCCCAGATGGAGACAGCATTCTAGCGCGCCGCTCTTAGCGCTTGGCAGCAAAAGGCAGTCTCTCTGAAATGGTTTGCAACACTACTATGGAGGTGTCTCATACGGACACCCCTCTTTTGGATGGTTTTAATGAGACACCAAAAGGAAGGGCGCCTAATTTTTAGAAATGCAAATTTGTTGTGGAATCGCCTGGTTTGCAAGGTCTTCAAAGGTGCGGAAAGCACGGGGCATGCGCTTGTACAGGTTCAGGTTTTCACCGTGTCACTCGCCTGTCCCGTAGAGAGAGAGGCGATCTCACGTTTCACACTCCGCACAACATGTGCATCAACCAGCTTGGACATATTGTTGTTTCATCCTAATCCATTTCGGGGCACGCAGTGTTCTTTGAAGGCTAAACTTCTGTTGATCAGGGAGTCGTTCCTTGGAGTCGGTGTGGCCAGAGTCGAATCCGTTTCAATGGACGACATTCATATGCACGAGAAAATGCTGGCCGCCTCGCTGCATGGCATGTGTTTGAAGTTGTTTGTAGCAGGCCCTTTGTGGAGACTTGCAGGATGCAAGCTTGAATCTCTTCTGCTTTCCAATCTTACCGAAGCTTGCCGAGTGTGCGATATACAACATACGTGTTTCCAGCAAGCTCGCAAATCACGGGATGCAAGAAGCAAGATCCACCGTCACTAGCAATGAGGCACCAGCGCTCGATGGTGATGGTTCCGTAGATGTGGTCTTGGCCTTTCCTGACCCTTTGTGGCTGTCGTCAAAGCCTGCTCGATCGCTGGCGACGGTTTACATGCTGCTTTGAAGATGGGTTCAGAATGATTGTGGCGCACTGTTTGTTGGACATGCTTCCCTAGATTAGCTAGAGGCTGTCAAGCTTTCAAATTCAGCTATGTGTGCCATTTAGTGTCTCTAAGTTGGCGCTCCGAAGTAGGCTTCATATATGCCGCAATGAAGTCGACATCACAGCTGTAATCAGTGTTCCCGCAACATATGTCCAGGCAAAGTGGTGAGAATGTTACCACGGCATTTGGGCCAGGGCGCAAAGCTTGGAGCTTGTCCTGTGGACGTCAATGCTTGTTTTCGTACGCCGCACCCTCCGGTTGCTGCGGTCCACATTTCTTAGGGCACTCAAGCCATGGTCTTGGCTGTCCCTTTGTATGTGATTTTGTGACCTCCCGGCCCACACCGGCCTTCAATGTGCGAACCGGAGGGATCTGAGTTTCGGCTTCAATTGGCAGAACCTGGAATGGTGGGGCGAGCTGTCGTCATTGCCACCGGCAAGCTCACCGTAGCCAACCCACCCGAAAACAGCCCTGGTCGCAGCCGTTTCTCTTGCAAAAGCGAGCTGACCAGGGCCCAGCGATCACATGAAGGTGGCTGCAGGCCACGTCCTATCGCACGTGGAAACCAACGGTCCCCTGTCTTGGGCTTTGCCACCCCGAAACGAGTGCCTGGTTGGAAGATGTGACTGTTTCTTCTACGGCTGCATTTGTGGCTGCCCCAGATGTGACCTTGGAAACTAAACTGCAGCAGGGTTGCAGGTCGACTCGTTTTCCTTCGCAATTGGTGAGTGGGGATCGAAGTGCCCTCACCAACTCAGTTGAAAGCACTGTAGAAAGGAGCGTCTCAAGGGCCTGCCGGTCCAGGCAGCGTCGCCGAAGTGACTCGCCTCGCTGGCGCGAGCCCGTCTGCAAGGGCTGTTGACAGCGGCGCATCGAACCCCAGCCTCTGCTTGGGTGCGCAGGCAGCTTGGAAGACTCCATATTGCTGGGCGCCGACAGAGGTTCCTGGACCCAGCCGTGCAGCTTCCGCAAGCCCACGGAGCGCACAGCAACAGATCCTCACCCGCTTCGTCATCCACGAGAACACACAAGTGTTCCGCTAAAGATTCGGCGCCTGCTGCAGCGCAGGGTCTCCAGGGACGCGGGTGGCTTGGGCGTCACTGTCATCCGTTTGTTGAACTCTGCGCGGAACGTTTCCCCCTGTGCCTGTGGAAGAGCAACGTCCGAGGGCCGAGAAGGAAAACACTTCCAGGCTTCCGTGGAGCTAAAGCTGTTTCGCGAACCCCACAACTCTTGCACCAAGTCGACATCCCATACTGCCTGCAGAAGAACTTGTTGCGCGCTGGCGCTCGGCAAGGGAGGCGACAGGCTCCTGTTGCCTGGCTTGTCGTTGCGCCGGAACCCCAAGGAAGACTGGGTCGCCCGCATTCAATGAGTTTGAAACCAACCGCTAGTATGCCGTTTCGGACCAGGGATAATGCTGCACGCAAGGCATTCGTATACCGGTGACCCTCGGTCACGAATGCAAGGGGGGCGCCAGTGAGGGTCGGGCGCCTCGACGCGACTGGCAGGCGGCAGTTCCGCATGAGCCTCCGGGCTGCGCCGCAGCGCCGTCGAGATTGCAGCGAGCGCGGCCAGCCGCAGAAATTCAAGACGCAACGCCGTAGGCGCCCCACGCGCGCGGCGGGAGTTGCATTGTTTCATGGTGGGCAGGCCAGGTGAACAATTCCTTGTGCAAACATGGCAACTCACCACAGATATCGGGCTGCAAGCCATCCTTTGATGTGGCAACTCACGATGCCACCACCACCACGAGGGAACGCGAAATCTTAGCGTCAGCAAGCAAAACCGTTTGCCCAAACATGAGTGGATTGCACGCGTCGCGGCGTTTAATGAGGGGCGGTGGACACAACTGCTGGAAGAAGCCCGCAACTCCAGCCGCCAGTGTCCCGAGCAGAGGTAGCGACCCCGGAAGCCCTCGCGGCCCAGCGCGCGCGCCATCTTGTGCACGAACTGTCCGCAGCGCGACAGGTGCTGACGTGTAGTGCGTTGGCAGGAGCTTCGCGACCCCGACCGGCGCCCAGCCCAGCCGTATGAAGCGCTTTCTGACGAGGTGTTGGATTTCCAACCTGACCAGGTCCACCTCCTCCCTGAACTGGTGCTCAAACCTCCAGTGCGCGCGGAAGGGAGCTGCCCCAGGACCCTTGGGCCTCACAGCTGAGGTCGCTCGTGTGCTCCTTGACGATGAGAGGGCTTCTGATCTGTTCGTCCGTGTGATGCAACTGGTTGCGCGAGCGGCGGTGCCCCGAGATGCGGCAAGGGCACTCGGCCTCGGGCGCATGGCTCTCCAAAAACCAAACGGCCGAGTCCGGGGCATCGTGATCGGCGACTTTACCCGCCGTTTGGTTGCGCGGTGCCTTGCCCAGCGGAAGGCGGAGGCTTTCCAGGAAGCATGCTCTCCTTTTCAGTTTGCTTTGTCCACGCGATCTGGCGCGGAGAGTGGTGTTCGTTTGCTGACGGTCGTCTTCGAGCTAAGTACTCTTTTCTCCGTTGATGGAGTCGGTGCCTTTGACACCATGAGCCGCCAAGCCATGTTGCAGGGGCTGCTTCGGGTCCCTTAGGCGAACCAGTGCCTCCCCATTGCGCATGTTCTATTCGGAGCCATCCGAATATGCGTGGCACGGCGCAGCCGGGACTGCGCGCATCATACAACAAGGGGGGGGGGGAACGGTGATCCCTTGATGCCCGCTCTCCACTCCCTCGGCAAGCACGGTGTCTTGGCAGCAGCGCGCGCTCAAATGCAGCCGGACGAATTGCTCGTGGCCTTCCTTGGCGATGTGACCACCATTGGCCGGGCGCGCGCGCCGCCAGCCAGGCGCGCCGGCCCCAGCTTCGCCAGTCCCGTGCTTGTGTGAAGGGCTCTCTCCCACGCTTGGGCACTTTGGCTTTTGCTCCCCCGCACGTTGCTTCGCCGCCTCCCGCAAGCCTGAATGGCGCGACGTTCCCGGCCGTTTACTGCGCCATTGCCCTACCCGCCCTGGGTGGGGCGCCGGCCAGCGGCCCAGCCATGACAGCCTTTGCCTCCTGCCTCGCTGGTAAGGGGCGATTTTTACAAGCCTACGCACTAGCCAGCTGTTTGTGAAAGCCGCCCAGGGCTTGGAGTAAACAGAAGTACCCCTGCCCAGCTTTCGGCCTTCGCCGCGTGGCTGCGCTTTCGAAATCAAGAGTCGGGTTCGTGGAATTGTTGTCGGTGACTTGCTGCAACGTTTGGTCGCACGGTCCTTAGCGCAACAACACCTTGCGTTTACCCTGTAAGAAAGCTTGTGCTTTCTTCCAATTTGGTCTTTTGTTTCGCGCCTCGCCCCGGCGCAGCCATGTTTTGCGCGCACTGCCGCCCGAGGCCTCGCTGGCTTTTGCCGAATCCCATGATGCTGCCATCGCGGCGTGTGTTACGGATCTTTTCGGGCTCCGCCCTCAAATCGCCCAGCTCCGTTTCCAGCAAGGGCGGCCTCAGCTTGCGCTCTGGAGTGGCTCTCGCTCCGGCCGCCTACGGGGCCTCGTGGGCGGGCACGCTGCCGGTGCTGCAACGCTAGCTCCCGCGTTTGGCGGAAGAGATCCTTGCCAGGCTCCACGCCCAGGAGCCTTTCGGCCCGCACTGCTGGGCGTCCTGCGATCCCACGAGGCGCTCACCGCGGCGGAGTTTAGCACGCCATCATGGCTTGCTTGACTCACTCATGGGCAGTTGGGGCACCTGCCCGAGCCAAGCGCACGGGGCTGGCAGCGGGAGCTTCAGCAGCCGCCCTTTCACCAGTGTGCTGCCCTGCCCCGAGCTCAGTTGCGTCGTTTGTGTCTTTCTTTGCCTTTGTCCGAGCGCACTTGCCGGTGTCGTCGCCCTCTCGACTCTTTTGGCGATCGCCGAGCAGCCTACGCTAGGTCAGGTTCTTTGCGGAGTCGTGGATGGCTCGTGTTAGGCCACTTCCTTGTTGCAAGCCATCCGCACCATCCCCGACCTTCAGTGTGCCTGGTCGCTTCTTTTGTTTTGTGCTTCCCCTCGCTGCGGCCACCTGCGCAGTTGCCCTTCCATGAGGGCGGCCTCGGCTTGCGCAGTGCCGTGTCCCTTTCCCCCGGCGGCGTTTTGGGGTTCCTGGGCTGATGTGCTGCCAGTGCTACACAGCCAATTGCCCGACTTGGCGGCTGCCATCCTGCGTTTGCTGCAGGCGCCCAACCCAGTGCCGGTCCGAAGTTGTTCTGCCCTCTTGCTTGCGCGGGCCCGACTCGTTGAGGCGGGGTTTGCTGTGCCCTCGTGGGAGGCGCTCCTGCAGCCCAGCGCCGATCCCCCGCCTTCCCCGCACGCTTTCAACCTCCGCGGGGGGCAGTCCCCAGCCGCTGATGCTTCTTCTCGGCAGCTTCAAGGCGAGGTCCTCGGCTTCCCAGCTCTTGTGTTCGCAGAGGCCAAGCTGCCCAAAGCTCGCCTACTCCCCTGCGCTGTTCCGCGTGCTTCTGTTGCGGCGCCTGCGCCTGCCTCTTGGCTACCATCGTGCAGCCGCGGATTTGCCGCAAGGCTGGCACCCTCGTGCGCGATCCTTGCTACGGGCTTGCCTGGGGGAACGGAGCCCAGCTTGCTTTTGACACGACCATCGTCTCGCCCCTCACATGCGATGCCGTTCCGCGTGACTTGGCACCCCGTCGCTTTGCTTGATGCCCGGCATCAGAGGGAGCGGACGCACCCCGCGGGACTGCGGTCGTGCCGCTTGGTCGTTCTTGGTGTTGAGGTCGGTGGGCGATGGGCTCCAAGACTGCCGGTTTCCTGCGGGCTTGCCCGCCAAAGCCAGAGACCTTGCGCCTGGCCTACCAGTCTGGCTTCTTGACCGCCGCCGCTATGCAAACCTTTGCTGCCAGCTTGTCCGCCTTGCCTTCAGCCGGCCTGTCATGCCTTGATGGCCCGGACCCCATCGTCAGTGACGTGCTTGCCGACCACACTGATGGGAACTCTGACTCTGGAAGGTCCCGGGTGAAACGCCAGCTGAAGCGCCCTGCGCGCCAAGCCGCGCAAGGGCAGGCGGTTTGGACCGCAGGCCCGCGCACAACAGTGAGGCCAGCCACCTGGGGCGGATCGCCCTTTCACTTTCATTTCCGCCTGCGCGCCGTCTGACAAGGCACAAGAAAGCTACTGGGCAACACAAGATCGCACAAGGCGAGGGAGGCGAGCAGGGGGATCCCCTAATGCCCGCCCTACACGCGCTGGGGCAGCATCCCGCACTGCTCCAAGCGCACGCGGCTTTAACCCCGGGGGAGGACTTGTACGCGTATTTGGACGATATCTATGTCACTTGCCAGCCCGAGCGTGCCGGGCCCGCCTTTACGGCCCTCGGCACAGCTCTGGGAGCGCGCGAACATCCGCGTCCATTTGGGCAAGACGCGGGCATGGAATGCCGCGGGCGAGGAACCCAGTGCACTACTGGATGCGCTCCCCGCCGCCGCGCGCGCTGACGCTTGGGCAGGGAGTTGGGCGAGACCACCAGCCCAGCAGGGCATCACAGTCCTGGGCACGCCGCTGGGGCATGCCGCGTACATCGCGGGAGCGCTGCGACGTGTCAGAGAGAAGCACGACGAACTCTTGGGTCGCATTCCCACGGTGCCACACCTGCAGAGTGCCTGGCTCCTCCTGCTCCTCTGCGCGCAGCCTCGGAGCAATTACTTGCTCCGCGTACTGCCGCCCGCTGACACGGGAGAGTTCGCCGAGTCCCACGACCGGGCCATTGCCCGCTGCCTGGGGCGCTTGCTCAGCGGCACGGACGAGCCCTTCGAACTTTCCCAGCTACAGGCCAGGCGTGCGCAGCTGCCACTCCGGTATGGCGGCCTTGGCCTCCGATCTGCCGCGGCGTCCCGGGCCGCGGCCTATTGGGCCTCCTGGGCGGACGCCATGCCGGTGATAGGCGAGCGGCACCCGCGCGTGCTCGCGCGGATGCTGATGGGCTTGGCCGATCCGCGGGGCGCCTCCGCCGCGCCTTCGACGCGGGCGGCGGCCCAGGCTGAGGCTGCTCTGCGCCTAGCGGGATTCCACGCGCCGCCGTGGACGGCCCTCGCGGAGCCATTTCGGCGACGCGGCACGGGGATGGCAACAAGCAGCTTGTGCCAGCCTGGATCAGCGGGCCCCTGAGACGCTCCTTGCTGACCTTGACGGAGCGTCTCGGGCTTTGCTGCTCTCCCAGGCTGGGCCAGGCGGCAGCCTCGCTCTCACGGCGCTGCCAACACGCGAGGAGTTCACGCTGCAGGATGACACCTTCCGCTGCGTGCTCCTGCGGCGCCTGCGCCTCCCACTGCCACTTGAAGCCCGAGCCTGCCGCTGCGGTGGCGCCCTCGACGAGCTCGGGGACCACAGGGCAGCCTGCCCCACAGCCGGTGTGCTGGTCCGCCGCGCTTGCCCCCTGGAGCGCGCTGCGACGCGCATCTGCCGGGAGGCGGGAGCGACTGAAGGGAACTCGAAGACTGGAGGGGACTGAAGCAGAACTCGGATTGAAGGGGACTGAAGGGAACGGACTGACGGGGACTGAAGGGAGCGCTGCCTAGACTGCCCCGTGCAGGAAGGCCTGGCAGACCCAGGCATTCAGGCCGGTATAAGCAACTGGGTGACTGACAAGCAAGAGCTTCAAACGAACGTGTGTGGGACAACCTCCTCGGAGATTTTCTGATCCCTGTGCTTCCGTAGTTGTTGTCTCTTTTTTTTCCCGGACCTTTTTCCGTCAAGCCGCGGTGAAACAGGGTGAAACACGCGACCGGTCCCTACGCGCCCGGCGCCCAACGGGCGTCGGACAGGACATCGCCCTCCAGCGGCGCGCTGGCGTACGCGTCGCCAACGTCTGTGGGGAGTTGGCAGAGGCTCGCAGCGAACGCTCCCTGCGCTGCGACTGCGAGCATCTGCCCCCACCAGCGCCTGTACGCGGCTGCGACCGCCGTGCGCTGCGCCGCGGGGCTGGCGAGAGCTCGGCCCTGCGCGATGCGGTGGAGGAAGGCCTCAGTCTCCTCGCCCCATCTCCCTCCAACTTCGAGGGCCAGCACCGTCAGACGACACCGCCGGGCTCGCTGAAACTCCGGGTAGGTTACCCGATGCTTGCGCTCGGCAGCGGTTCGCAAGGCGAGGCCGGGCTCGTGGTCGGCGCGAGATCGGCTGCTCCCGTCTCGCCGCAGCGGGCTGACGAGCGTCACATCAACCGCTACCTGCACGCCTCCAAAGGCCGCGCGACGACCTCGAGCCGGCGCCCGTCGGTCAATGGCCGCCCGAGGTTCAAGTCGCGGAGGAAGACCCTAGAGTTCCCCGTCCTTCTTCCTTCAAGCCTCATGGGACCATGCTGCCCCCCCCCCAACCCCTCCGCTGGTTTTTAGAATGTGTGCAAAAAGTCCAAGTTCCCGTCAAAATCTACTTCCTTCAGTTTTCTCCAGTCCGCTTCAGTCCCCTTCAGCGCCTTTCAGTCCCCTGAGTTCCCCTTTCAGTCCCCGGCAATCCTTGAGTCCCGTTCAGCTCTTCCGTCCCCTTCAGTCCCCTTTAGTCCTTCAGTCCCTTTCCGTCTTCAAGTTCCCTTCAGTCCCCTTCAGCCCCGTCTCCGCGCAAAGGGTAGGCTGCCCGGTCGCCCAGCCTGCTGCCGCACTTTTTTTTGACCCGAGGCAGCGTTCCGTGTCTAGCACGCGTCTGCACCAAGGACTGATATAGACAAGAACGGTGAGAAAAAGGTGAGACAGAACAAGGGTGAGACGTCACGAAAAAGCCTCCGGCCCGTAGACACCAAAGCAACGCACAAGGCAGACAAAACAAAACAAGGCAAACCAAACAAAAACACAACACACAACAACCGGGCAAAAAGAGGCAGCGTCTACTCAGCAAGAATTGAAATAGAGGATCTCATGTACACGGCACAAGCGCCAGAAGGTAAATCCATGCGAACCGCCATGAAAGCTCCATCCTCCATAGAATGCAAGCAGCACCCCACTGCCACGTGAAACATGCTCAGTAGAAAACAAGGTGAGAGCAGCGCCCACGGAAAGTAATGTAAGGCACCAGGTGCCACAGCATGCAGAAAGCAAGTAGGGCATCAATTGGAGCAGATTTGGTGCGAGGACAAAGACAAGACTTCTGAGAGAGAGAGAGAGAGACAGAGAGAGAAACAGAGAGAGAGAGAGAGAGAGAGAGCGAGACAGAGAGAGAGACAGAGAGAGACAGAGAGAGACAGAGAGAGACAGAGAGAGACAGAGAGAGACAGAGAGAGACAGAGAGAGACAGAGAGAGACAGAGAGCGAGAAAACGATAAAAACAAACAACAACAAAGAAGAAAAACAGCGCCTGAGGTCCTGCTTTTTGAGGCAGAGGACGTTGTCACAGACACGGGAACAAACGAGACTTGCGAGTCGGCATGCTCTTTGTTCCAGTTTGCGCTGAGTCATGTTCAGTCTGTGTGTTTTTCAGCTTTGACCAAGGATTAATGCACCCCTTCTGGATTTGCTGGAAGCCTGTATTGTTTCTTTTCACGCAATGCGTCAATTTTGGCCCCCAAGAAACCGCAGTGACACGATAAACCTGCGCCGTTTTTCTGTATGGCAAGAGTGTGCTCTTTCTGTCAACCTAACAATTGGTGCAAGCGGTTTTGGCAGCGTCTGACGTGTGATGCAACGGATGCAGGGCATACAATTTCGAGATGTGATGTGGAAGCCTGTGCATAGGCCATTGGCAAGCCGTGGCCATGAGTCATGCATGTCAAGAGATCACACAACCATGCGTCCACGTTTGAGGTGCGCATTTTGTGAAACATGTCTGCAGCTTTAGCTGGCCCAAGCTGGCCTGTAGCCCTTGGCGGTGGTGTCCCTTAGCAACGCTTTGTTGCTGGCTTCCCCGTGCTCAGCACTGCAATTCAGATTGGTCCAGCCTAGCTTCAGAAGTCACAGGCGCACACGCACACAACAAGCCAGATCTTGTTTTTTGTGCATGCTGACCAGGCAGGTATCCTCCAGTCACGTCAGTAAACAAACCAGTGCGCAATCCCTCAAGTTGGCGGGATTCGCGCACAGGCGCGTGCTGCTCATGGTTTTCATGTCTGAACGCCGGCGCGGCTGGCACTGGAGCTGATGGCGCCAAAAGCTTTGACGCCAGAGCCGTCGGGCCGAGCCCCACAGTCGCTGGATGAAGCCATCAGCGACCTCGGCAAGCTGCAGCTCATGCTGGCGGTGCCCAGCGTCTCGGCCTTGCGCACCGCGCGGCCGCTGCGCCGCTCTGAAGGGGAGCTCTACGTCGCCCAGTTTGTGCTGCAGTCGACACATCGGAAGTTTAACAAGTTTCTGAGCACGCCCGAAGGCAAGTGCGAGTTGCATCCTTGTCTCAAGCTGGGAACTGGAAGCCTGGCAGATGGCATGCCAGATGGCGACGGGTCGTTTGGCTGTTTGGACGATGGCACGCCGGTGATTTATCAGACAAATGGCATTGCCAGGATTGAGGAGTCGAAGTTGAACAGGGCGATCAAGTGCAGCCGCACTGGCGCGCCGGGGCATTACATGGAAACCAAGATGCTGGTGGCAAAGCCCCGTGACACTGCTGGCATATCCTTAGGACTGGCGCGTGCCAAGGTGATCCAAACACGGAAGGACTTGGAGCGCAACCTTTACTATTCCTTCACCAGCTGTTGGCAGATTTATGCCTGCTCCGCGCGGGTGGGGGAGCTGGGGGAGGATGATTCTGGGGAGCGGATCTTGGTCCGGCGCTCGGTGAGGGATTTCCGGCAGCATCACTTCCACGACTTCCCGGTGGCAAAACACTTGGCAGACCTGCTGGATCGAGAGAACCAGATCTTGGTGACCAAGCACAGCTTTGAACTGGAGTCGGAGGTCGAGAAAGCCAAGAGACTTGCTCAAGAGCGGATTTCGGGCGGGTTTCGAGCACGTGGCCTTTATTTTCTTCCCAAGACGGGAGGTCTTGTTTTGTCAATGTGGGGCCGAAGGAAAACACCAACACGAAAAAATAAAGCACACAGAGACATATATATATATATATATGTATGTTTAAACGTTCTCCCACTTCTCTTTTTTTCCTTTTCTGAGGGAAGCCAAGGTATACTTCTCCGTTTTTTGTTTTGTTTTTTCCTCCCGTAAGGGGAAGCTCCAAGGTATGACTACCACTGCTACACCCTGCGCTCCTGGCAGACCTACGAGTGCGAGGGCCGGCCGCCGGAGAACGACGCGGGGCGGCGGCTGCTGGAGGCCGCGAAGAACGGCCAGGTGTCGGAGCTGAGGCACTTGGCGCTTTGACGACCGCTATTGAGCAACGGATCTTTAGGCTTTTTGGTTGAAATTTGATGTTTTCCACTAGGCCCCCCAAAAATTTGAAACTTTTTTTGCAGGGGGGTCAAGAGCAACCGAGGTGCAGAACTGCGGGTGCCACTGCGACACCATTGTGGCGGCTTGATCTGGGGTCATTATTTTGATGGTTTCTGGGGGTTATCAAAGTCAGAAATTGGGGTTTTTTTCCTTTGAGCCACCACGTAGAGGGTGACTTTGATCATGGTAAAATAATGAGGCCAGTTGATGGCTAAAATGGGGCGACGGAGATTGGACTTTGAGAGACTTTTGGACTGGTTTGGATTGAAATGAATCTTTGGTCTTTTCTTGCTTGGTTGAAATCAAGTTGGTTTTCCGTATTGAATCCAAAACGAGTTTTTTTTGTTTCGCAAAAAACAAAACTTTGTCGCAGAGGGGTGAACAGCAAGCAAGGCGGAGTTTGGTTGCATCGGCACCGGCAAGACCGGGATTTACACTCGAACCGATTGCGGGTATGCAGAGGAGCGCACCGCTCTGATAGCTGCCATCCAGGCGGGCTGGCTCTCGGTTGTAAATGCGATTCTGGATTTTGCAAAGGCAGGACAGGCTGGTCTGAACGTTGTGTGCCACGAATGGAATCCGAAAGGGATCGGCGGCGAATGCTTGAGACCCTGCTATTCCGCGCTGGACCAAGCAAAGCTGTACCACCGGACGGAAATGATCCCCCTGCTGGAGGCTGCAGGTGCGTTGACCCATAAGAAGTGCAAGAAGCCGCGCCGAGCTAATCCCTTTGATGTCCGCGCCAAGCAAGACAAGGGTGAGAGCTACAGCGAGGAGACCCGTGAAGAGCGTTATCAAGACTTCACGTTTGCTGAGTGGGCGGATGAGGCGCAAATGGATGATGACATGAAGGAGATTGTCAATAATTTGAAGGAAGAGCTGCGACCCTTCAGCAGCCTTTCAGAGACGGAGCAGAATAAGCTCTTTCGGAAACTCTGCGCCCGGTGGCATCCCGACAAGCACCCGGATGACAAGAAGGTGATGGCCACAAGAATCTTCCAATGGATTCAGCATGTCAAGGACGATGCTTGGGAGAACAAGGCCTTTTCAGCCTGAGCCCTGCCAGTGAGCAGTGCGACGAAATTTAAGTTTCACCATCAGTTGCGGTCTTGTGAGTCGGAGACGCCCAGAAGAGAAAGGCGCTGCACTTCAAATTCGTGAAGCATGGCTGAGGCCTTGGCTTAGCTTGGGTCGGGGGCCTGTGAGGGTGTGGGGTTTTGACAGCTGGGGGCTCAATCGCGGGCATGGGGCACGCGGCCTGCGCGCTGGGATGTGCAGCCTCGATCCTAGAGTCTTAGAGAGTCCAGCTGTTAGCGAACCTGAATATGGCCATGGGGCATAACCTATGGCGATCCCATTTTGGGGTGGATGAACATCCATTTGCCACCTATTTTGACCCACCGCCATGTGTCAAGACTGTGGCAATCTTCAGCCAGGAAAGGAGTTTGGCGAGCTTAGGAGAGAGGCTGCTCTGGATGTAGCACGAGAACGCATGTGGTAGAAGTGGAGGCCCGGCCGCTTTGAGCTCGGTGTCTCTCACATTGCCCCGTGCTTCCTTTGAGGTGCCGACTGAGACGCTTTCATCGCGACCTCGGCGGCGTGAGGAGGCAGGTCCGTGTAAGGGCCGTCAACTCATCTCCGATGCACTTGTCAGGCTTCATGCTTGGAGTCGTGGCACGGTGCGGCAGCATGCGCGACGTCTACAACAGCCTTGGCCTCACGTCAACTGCAAAGCGCTGTTGGAGGAGCATTGCCATGAGGCGCCGTTGGATGTGAAGCCAGCGGCAAAGAAGCCACCAGAGCCAGCCAAGGCTTTGTGCAAGGATCATGGCTGATGGCATCGCTTGGCTGCCAGGCCTCGCACCTTGCGCCGCTGCCGACCCTCCAGCTAGACATGCCGCAGCCCCCATACCTTGCTCGCAAGGGCGCTGAGGTTTGGGCTTGAGCTTAGGCCAGCGGCCGTTGCTGCTGCATTTCTGGAGAGTGCTCGGGCGGAGGCTCTCTTCTTTTCTTTTCCTTTTTTTTGGTGGGGGGTGGGGGGGGAGCAGTTGAATTTACCTGAAGAAGCACATTGGACCTGCCAGGCGGATGCCAAGTACCGCCGCAAGCTGGCGTGCCGCGCTGCGCGGGAGGAAGCTGCTGGGCACACTGGGTTCAACACCCCGGAGGCTCCAGAGGCCGCAACCACCGCCTGGGGCTTAAGTTGCATTCCCCTCCTTCCGGAATCCTGGAAGAACACGACTTTTGCAGACATGGCCAGGACCATGTCTCATGGCCCAGTTGTTGGAGGGATGGCTTGGGAACTGGCCGCACCTCCCCTTAGGCGCAGGTGGTTGACTCGCCTAGCCGCATGCAAGAGATCCTGGGCCTTGACGGGAAATTTGTGGGGCGCACAGGGGCTCGAAGCTAGGCGGGTGCCATTTCCCAATTTGCCCAGGTCAGTAGCGGGGCAATCCGGCAACGATTGCAGGAGATGGAGGCGCAACCTTTTCTGTTGCCGATTTCGTACCAGTGTCATCCATGAGGACGGGAGTGTGCGGCACGTTGCGCTGGGCTCAGTTTTTGTCCCCGAGTCTGGCGGCGTCAGATCATTCCCTTTAGTTATTTGCGGAGGACAGCGCCCAGCAGAGCAACGATTCACACCCCACATTGTTTTTGCTCGGTGGCAGGTGTGTCGCAGCAGTTGGCACGTTTCTACGCACCATCCGTGGCCAAGGCCATGAACCGTATGATCAAACGCACGGACTGCCACTGACAGGGGCAACTCAGCAAGCCAGAAGCGCTGAACAATTCGACCGAGGGTGCGCCTCGAGCTGCGAAAGGGAAACCAGCGGCCGTGAGAGTGGGGCTGGAAATTGGTTGGGCTGCAGCTGGCTGCGAGATTTGCGGTGTCTGTTGCAGCAGTTTCGTCCTGGTGGTTTTGTTGCGGCTCTAGGCTCCGTCCCTCAGAACCCTTGCCATGGATGCCAAAAGTGATGCACAGGACGGGCTTCAATGGGCCACGTGGGTTGCATGCGTGCATGCGTGTGGTTCAGGGCCTGGTCAGATTGGTCAGATGCTGAACGGCTACAGGTCCGCTCCTCGGCCTCTTGGGACTGGAGATTGAGCAGACAGCGTCGCTCGCCGGGCTCAGGTCGAAGGATGGCTCGCGCGAGCCCGGCACCGCAATCGCAAGATCGAAGCGGACAATCAGGACCGGCCTTTGGGAGTTGCAGGACTCGCCTTGAAACCGCAGACTTCGGAGAGTTCTCGAGCCGGTGGCCAATCGGCCAGGGAGCAGCCGGACAAGTCAAGTCAGAAAGTCGGTTTCAGGAGTTGGCCGGCCTGGCCCTGCGCTCATGGCAGATCGCCTTTGGCTTGCGGACGATTTCTGGATGTCCACTGCTCTCGCACTTCTGTCCACCCGGAAGGTGTGAGGGCGATCTGGCTGAGGTGGACGAGGCGAGGGAGTTGGTCCTGCGCCGCATGCCAGCGGGGAACTCAGCGTGCAAAGCACCTCGAGCGCGTCGGGCTTTGCAGTGCCTTCGCCCCAGCGTGCGTATTTTCTTTTTGAATGTATTTTTTCAGGGCTCTCAGTGTCGAGGTAAATGAGAAAAGAAAGCCCAGGACCAGTCACTCGCGCTGCGTGCCGTGTTTTCAGAACCTAGGCGGGCGGCGCGGGCCGTGCTGCCAGATCGCTGCGGGAGGAGCGAGCGGCACTGGCGGCACCCTGAGCGTGGCCAAAATGGCGGCTGAGCCAAAGGGGTGAGCCCAATCCTGTAGAAGTAATGGTTGCTGCATGCTCAATTGGATGAGTTTGGACCTCAGAGAGACGTCTAAGAAAGCAAAACGCAGGACATCTCTGGAGGTACCAATGATCAAGGCTAGGGCCCCCCAAACCTGGACCTTAGGCCAAGCGTATCTGCAGCTCGCCGGCCAGAAATCGCAAACCCCACCGCCCTTTGCCGCGGCCTCAGATGTGCAGGCCGGGCGGGGGAAATCCTTCGCAATTGGCGCCTGAGGCGGCTTCCCAAGTTCAACCAGGTGCGCGGACCAAGCATCTTGCGACAAATGTGGCCGCCGGCCTTTTTTTTTCTTCCTGTTTTCGTTGACTTTCCATGCAACCTGAACCCGCTGGGCAATTGGAGTCTTTCTAAGTTTGGGGTGCCCGGTTCTTTTGGAGCCTCGGGCAAGCGAGTTTGGTTCCGAGGTGCCCAGCAGCCAGAGCCCCTCGTCTGCATCTTCCACGCGGCGCTCCGAGGCGGAGGCTGTGAAGTTGCCGGCGCGAAAGGCCCCATTTTAAACCATCCAACTGGTGGTTTCCTTTAAGGGGACGTATGGGGTGAATTTCCCACCTCCCCTACTTGTCGCGGCAAGTAGAAGTTTCATGTTTGTTGGGGCCCCTGTGAGGTGGCCTCAAAGTCTGCCATATCAGTGCCGTTGGAGACCTTCTCAGATCCGTGCGAGAAGGAGAAGGAGGTGGCGGTGTCACCCTGCGAGTCCCCAAGAGGCCAGAGATCCGAAGAGAGGATGATTTCGGGGACGCTGCAGGAGGTTTTGGCGGAGGTGGACACAGAAATAGTGGGTGCAGCATGCGGAAGTCAGGGCAGTGCACGGGAAACAGTCATAGAAGGGACAGGTGCACAGGACGCTGATGAGGGCGTAACACAAATGCTTGCGGAAGCATGTGGCAAAATGCTCGCCTCCAGAGAGCGCCTGTCATCAATGGGGAGCCAAGCGCCATCGGAAGGATTGGAAGCGCAGCAAATGACGCAACTCATGCAGGGCTGGCAGAAGGATGCCGAGTGCCCCAGCGAAGGCAGCTTGATGCGAAGTGCATCAGATTTGGAGGTCGCAACGCGTACCGACGAAGGCTGTGTTTGGGGTTCTGCGCCTGAGGATCTTGCGGCAGCAGCTCGGCAAGCAGAGTTTCTTGCGCAGGGGCCGGCAAAGGAGGCGGAGGAGGTAGTGCGTCACGCAGCGCAGGGGGCAAAAAAGCCGAAGCCTTCTGCGCAGGAACCGGCAGAGGGCGATGCGCAGAAGCAGGAAGTGCATGTTGCTGAAGCCCGAAGCCAGAAAGAGGACATTGAAGAGAGGAAGCAGGCAACGAGCACGGAGGTACAGGAACTTGAAGTTGAAGTTGAAGATGGTGCGGTTGCTGCTAAGCATGCCGCGCCGGCCGTATTTGCTGCTGATGCGAACGCGAAAGCGCCCACTCGGGAGGCTTGTTTGGCGGTTGATGCTGCCGCGGAGGAGTTGCCGAAGCCTTCTGAGCAGGAACTGGAGGACCATGCGCAGAAGCAGGAAGTGCATGTTGCTGAAGCCCGAAGCCAGGAAGAGGATATTGAAGAGAGGAAGCAGGCAACGAGCACGGAGACACAGGAAGTTGAAGTTGAAGATGGTGCGGCTGCTGCTAAGACTGCCGCATCTTCCGTATCTGCTGCGGATGCGGATGCGCAAGCATCCACACAGGAGTCTTGTTTGGCAGAGCATGTTGCTGAACAGGAGCCGGCAGAGGACGCAGCGCAGAAGCAGGAAGTGCATGTTGCTGAAGCCCGAAGCCAGGAAGAGGCTCTTGAAGAGAGGAAGCAGGCAACGAGCACGGAGGTACAGGAACTTGAAGTTGAAGATGGTGCGGTTGCTGCTAAGCATGCCGCGCCGGCCGTATTTGCTGCTGATGCGGATGCGCAAGCGCCCACTCAGGAGGCTTGTTTGGCGGAGGATGCCGTGGTGGAGGACCCGGCAGAGGACGATGCGCAGAAGCAGGAAGTTGCTGAAGCCAGAAGCCAGGAAAAGGATCTTGAAGAGAGGAAGCAGGCAACGAGCACGGAGGCACAGGAACTTGAAGTTGAAGTTGAAGATGGTGCAGTTGCTGCTAAGGAGGCCACGTTGGCCGTATCTGCTGCTGATGCGGATGCGCAAGCACCCACTTCTGAGGCCGAGGACGCGGCACAGAAGCAGGAAGTGCATGTTGCAGAAGCCCGAAGCCAGGAAGAGGATCTTGAAGAGAGGAAGCAGGCAACGAGCACGGAGGCACAGGAACTTGAAGTTGAAGTTGCAGATGGTGCAGTTGTTGCTAAGGAGGCCACGTTGGCCGTATCTGCTGCTGATGCGGATGCGCAAGCACCCACTTCTGAGCACGAACCGGCCGAGGACGCGGCACAGAAGCAGGAAGTGCATGTTGCTGAAGCCCGAAGCCAGGAAGAGGATCTTGAAGAGAGGAAGCAGGCAACGAGCACGGAGACACAGGAAGTTGAAGTTGAAGATGGTGCGGCTGCTGCTCAGACTGCCGCATCTTCCGTATCTGCTGCTGATGCGAGCGCGGAAGCACCCACTCAGGAGGCTTGTTTGGCGGAGGATGCCGTGGCGGAGGAGTTGCCGGAGCTTTCTGAGCAGGAACCGGCAGAGGACGACGCAAAGAAGCGGGAAGTGCATGTTGCTGAAGAAGAGGACTGTGCAGATACGCGGCAAAGCACGCAGACACAGGAAGTTGAAGTTGCCGATGGTGCGGCAGCTGCTAAGCCTGCCCTACCTGCCGTTTCTGCAACGGACGCGAATGCGCAAGCACGCACAAAGGAGTCTTGTTGGGTGGAAGAGTTGGCGATGCCTTCTGAGCAGGACAAAGCGCGAAAGCAGGAAGTGCCTGTTGGTGAAGCCTACATCCAGGAAGAGGACACTGAAGAGCGGAAGCAGGCAATGAGCACGGAAGCACAGGAAATTGAAGCTGAAGATGGTGTGGTTGCTGCTAAGACTGGCGCGCCTGCCGTATTTGCGCCCACTCAGGAGGCTTTTTTGGCGGTTGATGCTGCCGCGGAGGAGTTGCCGAAGCCTTCTGAGCAGGAATCGGCGGAGGACGATGCGCAGAAGCAGGAAGTGCATTTTGCTGAAGCCCGAAGCCAGGAAGAGGATCTTGAAGAGAGGAAGCAGGCAACGAGCACGGAGGCGCCGGAAGTTGAGGTTGAAGATGAAGATGGTGCGGTTGCTGCTAAGCATGCCGCGCCTGCCGTTTCTGCTGCTGATGCGAACGCGCAAGCGCTCACTCGGGAGGCTTGTTTTGCGGAGGATGCTGCGGCGGAGGAGTTGCCGAAGCCTTTTGAGCAGGACCCGGCAGAGGGCGATGCGCAGAAGCAAGAAGGGCATGTTGCTGAAGCCCGAAGCCAGGAAGAGGATCTTGAAGAGAGGAAGCAGGCAACGAGCACGGAGACACAGGAAGTTGAAGTTGAAGATGGTGCGGCTGCTGCTAAGACTGCCGCATCTCCCGTATCTGCTGCTGATGCGAACGCGCAAGCGCCCACTCAGGAGGCTTGTTTGGCGGAGGATGCCGTGGCGGAGGACCCGGCAGAGGACGCAGCGCAGAAGCAGGAAGTGCATGTTGCAGAAGCCCGAAGCCAGGAAGAGGATCTTGAAGAGAGGAAGCAGGCAACGAGCACGGAGGCACAGGAACTTGAAGTTGAAGTTGCAGATGGTGCAGTTGTTGCTAAGGAGGCCACGTTGGCCGTATCTGCTGCTGATGCGGATGCGCAAGCACCCACTTCTGAGCACGAACCGGCCGAGGACGCGGCACAGAAGCAGGAAGTGCATGTTGCTGAAGCCCGAAGCCAGGAAGAGGATCTTGAAGAGAGGAAGCAGGCAACGAGCACGGAGACACAGGAAGTTGAAGTTGAAGATGGTGCGGCTGCTGCTCAGACTGCCGCATCTTCCGTATCTGCTGCTGATGCGAGCGCGGAAGCACCCACTCAGGAGGCTTGTTTGGCGGAGGATGCCGTGGCGGAGGAGTTGCCGGAGCTTTCTGAGCAGGAGCCGGCAGAGGACGACGCAAAGAAGCGGGAAGTGCATGTTGCTGAAGAAGAGGACTGTGCAGATACGCGGCAGAGCACGCAGACACAGGAAGTTGAAGTTGCCGATGGTGCGGCTGCTTCCAAGCCTGCCCTACCTGCCGTTTCTGCAACGGACGCGAATGCGCAAGCACGCACAAAGGAGTCTTGTTGGGTGGAAGAGTTGGCGATGCCTTCTGAGCAGGACAAAGCGCGAAAGCAGGAAGTGCCTGTTGGTGAAGCCTACATCCAGGAAGAGGACACTGAAGAGCGGAAGCAGGCAATGAGCACGGAAGCAAAGGAAATTGAAGCTGAAGATTGTGCGGTTGCTGCTAACCCTGCCGCGCCCGCCGTATCTGCTGCTGATGAGGATGCTGTGGCGGAGGAGTTGCCGAAGCCTTCTGAGCAGGAATCGGCGGAGGACGATGCGCAGAAGCAGGAAGTGCATTTTGCTGAAGCCCGAAGCCAGGAAGAGGATCTTGAAGAGAGGAAGCAGGCAACGAGCACGGAGGCGCCGGAAGTTGAGGTTGAAGATGGTGCTGTTGCTGTTATCACTGCCGCGCCTGTCGTATCTGCTGCTGATGCGGATGCGCAAGCGCCCACTCAGGAGGCTTGCGTGGTGCGGGATTGTGCAGGTGAGAAGGCTGCCAAGCAAGTCGAGGCTGCTTGTGAGCAGGAGCCGGTGCAGCAGAAGGCAGCGAAGGAGGAACTGCAAGAGGGCGCGCAACCAGCAGCAGCGGAAGCGGCCGAATTGCCGGAGCCGGAGCAGGAGCCAGCAGAGGAAGAGGCAGAGAGGCAGGATGTGCATGTTGCCGGGGCCAGAGGACAGGATGAGGTCTCTGAAAATGTGGCTCAGGAGTTGAGTTTGGAGGCACAGGAAGCTGCTGCTGGTGTGGGTGCCCACGGTGCAGGGGATGATGTGGCAGAGGATGCAGAAGAGGAAGAGGCGCAAAAGCAGGATGTACATGTTGCTGGAGTCAGAGGGCAGGACGAGGCCGAGGTCTGTCAAAACAGGATGCAGGAAGCGAACTTGGAGGCACCGGCAGCTGCTGATGCGGCAGCCAAAGAAGTGGATGTCCCTTGTGAGCAGGAGCCAGAAAGGCAGAAGACAGCGCATGAGGACGCAGAGAAGGAAGCACAGGCAGCGCGGGCAGCAGAATTGCCGGAGGCTTGTGAGCAGGAGCCGGCAGAGACAGAGGCACAAAAGCAGGATGTGCATGTTGCTGGAGTCAGAGGACAGGACGAGGCCGAGGTCTCTCAAAACAGGATGCAGCAAGCGAACTTGGAGGCACCGCAAAAGCAGGATGTACATGTTGCTGGAGTCAGAGGGCAGGACGAGGCCGAGGTCTCTCAAAACAGGATGCAGGAAGCGAACTTGGAGGCACCGGCAGCTGCTGATGCGGCAGCCAAAGAAGTGGATGTCCCTTGTGAGCAGGAGCCAGAAAGGCAGAAGACAGCGCATGAGGACGCAGAGAAGGAAGCACAGGCAGCGCGGGCAGCAGAATTGCCGGAGGCTTGTGAGCAGGAGCTGGCAGAGGCAGAGGCACAAAAGCAGGATGTGGATTTTGCTGGAGTCAGAGGACAGGACGAGGCTGAGGTCTCTCAAACCAGGATGCAGGAAGAAGCGAACTTGGAGGCACCGGCAGCTGCTGATGCGGCAGCCAAAGAAGTGGATGTCCCTTGTGAGCAGGAGCCAGAAAGGCACAAGACAGCGCATGAGGACGCAGAGAAGGAAGCACAGGCAGCGCGGGCAGCAGAATTGCCGGAGGCTTGTGAGCAGGAGCCGGCAGAGGCAGAGGCACAAAAGGAGGATGTACATGTTGCTGGAGTCAGAGGACAGGACGAGGTCTCTGAACATGGGGCTCAGGAATTGAGCTTGGAGGCAGATGTTGCGGATGCACGCGCAGTGTCTGCGGGTGCACCGGGTGCAACCATCCAGGAGGCTTGTGAGGATGTTGTGGCGGAGCATGCTGCAAAGCAAGTAGAGGTCCCCTGTGAACAGGGGCTGGCACAGCAGAAGGCAGCACAGGAGGCTTCGCAGACCGCAGAATTGCCGAAGCCTTCCGAGCCGGAGCCAGCAGAGAAAGAGGCAGCAGAGAACCTGGGTGCATTCGCTTTTGCTTTTGCCTGTCCTTCCCATAGGTGTCCTTCTTTTGTTGTTTGGCTAGAAAAATAGATGGCTTTGGTTTTCGAGGTTTTTAAATCATCTACCAGGGCAATGTATTTCCCCTAAAAAGCTTTTGCATTCTTCAGATCTACCGCGTTTTTCGCATGGCCCCCACCTTAATTCAAGCCACCCCCACCAACCTCAGGCAATGCCCAGCAAACCCCCAGCAACCCAACACCAGCAACGCCCCAACCCCCCACATCCAGCACTTATGCTTTTCCATTCGCATTCCACGTTTTTGAAAGACGCGCTCCCCAAGCGTGCGCGCACCGCGCACCGCGGGCCGTTTGCGCAGGCGAGCGTGAGCCTGAGCCCGTCTGGGTCAGGCTGGTGGCCAGCCGATTCCGTCGCCCGGTCTTGGCAAGCTGGACATTTCTGCAGGCGTCCAGATCAGAGAGTTCAGCGTGGCCTTGACCAAAGGCGCGCGCCGTGAGGATATGTGTGGGTTTGTAAAAACTTGGGCGGATCATGGAGTCAGGGCGGCATTTCATTCTCATCCTTCCTTTCTGTGCACTTTGTGTTCAGTATCATTTGTTATTTCATGTTATCTCATTATTTCACGTTCTTTCACTTCATTCACTCCAGGTAGTAGAATCACATTGTATTCATACCAAAATGTGCTTGTTTACTCCATTGTACATTGTTCAATTTCGCGTATTCGTTCTGTGCAGGGCGCTCCATGCTGTGACAATGCTTCATGGCGTTCACATTTAGACAATTCATGCCATGCCTCATGTCGTGTTATGTCATGACAATCATGTACAGCGGATGTCAATGGCCGAGTCTCAGACCCGACGGGAAGGTTTTGGTATTGGCCAGCGCCGCGCCTGCGCGCGTGCAGTTGAGGCACCCCATTCAAGGCATGTCTCGAAGCGTCAGCCCCGCGTCCCCACGTTGGGTCGCATTGAAGGCACCCAAGTTTGCCAGAGGACTGCCATGATGCGATTCACGGCCATCTTTTGCGGCGGCGTTCAACTTTCCTGCCAGCCACACCTTCTGCTTGTACAGATCCCTGAGCCAGCGTGAGTGGCTGACCCCGCTACCTCGCTGTCCGCTGGGATTGAACTGGAGGGCAGGCCTGGGATCTGGAGATGGACATCAAGAACCGGCCAGCTTTGGAATTTTTCGCCACAAGCCGCGCTCCACCAACACTGGCAATGTGGGTCTGGATGTAACTCTGGACGTTTAGGATACTAGTGCACTCCTTTTGCTAGATTTGATGAGGTCGAGTGCTTTGACCCGTCAGCTGCGCTGGGCTACAGACGAGGTGTGTGTGGCTTGCATGGCAGGTGTCGAAGGTCTTGGGCTGACAGTGCAGCGAGAGCTGGGCACGAGCCTCGGATAGCTAGCAGCTAGCATGCGGCCCAGTACCAAGAGTGGCCCATGTGGGATTGTCTCACCCTCAAAGTGGCTTCCTTTTGGGTTGCCTTTGAAACCAGCCAAGAAGGGTCGCCTCAACAACAGACGCACCCATTTTGTCCGTTGGCTTGGTTCCATGTGAGGTGGGCTTGCTGTCGTGGACGTAGACCCAAAGGCTTGAGAAGCGATCTGGGCATGCGGACATCGAGCCAACGGGTTGCTTGGCCCCGAACTTGACTGACATTCTGAAATTTGGGTGGGTGCATTGGATCAAATATGGTTTGCAGGCCATGTCGCCTCATGTGGTGTTGCGACAAAAAATGTTCAGGCTCTGCATGTGAATCACCCTTTTTTCTTTTTCTTTTTTCTATCTCCCTACTCCTGGAACAGAATCAATCTTGAACACGCCATGTGAAGCTTCCGTGCTGCCGCACTGCAAGTTGGCCAGGGTGCGGCGGCACGGCACAATCTGCGTCAGCTGGCCAGCGGCTCTCAGCTGGTGATTTGGCCAAGGACGGACCGCCCGGTTGTGTGCGGTGTGTGTGTGTGTGTGTGTGTGTGTGTGTGTCTGTGTGTTTGTTTGTTTGTTTGTTTGTTTGTTTGTTTGTTTGGTTGTTTGGTTGGTTGGTTTGTTTGTTTGTTTGTTTGTTTGTTTGTTTGTTTGTTTGTTTGTGTGGGTGCGTGTTTGTTTGTTTGTTTGTTTGTTTGCTTGCTTGCTTGCTTGCTTGCTTGCTTGTTTGTTTGTTTGTTTGCTTGCTTGCTTGCTTGCTTGCTTGCTTGCTTGCTTGCTTGCTTGCTTGCTTGCTTGCTTGTGTGTGTGTGTGCGTGTGTGTGCGTGTGTGTTTGTTTAAGCCTCTGGCGCACGGCCGCCCGGGTTGAGGGCGCAGTGCAGATCGGTGAAGAGCGAAGCCATGTGACGTGACAGGATGCTGATCACGCGAGTCAATGGTGCGAGCGCAGCAGACGACATGGTTCAGGCCAATGTTCCGAATAGCCGTCCTTGAGTCTTCCGCCCGTGAAGTGAATTCGCTGAGCCGCACGCAGGCGCTGTGCCGAAGTCGGGATTTGGAGCTTCACATCCGCACTTTGCATGCAATCGGTGCGGATGCGCGCCCTTGAGCCAATGCTTCTTCGCATTGGGCGGATGGGCTTGCTGCCCAGGCGCTGGAAATTTGGATTCGTCAGCAAAGCGCATCCCAGAGGCAGGGTCTCTGCTTGACACGTGCTGAGACTCGCGACCTCAAATTGGAGGACTTGGCTTCAATCATTGGAGCGGTGAGGGCTGTGAAGCAAGTGACCGCTACTTCAAGGCAGGGGTCAGAGACGCATCTGCTTCTGGGCCTTTACGTATCTTTTGGACCATTTGAGATGAACCAGGCATCACTGGGTTTACGCTGTCCAATTCTTTCAAAATTGCTTCCTCTCTTTGGCGCAGGCGGCTGGGCGCGTGAAGAGCTGGCTGCGCGCCAGCATGTACAAAGTCCAGATCGCCCCGCGAGATCCCAAAGACGGATGGGGCAACGCCTGCAAGACGCAGGCGTTCAGCGCTCGAACGGACTTGGCCACAGGCCGCGGTGTGATGATGTTGAATGATTTGGTTGATTTTCCGTGCATGTGCTGCTCAGCCACATGATCCCCAAACGCAACAGCAACCAATGCGACATGGAGCAGCCATGTGAACTTGTTTGAACACTTCGTCCCCCCCATCGCTGCAGGCGATCGAGGGGTGTGTGGCGCAAGGGCCGTTTGACCATCGAGCGAGCAGAGCCAAAGTGCGAGTAAACATGGCGGGCATAGTTCAAATGGGTGTGGCTCAAAATTGAACATGGGGTTATGCAGGTTTTGGCCCATGTTTCCACTTGCCAGGGTTCCATTTTGGTACCGGCTTTTTGAGCCACTGCCAAATTGCCTTTTTTGGATAGCTGGGATACGCAGTGCAGCCAGTGAGGCAGGATCGGCTTGCATCCTTTTGCATTTGGCTCTCAGTCGCCTGGAGTGGGGGGATGGACCCTTCACATGTGCCGGACGAGACATTACAGCGCCTTGTGTTGCCTGGCAGGTTAGTGGGCGAAGCCTTGGCGCAGGACGACCTCTTCCTATCAGTGGAAGAGACTTGCCCGGCGGGGTCCGGGAGCGCAGATTATGAGTTCAAGGTCCCTCAGCTGACGGTTGAAGCAGCAGGCGCCGGCCCGCCGTCTGGGGATTTCACTCAGCAGGGCTTGCTGCCGGACATCGGGCGGCTTTGGCGCTCCTTTGGGTCGAAGATCGTGCTATGGAGGTATGATGAGCCTGGAACACCAGAGGTGACTGAGTACTGTGGAGCTGGGGGCTCAGGTGGTGTTGGGGGATCTAGTCGAGGAGGAAGCTGAGCACCTGTAAAGAGCATAGCCTAGGAGCCTCCTAGGTGCCAGTCTAGCGTTCCCATTTCGCTATTGGTGTCTTCCTGAGGTGTTCCGAGTTTGGGGAGCTGTCAATATAGTAGGTGCAGTAATCGAAAAGGCCAACATGAAGAGATTGGGACGCAACAAAGATGAAGAGATGAAGTGTTGCTTCACAAAAGGCGTTTTTTGGCATGCGTCAGGCTTGCAACGGAGCTGCTTGCTTAGTACACTGAGGTCTCGGAATCTGTGATTGCAGCAGCAACTGCCACGCCAAAAAACTTCATTCAGGGCATCGACCACTTCCTGGTTTTGGCCACTCCGCTGGAAGTCTCGCTGCATGCTCTTCGTTTTGCCGGCAGCAACCGCTTGCTGCCACCGGTGCGAACGCAGTTTTCAGTGGCAAGCGACGACATTCCAATGAGCGCAATTGCATGTGACCCGAGCAGTGGGCGGATATTTTTAGGTGGAGCAGATGGTTGTATACATGAGTTCCAGTACTTTGATGATGACAGCCGCTGGCTTGGCCGGCCCAGAAAGTGTCGCAAAAGTGCAGTCAGCTGGAACCTACAGTCGCAGCTGCCTGCAGTACTGCAGCGCGCTTGTATTGCGATTTTTGGTCATTCCGAGGCAATCGTGCAGCTCAGCATCGATGTTTCCCGGGGCTTGCTTTTTGCACTGTCTGCCTTGTCCAGCGTCACCGTGTTTCACATCCCCAGCCAGAAAGAGGCGCAAAACCGAGAGGAGAAGCCAGTGGTCCAAATTTGCTGCCTCTCGGCGTCGAGCATTGCCACAGAAGTGGGCCGCATCAAGGCTCGGCTGTTCCCAGGCCTGCTGCCTGCCTCGCGGGGCTTGAGCTCCTTTGGCGCGGTGGTCTCCGCCAGCGGCCTGCTCAGCTTCCCAAGGCTCGTCAAGGTGGGCGGTTCTCCAAACAGGGTTTGGTCAATACACAAATCGTTGGCTTCCTTGTGACCTCCCTTCAGATCACATCCAAGACTCACTTCCTGAGCTCATGAACTTGAAACCTGTTGGGAAGACCATTTTGGTGGTAAATGCAAAGTTTGGATTCTTCTTTGTATTTTTTTTGTGGGCCATCCACTCAGCAAGTGAGAAAAGATTTGGAGCGAAAGTCAGGTCCTCCCGATGCTGAAGGCCGTGGGCGGCAACGTGGTCGCCTGCGCTGTGGCGGAGGACGGCACCCGGATCTACCTGCGTGGGGTGTCGAAAACCTCCGCCTCCGACGCGTCGCAGCGGGCGCGCCCCGCGGTGATCACCTCGGTGGTGGTGCATCACGTGCGCTTCCTGGACGCATCCGCCCCAAGAGACCTGCAGGTGAAGGACGCCTTGTGCGAAAATGGCGTCACCCTCCTGCAGTGTCGCTTTGGGCAGGAGGCTGGTCAGAAGGAGGCGGTGATTGCGTTGAGCACCGACTTGCGGGTCGTGGCGCAGAAGCAAGGCCGTGGCCGCTCTCCGTGGGTCAATGTGTCAGGCATGGCAGAACATGTGGACACCATCAATTTGACCCAGGAGCAGGCAGAAGGCACGCAACTTGCGCAGATCTTCGCCATCGCGGCCTTGCCACCGCCAATCTCCAAGCCAATCCAGCAGTTGTTTTGCAGTGGCAACGGCTTGGTTTTGCCGGTGGCACACCTCAGCGAGTTGGCAAAGCAGCAGCTGGCACTTGTGCCGCGCTTTATGGTGATTTCTTCCATTGGAGTGCACCTGCTTCGCAGATTGCAGCCCCTGGACTCGCTGCAAGAGCACCTGCTTGGGGGCAACCTGATGGCATTGCAGGATTTCGTGGGCCAGTACACTGCTGAGCAATCCTGTGCCTTGATGTTTCAGATCCTGACGCAGGCGGTTCCGAAGCTCAACGCCTTGGACGCTTCGGAGAGGGCGGAGAGGGCAGAGCGGGTGGAGAGGGTGGAGAGGCTGGAGGCCCCCAGGAACAGATCCCGGAGCCGCGCCTTGGGCGAGCGGTCGGCCGTGCGGGATGCCAACGAGGAGGTGATTTTGCTGCGCACCGAGCAGCTGCTCCTGTCGCAGCTGGCGGTGCAGCTGGGCTTCTCCCAGGTCTTGCCATCCCTGGACCCGGGCCAGCCCTCCATCCAGGGCTCTCCGCTGGGCTACTCCGTGATGTTCCAGAGCGCCGCCCGGCTCTCCGCGCGCATGCGCGGGCTGTACCTCTTCTTGAGCCGCCTGCTTCGGCCCTTCTGGCTGTCGCAGGCCATGCTGGTGGTGTGGCCGGCTGTGCCCAGCGACAAGAAGCGGAGGAGAGACGAATGGTGGCCCCCGCCTCCGGACCCAGCCCCTGCCGCTCGCCGGAAGTCCAACGAGAGCAGGGCGCCTTTGTTTTTTTGGGGGGTTTGCCCGGGTTTCGGAATGACCCATGCCAAACAAGACATGGAACCTGGCCAGGTGTGAAGCCAAGGCAGCCCCTGCCAGACGTATGTAAATAAGATTAAGAATCTGAGAAGGCGACATGGGTTCCCTCATGCCACCTTTGAATTCCCTGACAAGTTCATCCTGTGGCACGACTGCAGGTGGCCAAGGGCGCCCAGTGGCGCTGCGCCTTCTCCAAGTCCCAGCGCGGCTTCGCGCGACACCAGCTGAGCCTGGTGAAGACGGTGCTGGACCGCTGCCTCTCGCGCCTGGCCCGGGAGGCCGAGGAGGACTCTAGGGGTTGTTCTTTTCGAAAACCCAAAACCAGTCATTTCCCTGGTTTTTCGCGGTTTTCTAGAAAGACTCGGATCCCTAAGAATGGTTGGAAGTTACCCCTAGAAGGACGCCGCGCACGGCGCCTGGCACCTGGTCGCCGCGTCGATGGAGGCCCTGGACTTTTTGGAGCTGCTCTCAGGCGGGGGAAAGCGGAAAGCTCGGCCGAACCGGGCCTGGAGGCATGCAGGTCTCTCGTTGATGTGTGGCACTCTGTGGTTTCCCCTTTTGCTTGTTAGGTGGTGATGCTGGTTGTCCCACGTGTTTTTTCCTTCTTTTTTTCCGTTTTTTTTTTTTTTTTGGGGGGGGGGGGGTTACTGCATGTGTGCAAACACGACGAACAAATGCTGCGTAGTCGAGTGATTGTCCACCTGAGACAGCATGCAAGCAGGTCGACGGTTGCGCAACATCAGAGAGCACAGACAACAGCAACCTGCCACTGAGCTACTGTATAAGTGCCTTGGAGCGATCCCTTTGCAAAGGCCTTCTGCTTGTCCAGCAAATCCCGGTGGGTCCTTAAGCATCACACATTCACAGTCAACCGTGCCAACAAAGTGAGGAAAAAGGCGACTTCGCAGAAACATAGTCAGAAGGGCTAGACCCCCCCAACAGATTAGTATGAAGCCAAAAGGATAGAGATCCCTCTACACATGGGGGTGATCAAATGGTCCCCGACATGGGTTGACCATTCGGCGCACCCACTAACATGATATATTTGCCTCAGTTACCCATCCCCAAAACCGGGCGGGGGGGGGGGGGGGCGCTTAATGGAAATATTGATCACCCCCCCACATCCATTCTTTTTAAACATGTGATGGAACCATCACATGGACATGTCCCCCAGTTCCCCGGTGGCTGGTTGGGCGCTCGCTTTGCGTCGCTTCGCGTCGCGAGCGACAGGCTGCACCACGGCCATGGCGGCGGGCGCCTGCCCGGAGGCGCTGCTGCGGCTGTCGGAGCTCAGCTTCAGGGACTTGGTGTGCCAGCCGGAGGCGCGCAGGGTGCTGCAGCAGCTGATGCAGGCCCTGAGAGGGGGGAGAGGGGAAGGGGAAGGAGGAAGGGGGGGTTTGCTCATATTATATGGCAACATATTTCGATATAAAGTTTTTTTGTTTTTTTTGGAGGGGGGGGTGATGTTTTGGGGGAGAATGGGCGGGGGGGGGGGGGGACGAGAGGATTGGTTTGGGGGTGGGGGGGGGTTGTCACATCTCAAGGCATGACCCGAACGTGGGCATTTAGCCCGAGCCTGGGCGACCTTTCTGGTTGCGCGTTTTGTTTGTTTGAAGCATGGTTTGCAGTTGCATTTTTTTTCTCGAACGAAAGTCGTTTAGCCTTTAGAGGCACCAATGTGACTTCAAATCAACTCTTGAACTGGTTGGGGAGGGACAGCGCTTGCGCAATGCCACTTGGGTTGGCAAGGCTTCCTGTGTCTCTTGTCTCGAGGCAGGCATCGTGGCATGCCGCGATCTGGCCAACTGCCCCAGTCTATTCAGCAAGGCGGACCTGGAGATACAGGAGACGGCCACAAGGGTGAACCATGCACTGCTTGACTGCTATTGGTTTGGATCTTTAGACTTCAACTTTTTGGTTGAAATCAAGTTGGGTCTTCCACTCATCCCCCAAACAAGTTTAAAACTTTTTGGGTCAACAGCAACCAAGACTGGAGCCCTCAAAGCGAAGGGATGGTTTGGTTTCCCTTTTAAACCAGTGATTTCCAGAACGGAAATCCAGACGAACCCGCCGGATGGTTGTGTGCATGTCATCAAGACTGCAGCACGCTCTTTGTTTTCCCTCACCCGCCTGAGGTGGTCAACCATTTGGTTCGCTTTTCGTGCGTGACTTTGTCCCTAAGCAGATAAAAGCATGAATCCAGACAAACTGCAGGAGGAGCATGCGTGACGAAGAGAAGGGTGCCGAGTTCTCGATTTCCTTTTGACCCACAGCCGGACCATGGTTTTCTCGCTCTTTTCTCTCTGTGCATTTGACTCATTTGGGTATGGGTCAAAACTAAACTATCCGGCAACCGCAGGTGGTTAGTCTGCTTCTCCACTTGCCAGGGTTCCATTTTGGGGTTAACCTATTTTCGAGCCACAGCCATTTCGACGCCGCCAGGAGGCCTATGAGATCCTGAAAGTGGTAGAGGCGAATTTGGTGGCCAACAGCAGCGCCCTGGAGATCGCCAGGCTGAGTCACCTGACGCATCGCGGCCTGGGCATCTTGGAGCAGCACGCGGCGCACGTGAACCTGATGGAGGCTGCAGCGCGCCTTAGGGCCGTGGGGGCCTGTAAGGCGCGGCTTTCTCAAAGGAGTCGCCCGAAAGCAAACCAGAAGCGGCCACAGTTTTTTGACAAGCTGAGAAACCCCACTGTTGCTAGAAGTGCATGATGCCAGGAAGAAGGGGCAACTTTCAAGCTGCGTTTCCCCGAATTGGCTTTTTTGTTGTTGGTGCGGGTTGTCCCCCCATAGCCACGCTGGTTACTTCGAAAGGACAAATCCTGTACCAGTTCACCCGTTGGGATGAAGGTGTAAGGTGATTGTTGGATGGTTTGTCCCAAGGTTTTCATCCATCCCATGGTATGAACCCTGGCAGGGTTTGGTTTCCTTGTGTTCCAGCGTGGCCCGAGCTCGCGATCCGAAAGATGAGGCGATGCGGCCACAGGACCCCTCGAACCCTCGGGTCCAACAGCTTCACTACGCACGCTTGGAGTGCTACCAGGTGGGGCCAAAGGTCCAAAGTGCCATCTTTTTTCAACATGCCATGCACAGATGCCCCAGATGCGGATGGCCAATTTGAGCATTCCCTCACGTCTGTAGGAAGCGCCATATTTTGACTGCCTCAGGTGGTGTTGGGGATCCTGGATGATGTCTTGTCATTTGCCAGGCAGCGAGGGAGGATGCAGAGCAGCTTTGCCATGCTTCCAAACCCCAGCACAGAATCGGGAGTACAGCCAGAGTTGCCGGAGCTTTTGCCATCTCGATTGTCAGAGGTTGACACGGTTCCAATCTTGGATGGGCTGCTGAGACATTGCTTGGAAGGACATAGGTATCAAGCTGATGAGCTCTTCCACTTTTGCATCCTCAAGTGGATGATGCAAAGCGGGCTTTCCCCATATCAGTACAAAAGTCCCTATCTCAAGAACTTCTTGCTGGTGCATGCAAAGAAGAACCCAGAAATGCATTGCAAGTATCTTCAGCACAATGGTCGTTGGGCAGAAGCTTGTGATGCCTATCTCTCCTTGGCAAAGGACGCTGAGAGGAGCGATCCCCATAGCGACAACCGCCTATTGATGCTGCAGAATGCCGCATTGTGCGCGCGAATGCCACGGTCAAACCGCCGTGTGGAGCCCATTCTGAGGATGATGTCCGAAACTTTGAGGACGGATATTGAGAGGCCAACATCATGCCAAACCTAGGCAAAACATATTTGATATGCAATTCAATCGAACCCCAAATAAGTATTGAGCTTGACAATGCCAACGCTATATATATAGGTGAACAAAGATAAGTAGATAGCACTGTAGTGCCTATGTTAGCATCCATTGGATCTCATTCTAAAAGAAATGATAACTGGGATCCAATTCAAACACTTTATTCTGAATAAACACTTAAGAAATAGAGGATGGATTATGTTGGCTATTGCCTTAACTCTTCTCGCAGTTTAGGTTGGACGAATTGGATATATCAACCCCACAGAACGTTGACGCCCGAGCCCTCCCCGTCGGTTTTGAAGAAGAGCAAGAACGCTGTGTCATGTCGTTAAATGCTTTGTTGATCTTCGTGCCGAAGGGCAAGTCGCCCAAGCATTTTGCTCAACAGCTTCTGAGGTTGGGGTCCGCTTCCGGGTCGCCCCGCCCACTGCGCTTGGCGCTGCTCTTGTTGGGGTCTCTGCCATGGCCATTGCCATGGCTGGCGCCCTTGCCCTTCAGTTTCGCCTCGTTGTGTGCCTACTTGCCCCCCCTGTTGTCCTCCGAAATTTCCGTCGCCCGCGTAAAGGCTGTTGGGAAGTTCTCTCCGTGAGATGGAAGAACCATTTCTTCCAGCCGTCTTCCTCCTTGCGGGCCGAGATGCCATAGTGCTCGTCGCGAAAGTAGTCGAGTCGTGGTTGACGTCAATCTCTGACTCCGCATCGGAATCGTCCATGTTGGCCGCGATGTCGGAGACCAGGACATCATGTCCTTCTTGCTGAAGTGCCGCGGCGGCTGCCTTGGCAAAGTGCATGCCGTGGTTGAACTGCTAAGGTGTGGGTGGTGAACCATCCGAACCTCTCGGTGGTGGCTCAACGTCGTTGTGCTGATGGCAGAGCATGATGTCGTGGGGTTGCTTCTGCGGCAGTTGTGGCAAGGAAGGCGTTGGTTCATTCGTAAGGTCTATAACCTGTGGCAAAATTGGGGCCTGGCTGCTTGTGGCCTGGTAAGGGTCGCTGTCAGCGGTACCTTCTGGTGTGCCGGGGATGAAGTTGCCCATGTCGGAGTGCTGGGATGATGCTCCGGCTGTAGGTGCTGGTTGTTTGTCGGAGGCCACATAGGCTTCCTCTTGAGGATGTGGCTGTGAAGCCAGTGCTGGTGTTTGTAGCGCTTGTGTGCTTCAGGTAGTCGGCTCTTGAGAGCCGGTTAGGGTGGTCTGTCGAGGTGGTGACGCACACCTACCGTGTCCGGGTGTGCGTGATCTGCCTCGTTGTGATCGTAGTGGAATTGTGGTTGCCGGGCCGCGTGGAGTAAGCCCCAAGCGGTCTTGATGGTAGTCGGTGTCGGTGATATGGGGTGAATGTATGTGGATGTTGCTGGTCTGCAGGTTGGTTGAGTCGTAGTGGTGGTACTCGACGCTGGTGTGGTTGCCAGTGTCGGGTCGTGGTGTAGTTTGTACTGCCTAGTAGGCAGGTTGTTGTGCTGGAGGTTTTTGTGGTGAAGTTTGAACTGAAGGAGCAAGTAGTGGCAGCAGTGGCACTGGCTGATCCAGTTCAAGGTTGTAATCGTAGGAGTCCTCCTTTGGTATACCTGAACGGTGTTGGTCCCAGAGTGGAGCCAGGCCGAACGCTTGTCAGGGTCGTAGCTGAGGAATCGGGCGATTACCCAGCCTCCTCTCTTCTTGGTCGATCTCGGAGGAGATGTCGTTGAGCCTTGCCGCCTGGTGCAGCAGCGTCGACTGATCCACAATGACTGCGTGGTTCACACCCATGATATCTCGGCAGTAGAAGATGTCGCTCTGCACGTCTGACCCATATTTGCGACCGGAAATGCTGATGGTCGCGGTTGTCGAGGCATTGGTGCGGCTGCAGCTTTCACACTGTAGGTGCTTGACCGCGGTGAGGAGTTGTCGGCTGACGGCTCCTTGCCAGACTGGTGCTGATGACTGCTCCGGTTTCCGGGATCGGCGTCTCCAAGCTAGAAAACTGCGTAGTAGACGGCCTTTTTAAACTTCTGCTTGGGGAAATGCATGCCGTCTAAGGACTCGGCTTCCACATCGATGGTGCCGTCGGCGTACTCGATGATAGTTCCACGGTGGCTGTACTGAATCTCCTTGGGCAGTCTGCGCTATACGGGGCCGCGAAAAAGCTGGATTGTTTTGATGGCACGAGTTGGCCGACCTGCCAGTGACTTGTAGTGGTGGTCTCGAAGATGCGCCTGGTCTGTGAGATAACCTCAGACTAGGCTGTTGGGTACTGAACGGGGGGTTGGTAGTAGACCTGATTGATCTTGAGGAATGTAAGATGGCCGCGATCATGCCCCTGGGGTACTCGCCGCTCCGTCTGGTCTCTGATCCGTAGATGGGCGCGTAGTATATCAGCTCCTGAGTGCTGAGCTTCCTGCTGAGTGCCTCCGCAAGCTCGCCGGAGTTTGTGACCCACTGAAAGGTCTTCTTGATGAGCTCACCGCGGGAGTTGGTTGCTCCATAGGCGCCAGAATGGCACCTTACCACACATCGCGGGTGAGGTTCATGACTGAAGTCTGCTCCCATAACCGAGAGCCGGCTGGGTTCTCGAGGGCGAAGAAGTTGCCGTCGGCGATCTGCTGAAAGCACCGATCCACGGTGAAGTCCACCATCGGTAGTTTTTCTTCACGGAGTCGTGCGAGAAGCTCGGCTCGCTCAGGTCCAGCGTAGTCTAGGTTTTCGTTGAAGATGGACTATTTGGTGCAGGCGATCCCTGCCACCAAAGGCTTGAACTTGTGCTGGGCCTGGATGCAGAGTCGTTGTCCTTCGGCGCTAGCCAGATCAACGTCGTACAGGATGTCCATGGGCTGTAGCGCTCGAAGCTGATGGGTGGTGCGAGCTCGGAGATCTTCGCTTCTCCTGCAAATAGCTCCATGATGTCCATGCCGTGGTTGATCTGCATGGCGGCTGGTATTTTGTCGTAGATGGAGTGCTCGGCTGTGAGGACCTCTGAAGCCTTGTTGAGGTCGTTCATGAGTCGACATTCTCCCAATCGCAGTCCACCTCGTCGTCCTGACTGCTGACGAACCGGTTGAGGTCCGGGTCCAGGTGGTCTCATGAGTCGTCTCTCCATCTCCTCCGCCGGGGCCGGTGGCCTTGCCTTTGACATAGTCGGTGGCTTGTTGGAAGGCTTGGCCGTAGATCTCCTTGGAAGTCGGGGGCGGTACGTTCTGGATGGGTAAGGTGTGCTGCCTTGCTGGCATCCACGAAGTGTCTAAGACAGTTGCGAATGAAGGCGGTGGCAACCGTGAGGAACTGGATGCTGCGATGAAGTGCTTCCATCCTTGGTGAACCGCGTTCCATTTCAGTTGATCTGGTACTCCATGCATCGTTTTATGTGGCGATGCGGGCACCCGGGCTTACTTCCGTCTGGCCTGGAGCCTGCGTGACCGTCGGTGTTGGCGTTCTGGTTGTAGCCTCGTGCTGTCCGAGATTTCTGTGGGGTTGTCGAGGTGGTGGATGTAGTGGCCTCTCCCCGTAGCGGCAACGCTCTTATGAAGCGTCTCGCTTGGCAGGCATAAGCCTTCACCTTTATGAGCATATGTGTGTTGTATCGGGCTTTAGGTCGGGCGCACTGTTTCCTGGCTTGATGCTTGGGAGCTTCAGCACGTGCAGTTCATCAGTGAAGTCACCGTCCGAAGCCTGTTGCTGAACCTTGGCTTCATGCTGCCTCCACCAATTAACACTTGCGCTCCTCCACTTGACCTCAAGCACATTGATGGTAATGTGACCGTTGATAGTGGTAAGTGGGGTGGTTATGCTGAGGGCCTCGAGATAAACCTGGTTGTTGGCAAGGTCTACAATGGCTTCTAGGGTGGTTAATATAGTGGGCGGCTGGCCAAACACACGATGAAGGCGGGGCAAAGCATCACAAAGTCGGATTTGATGGCAGAGCCCTTTCCAAACTCGAACATTTGAATCTTGGGGCACCAAGCTAGCTGAATGCGGTGGTTCTGGAGGCGATTTGTTATTACTTGTTTCCGGCGTATAGGCGTTGGTGTGCGGTGTCCAAAATCACGTAGCCGGCCGTTTTGGTAGTGTCGGCAAGCCTGACCTTATGCATAGGCAAGTGATTAGAGATTGTGTAAATTTGGTGGCTGTGGTGGTCGAGATCCGTATTGGAGTCCTCGGCTGCGCGGGTCCTTTGCCTCCAGGGATCCGTTGCCCTTGGGCTTGGAAGTGCTGGAGGCGGTGCGCTCGGGATCTCCGATGTGTTGCCGAACTTGCGGGCCTGGACGATGCCTGATAGCTTGCGAGCTGTCGGGCGGTGCTTTGGGTATTGCCAGAATAAGATGTTTTTTGATGATGTTTCAAAGGTGAATGTCGGATTTGATGATGAAGTTCATGAAATAACTTATTCTTTTTGAGGAATTTTGTTTTTTGGTTTTTGGATTGATAGTGGAGAGCGCTCGGTTTTTTGGTATTTAATTGCATGGAAACTATTAAGACTTGAATTTTATTATACTATATATATATAGAGCCAAATTTTAACAAAAAAAACAAACATCCTTATTAATATTGGATTTATTGAATTCCTTTGGATTTTAATTAGTCTTTGGTAGATAGATATTTTTGATTAACTCGGAAAATAATAAACACGGTATTATATAATAATATTTAAAATAATATATAAAAAAAATATAACTAATTAATATTATAATGAAATAATAAAATATTTTTAAATAATATAAATTTGATTTAAACAATAATATAATAATAATAAAATATATAATATAATATATAAAAAATATATTATTTTTTTTTATATATATTTATTTATGTTGTTTATATAATATTATAAATTAATAATTGTTTTAATGGTATTTTTTACGATTGTTTTTTTTTAATTTATGTTTGGTGGAGTTGTTATTTTTTGAATTATGAATAATATATTTTGAATATTTTTTGTAGGATTTCGTTTTCGGGGCGGGATAATATAATTTTTATTTTTAAAATGGTATGGGTTATGAATAAACGAGTTGTTTTTTTTTTTCGATTTTATTTTATTATTAGAGAAATTTATTAATTATATTAACATTTGAAATATTGAATTCTTTAAATCTTATATCGTATAACTTGTGGGAGAGGGATTTTTGACCATGTTGGAAAATATCAAAAATATGGTTATATAATAAATATGTTTAAATAATATTAATATTTAATTATTTTAATTTAATTGGATTATTTATTTATATAATCTATTATTAATGTTTTTATTAATATATCCCTAAATACCCTTTTTAAAAAACCTATTATAACAAATATCCAAAATAATAAATATAATTACTATTAATATTATATTATATAAATTTATTAAACTATTAAATACCAAAACCATATTTTATTTATATTATGTATATAACATTATAACAAACATAATTAGTTTTCTATTTTTTAATTTATAATTAATACAATGATTATTTATTGAATTATAAAGAATATTAGTGGGGGCCCGCTGCTTTCTAGCAGCGTGCGAAATGAAGCCCATAACAAAAGAGTAACAGAATCAGAATATGAAATAAACAATCATTCCAATTTAAATAATTATAAATAGATATACACTACTCATAGAAATAAGAATAGACAAACCGAACAAATGCTTAGCAAAATGCGAGAAAATACATAATTACGATTTTGAGCCTTTACCTTAATCCCTACCCAAATAACATATTTCGAAAAATTATATTAAATTTATTAACCCAATTCTAGAGACCCAAATATCTAAAAACGAATTATAAATAAAATTTCTCATCTATAATTTCTATCTATAATTTCTCAAATATGCAAATAAATTATTTTTCCAATCTATATTCGTTCCATATCAAATTATACCAATGCGATTTCAATCAATCTAAAAAAAAATATATTCGATTCTTTTAAACTAAGCTACAATCGACCAACTTCACCATCTCATCATTAATCTAAATATTTTATCACTTAAATGCCCATTTATAACATTTTTTTAAAATTAAACCAAACAAAAATCTCGACGAAAAAAAAAACCAATTCTAAAACAAACCATTCCATTCCTCTAAAAAATTATTGTTTATTCCTCCATAAATTTTTCAACCAAAACAAAAAAAAAACACAAAGCCACAAAAACACAGAAACACAAACACAAACAAACAACAAACAAACAAACAAACAAATACTAAAAATAAAAAACCAACAAACAAAACGAGACAAAGCAAGATACCAACAAAGAGACAAAGACAAAAAGCGACACACCTTCGGCGCGCAACACAAACAAACAAACAAACAGACAAACAAACAAAGACAAAAACAAACACAGAGACAAAAACAAACACAGATACAAACACAGACACACAGACACACAGACACAAACACGCAGACACGCAGACACGCAGACACGCAGACACGCAGACACGCAGACACGCAGACACACAGACACACAGACACACAGACACACAGACACACAGACACACAGACACACAGACACACAGACACACAGACACACAGACACACAGACACACAAAGACACAACACACACAGACACAGACACAGACACACAGACACAGACACAGACACAGACAGACAGACACAGACACAGACACAGACACAGACAGACAGACAGACAGACAGACAGACAGACAGACAGACAGACAGACACAGACAGACACAGACAGACAGACAGACACAGACAGACAGACAGACAGACAGACAGACAGACAGACAGACAGACAGACAGACAGACAGACAGACAGACAGACAGACAGACAGACAGACAGACAGACAGACAGACAGACAGACAGACAGACAGACAGACAGACAGACAGACAGACAGACAGACAGACAGACAGACAGACAGACAGACAGACAGACAGACAGACAGACAGACAGACAAAGAAACAGATACCAGAGACAGACAGACCAACAGACAAGGAGAGACAGGGAAAGACACCGACACTCCGGCGCGCAGCGCGCCGGATTCTGATGTCGACATGCCACAGGCTTCGCCTGCGCACGTGCACGCGTCCGACTCCGAGCCCGAGAGCCGTGATGCAGACGGGCTGCAAGAACGCGCGTGTGAGCTCTTGGCTGCGCGTGCCCCAGTTGCACGCGTCGGCTGGCCGCTTGTCCCCTGGCGCCCTCGCCCTGTGGAGCGAGCCAGTGCAAAACGGTTTATCACGCGCTTGTCTCGGCGCTGCCCCGCCGCTCCCGCGGCCAGGAGGTGGTTGCAAGACTGCTTATCGCATCGCCAAACTCTCGGAAGATGGGCCAAACTTGCTACGGACTGGCAGATATATGCCCCGATTCTTTATTTGGAAGACACAACGGCTTCGTTCAACGGCTACGGATGGGAAGATATATGCCTAGACTCTTGATCTAGAAGACACAACGACTTCGTTCAAAGTCCGGACCATTTTTCCGAAATATCCCGGATATTTCGATAGTCGCACTCCAGACCATTTTTCCGAAATATTCCGGATATTTCGACGATGGCATTTCCCGAAATATTTGGAATATTTCGGGAAAATAGTTCTTAAAATATTCAGAATATTTTAAGAAAATGGTGGGTGGCTACGATTCCCGGACCGCTTTCCCGAAATATCTGGAATATTTCGGGAAATTGGTCCCTACAAAAAATGAAGCCATTATGTCTTCCGCACATATGCCGGGGTAGCCCGAACAGATTTGGGCGAGCGATCCGTAGGAATTATGAAGCGGTTACATCTTCCCGGGGCAATCCGGACCAATTTTCCGAAATTTCCGGGATTTTTCGGAAAAGCGGTCCGGGAAAACGCGCGCAAGTGCGACGAGCAAGTTTCACGGTTTCGTTTTATAGAGTAAATATATTTTTTAAATCGAGATTTTCAATCTTTTTATATATTTAGTTTAAGCTTCATTTTCGGAACGAACTAATACAATCTCCCCTAAAATACCACTAAATTATAAATAAACAAAATTCTAATTCCCAATTCTAATTTATTCTTAATATCTCAATTTAAAGATTTAAACTATATATTACCTATTATTTTATAAATTATCAATTTTCTTATAAAAATAACTATATATTATTATATTAAACTACCAAACACTATAAACCTTACCTCAAAATCATATACTAAACATTTCAAACTTCAATAAAAACAAACAAAACAATACATCATAAATTAAACATAAATAAATCTAAATATTCCAAAATCAATATATTTCTAAACAACCATAATTCCAACATAACATAAAAAAACAAATCATAAACCCTCCGACAAAAACAATGCCAATCAACCAATTCCAAAATATATATAACGAAATAAACATACAAAAAAACACCTTTTTCTTGTTTCCTCAAAAATATACAAATACACCTTATATTACTAAAATAAATACAATAATCAATATACTATTTATATATTAAAAAAACAACAACAACAACATTCATCATGCTAGTACAATATCAATTATTCAATATCAAACTATGTGTAATACAGTAAGTATAATCAATATGTCATTCATTCTTCAGACATTGAATATCAACCATATTATATATAATTCAATAATATGATTTGCACACACACACACACACACACCTTATACGAAACCAATATATATATATATATACATATATATATATAACGTACACGTCTGAATTCACATGCGCGCATGTCAACCCGCAATAATTCTAATTAAAAGTCTGTTCTCACTCGCGATCGTCACAGACTACTGAGCTTCACTTGTTGCGTGAAAATACAACCAGGGTCTTGCGCAGGAGCAAGCTATTGGACCATCAACTGCCCAATGCGGTCCCTGTGACACGCGCCTGGCCTTTTCGCCAGCATCCCTGGACTGTATTGCAAAGCCAAGTACGTCAGAGAAATTGTGTCACCAAATGCAGTTGGGGACTGCTCAGAGTCCCTTTTACTGGGTCATTCCCTCCTAATCCATAAGAAGTGCGAGCTCATGTCAAAACATCTTCCTAAGCTACCGTGCATGTCAGTTGCACTGGTGACCGCTGGCTATCAGCAAGCACTGTCGTCAGTACTCAAAGCAGGTGAACCTGCTATCGCTGACCTTGGCAGCATGGCTTGGGAAGAAGAATCCGCCGGAGTTGCTAAGGATCCGGCCGCCTTGGCTCCAAATGAGATCATTCTCAGATCCGATGTCGCCGGGGAGTTGGTCGACGTTCCCGCAACCGAATGGTCGCTCAAAGACTTGTCCCCAGTGACTCCGGATGAGCTTCAACTGTCAAAAGGTGTAACTGACTTCACAGCAGATGAAAGCTCTTCCGGCATCTGGGTGAAAAAGAAAAAGTACTCACCTGGGCGTTTTTCTCTGCCCAAACAATGGCTCATATGTGTTGGAAACAGCGTAGCAAGCCGCGCCGGGTCGCCACGCTGCTCCATCGCCAAAAAAATTGAGCAGTTGCCAGTGTTTGTGACGTGCCGTGGTTTTGCATTCGATCTCTTCCGCACTCACACTGGCAAATGAATGAAAGCTGCGCTACTTGGATGATTCCAGCCGTTCGCTCAAGCACTCAGCTGGCAGAAACTTGAACAGGGAAGAAATGCTCAAAAGCATCCCAGGCTTTGCCTGGTCTCTTCACATACCTGCAGCTCATGCAGACACAGCATTGCCTCTAATAACTAGTTTGAACTGTGGAATTCAACGCGCGCGAAACAGGTGGCAACCTCCAAACGCAATTGCCATACAGGATTTCTCTGCTCGACACGCTCCTGCCTCTGTCTGGATATGCACCATAGGCTTCAAGTTGCTGCAAGTACCGCAGCTGTGGCGACGGGACCTGAGCGAAGCGGTCCCGGAAAGCGATCGAGCAACAAATCCTGAGGTTGCTTCGCCTTTCCTGAGGTTGCGACACAAAAGCCGCCGTTACAGCCAGATGGGTTGCCTGAGGGCGCCGAAATTGGCATGCGCGTCCGAACACCAGACCTGCCTGCGACTCCAGGCAGGAAGGCATACCTGCGCAAGTTTCAGTGAGCTGCATCAACCTGGCCTCCGCGAAACCTCGCTAACCAATGACCCCAGACCTGTGGAACAAGAGATCCAAGCCCCAACTTTTCGGAGCCTTTGTAGCGCCACAAACACTTCTGGGCAGGAAGTCGCCCAAACACCAGGGCCAACCCCCCAAAAAAACATCAGGTTCCTGTTGGACTCGCGGCACGATTAACCAAAGGGCAGCCATTTTAAGAGAACTTTTGTTGACCCAAGTGACGTCGAGTCGGTGACGCGTCCGCGGCACGGAGTGGTGCTGTTCGGCGCTTCGGCCGCTACCTTCGCCTGACGCAGGGCGAAAGAAAAAACCCAACGGGTTCCAATGAACCTATTGAAACCGATCCATCATGGATGATCTTGTTTTAAGCCTTCGACTTCTTACCCCATTTGAGATCGAACCCAATCGGGTCGGACAAGGGAGTTGTGAGTGCGAAAAATACCGCCGACCGATTTTTCGCGAAAGAGGCTGCGCTGGATCAAAAACATCGGAGAACCGATTTTCTGCCGAGAGCTGCAAACAGGAAGAGCTGCAGTTTGGCTTTTCCGCACCCCGAAAAAGTTGGGGATACGCATCACATGCTGGGGCACATTGGCCTCGTCCGAATGACTTTGGGAGCTTGACACGCATCATTGGTCCACTGTCCGGCCCGTGTTCCCTGGTCTCAGAAGCCGAAGTCAGGGTTGCAATCAAACATCCCTTCTCCTACTTGTTGGGGCATTGGCACAGGATCGACCGGGAAAACCCCAAAGATTCTCGGCAAGTCTGACTTCAGACCCGTCCTGGAGGTTCTCAGGCGGCAACCTTGCAAACCAGACTCCACATCCACCAGCTATCAAACGCCCCAATCCACATGGGCAGGTCTCAAGAAGTCGATCTTCCACCAATATCAAGGCTGTTGAGACATATGGCCACGGGTCAAAACCCCGTACCCCCAGTGAACATCCCAATCCAACCACTGGGTGGTGCACCTATCCCAAGATGAGATCCAATTGGCTTTGAACCATGGCCATATCTCCACGTCTCGGGCAAGCAAAAATCGATCTCGCACCGTCCGGCATGACCTGTCACCAAGGCATCGGCCCGGGCATCACAAAACGTTGCCCACCTCGAACGAACGAATCTGGGTCTCTCAGACTCTGAGCACGGGTCTCTCAGACCTTTAGGGAGCTTGGGGGTGGCCAAGTAAAAAAACACAGCCACAACTTGTCTGTGTTGGTTGATCATTCACCAACCTGAAAAATGGGAAACTACCCTCATGGGTGAGCTCGTTGCACCCGAAACCTATGACTTGCCATCCCAGAGACCTGGCCTCCATTCATGCTCTCTGCCAAGTTCGGAACCTGCGCTCGGCTCCGGAAAGAACCTGAAAAAACTTGCGTCACTTCACCAGGACTGAGAGCCATCCCATGGCTTTCACAAGGCCATGGGAGCTTGCCTCTGAAAAGGGAGGCCAGAAAAAAAAAACAAAAACAAACGAGTCGGCATCGATGTTTGCGCCCGGCCTGTGCACTTGGCGGCATAAAGGCCAGGGAGTTGGGCGTTGAATCCTTGCTCTTCAAGAGGATCATCAAGGCTTGCTGCCTGCCGATGCCATGTGTTGGCCTTGAGGTTCCAAAGTAAAAGTCCAGTCACCAGTCATCCTAACCATCCCTTTGTTGCCTCATGTTGGGAGTGTCTCTAATGACTCTACTGCAAGTTCATTGCTCTGGAGCAGCGTGCCATCTTTGAGTCAGCCCATCCAAACGTCATACCCCATCTCCTTGGATATGTTTCGCGCGCCTTGCGTTCAAATCGGACAACAGGGACGCTTGATCCTGTGCCTGCAGTCAATGGGAAGGAACAAAATTAATTCGAGGTGATGCTAGCCAAGAGTGCATTGCGCATGTCTAATTCTCGGGGAATACGTCCGGAAGCTGAGCACCGCTCCATTGGAGCCATCATTCCAGTTGGCCTCACGCGCGCAGCCATCGGCAAACAGACGTCCATTGAGTTACGTTCCGGGCATCTGACGCCTGGCCCTTGCAGGCCGTACCGGCTCCGCAGAGGGTGCACAACTAGCTAAGCGAAAGCGCGAAAACGCTCCTCAAGGTGTTTTTTCCCGAAAGCATCGCGAAGGGTTCTTCCGTGCGGAGCCCTTGGACAAGTTACACAGAGCCAAGTTGCACAGAGCCAAGTTGCACAGAGCCAAGTTACATAGAGCCAAGTAACATAGAACCAAGTTACATAGAGCCAAGCTACATAGAGTCAAGTTACATAGAGCCAAGTTACATAGAGCTAAGTTACATCGCAATCCCGCGGTCGCGGGTTCGATTCCCCCCTGGTCCGCGGCAGCTCCGGCTTGAAAATCGCAGCTTTTAAGTACAAACGTAGTACGCGGAGCGTGCTCCTGCAGCTCCGGCTGGAAGATCGCAACTTTTAAGTACAGACGTAGTATGCGGAGCGTGCTCCCGCAGCTCAGGCTGGAAAATCGCAACTTTTAAGTACAAACGTAGTACGCGGAGCACACCCCCGCAGCTCCGGCTTGAAAATCGCAACGTAGTACGCGGACCGTACTCCTGCAGCTCCGGCTGGAAAATCGCAACTTTTAAGTACAGACGTAGTATGCGGAGCGTGCTCCCGCAGCTCAGGCTGGAAAAACGCAACTCTTAAGTACAAAAGTACGCGGAGCACACCCCCGCAGCTCCGGCTGGAGAATCGCAACTTTTAAGCACAAAAATAGTACGCAAAGTACATTCCCACAGCTCCGGCAGCACTTGCGAAGAGAAACTTGCGCAGAGTCACTTGCGCAGAGCAACTTGCGCAGAGCAACTTGCACAGAGCAATTGCACAAAGCACTTGCGCAGAGCAACTTGCACAGACCAACTTGCACAGAGCACATGCGCAAAGCGCTTGCACGGAGCAACTGGCGCAGAGCAACTTGCACAGACCAACTTGCACAGAACACATGCGCAAAGCGCTTGCGCGGAGCAACTGGCGCAGAGCACTTGCGCAGAGCAACTTGCTCAGAGCACTTGCGCAGAGCAACTTGCACAGAGCACTTTGCAGCAGCGTGCAGCAGCTTGCAGAGAGCAACTTGCGCGCAGCAGCCTGGAACAATGCAGCTTGCGCAGACCACTTTCGTGAGAAATCGCGCGGCGCAGTTGAGAGGAAAGTAGGATGATGAGATGGAGCTCTCATGTGACCATACACACTGAGCATCGCCGCGCGCAGACACGCTCGCCGCAGCGATGTAAAAAGGTGTCTCCGCGGCTGGATGAGCGCCTGTGGAAAAATGCTTTCGGGCCAATCGTCCTCTAGTTTGATTGTTCCAGGCGAAGACGCTATGGGAATTGCAACCACTGCGACACCGGCAAGGTCCCAACCAGAATGGCAGGATCAAAACAACATCCGCAGTGCTCCCTGGGTTTCAATTGCATATTTATGAAACAGGCGTTTGCCTGAAGAGCCGAGGATATTCCACTCTACAGCGCCAAGGCCTGGCCCGATTTCCAGTAGAGGGCCCTAATCCCAGGTGCGGATAAAAACCAGCAAAATGAGCCGCCATGAAAACCCGGTATTTAAATGGTGAACCCAGAACCATGTAAAGAATAAAGAGGGCGGCAGCCATTTTTGGCTGGGATTGGCCCTTACAAACCTTCATCTACCCGGGTTTGATTGTGGCTCAAAAGGCTGTGGGTCAAAACTGCGTACCCAAAATTGAACCTGGGAAATGGAACCAAAGACTAAAACATGCGGTCCGATTCCTGGTGGTTTTATCCTGACTCATACCATGGGGCCAGAGACGGGTGAGGCTGGGGCATGGCAGTCGCCAGGGCGGCCAGGACTTCGGGCGGCCACATCGTGCCTGGCGAAGAGCCGGGGAAGAGTGGCGGATGGCCGCACGCCATCAAAGAAGCTACTAGGCTGGGGCTACCCGTTGGTTTTTTCTTTATGTTTAAGCCGTGGGTTATGATGATTTCTTGTGAAGGTGGTGATGGTGGTGGTGTGTAAACCATATTTTGCCCCAAACAAGCTACACATTTGGGGGTTGATCAACATTCCGCTCGGCCGCATGGGACACTTCTCACATTGAATGAAGAGCGTGCTTTGAGTCGTTTTCCAACTAGTGGTCATCCCATGTAAAGGACCGTTTGCTCAACCCCCATAAGCATATGCGCATGTGTATTTAGACTAAACATTGGGTTAAACGCACGCCGGCTCGAACCATGACGCTCGAGACCTACTAAGCAGGTTGACCTTGTGTGTCTCTCTGACTCTTGCAACGACATGTCAGGCTGAGGCCCCAGGGGCCAATGAGTCAAAGAACGCCAGCGCGGCTTGCCGCTCCAGGCACGGCCTGGGAGGACCTTACCGGCGCAACATGGGTTTGTCTTAAAAATGCAAAACGCACAGCAAACACACGCAAAAACAAACACACACACACAAGCACGTAAACACACACACACAAACTTAAACACGCAAACACAGACACATACCCAAACACGCGAAACCGAAACGCAAACACCCAAAGGCATAAACGCAAGCACGATCGTAAACACACCAGGTACACACAACACACACACACACGCAAAACACACACACACACACTCACACACGCACAAACAAACAAGCACACACACACACATGCACACACGCACGCACACACACAGGCACGCACAAACACACACACAGCCACACACACACGCGCACACAGCCACGCACAACATCACACACGCACACACACACACACAACACAGGCAACACACACACACACACGCACAACACACACACAACACAGTCAACACACACACAACACAACACACACAAAATCCAAAAAACAACCATACAACCCACAAAAACACACAAACACAACACGAGCAAAAGCCACGAAACCAACAAAACACACGCACACACACACACAGAACATGCAACACACGAAAACCAACAGGAACACGAACACGAACACCAACACAGACACAAAAACAATCACACACACAAACACAGACAAAGACAACAGACACACACACAGACACAAACACACCCAGACATACAAGACACAAACAAACGCATACACGCACGCATGACATAGGCACGCCCACAAACGAAGACAGACGCAGACACAGACACAGACACACACACACACACCCACGCACGCAAACACGCACGCAAACACGCACGCACGCGCACACACGCTCTCGCGCTCCCGCGCACGCCACACACACACACACGCAGACACAGACACAGACACAGACACACACGCACGCACGCACGCACGCACGCACGCGCGCTCGCAAACACGCACGCAAACACGCGCGCAAACACGCACGCACGCACGCCTGCACACGCGCGGGCCCTCGCGCCTCCACACACACCCACACCCACCCACCCACCCACGCCCGCACGCACACACACACGCACACACACACAAATACACACACACACACACCACACACACACACACACCAATACACCAACACACACACACCAACACACCAACACACCAACACACACACACCAACACACACACACACACCAACACACACACACACCCAGACACCCACACACACACACACACACACACACACACGCGCGCACGCGCACGCACACGCGCGCACGCACGCGCACGCGCACGCGCACGCGCACGCACGCGCACACGCGCGCGCGCACGCACGCACGCACGCACGCACACACCCCCACGCACGCAGACAGACACAGACACACACACACATACACACACACACAGACACACGCAGACACACACACACAGAGACACACACAGAGACACACACAGAGACACACACAGAGACACACACAGAGACACACACAGAGACACACACAGAGACACACACACACAGACACACACACACAGACACACACAGACAAAACACACACACACACACAGACACACACAGACACACACAGACACACACACAGAGACACACACAGAGACACACACAGAGACACACACACACACAGACACACACACACAGACACACACAGACAAATCACACACCCACACACACACAGACGCACACACACAGACACACCCACCCACACACACACACACACACACACACGCACACGCACACGCGCGCACGCGCACGCGCACATGCACACGCGCACACGCGCACATGCGCACGCGCACACGCGCACGCGCGCACGCGCACAAGCGCACGCGCAGAGGCGCACGCGCACAGGCGCACGCGCACAGGCGCCCGCGCACAGGCGCACGCGCACAGACGCACGCGCACAGACGCACAGACGCTTGCGCACAGACGCACGCGCACAGACGCACGCGCACAGACGCACGCGCACAGACGCACGCGCACAGAGGCACGCGCACAGACGCACGCGCACAGACGCACAGACGCACAAACGCACAGACGCACAAACGCACAGACGCACAGACGCACGCGCACAGACGCACGCGCACAGACGCACAGACGCACAGACGCACAGGCGCACAGACGCACAGACGCACAGACGCAAGCGCACAGACGCACGCCCACAGACGCGCACAGACGCGCACAGACACGCACACACGCACAGACACGCACAGACACGCACAGACACGCACAGACTCGCACAGACACGCACAGGCACGCACAGGCACGCACAGGCACGCACAGACATGCACACAAACACGCGCACAGGCACACACACACACAGGCACACACGCAGGCACACACACACACACACACGCACACACAGGCGCACACACAGGCACACACACAGGCACACACACAGGCACACACACAGGCACACACACACACACACACACGCACGCACGCACGCACACGCACACGCACCCGCACCCGCACCCACACACGCACCCACGCACCCACGCACCCACGCACCCACACACACACACACAGAGACACACACAGAGACACACACAGAGACACACACAGAGACACAGACAGAGACACACACAGAGACACAGACAGAGACACACACAGAGACACACACACACACACACGCACGCACGCACGCACGCACGCACGCACGCTCATGCACCCACGCATGCACGCACGCACGCACGCACCCACACGCACGCACCCACACGCACGCACACACACACGCGCACGTGCACGCGCACGCACACGCACGCAAACACAGGCAAACACAGGCAAACACACGCACAAACAAACAAACAATCAAACAAACAAACACACACACACACACGGTTGAGGTTGTGGAAAGGCCAATAAACCCAATGACATTTGCAGGGCTGAGGATGGGCAGGTGAGCGTTTTAGCACTCAGCTCGCCTGCAAAAGCTGGAGTCAAAGGCGCAGTCCGGGGCGCAGGCATAGCAACTTGAGGGCTTTGGAAAGCGCTGGCTGTCGTCTGGTCGCACTGGGCCGCAGTGCCTCACGATTGGTCAAGGCGGATCTCGCCCGGCTCAATGATGTTGCCAGAAAAGGCAACGAACACAAGGCACATTTCATTTGGTCCCGCGTGTGACACATTGAAATGGACATCCAGAACTACTTGTCCAACTTCGGGACCCAATTCATGTTGAGTTCGGCCCCACCTGCCGGCGGGCTGGTGGTAGCAGGGCTGCGGCTGTCAGATTCAGCAATCTCCTCGCAGGCACGGGCATATGAAACATATGTTCCATGGCAATGATTATCTTAGCTATCTATACAGGGTTTATGATTATATTATTTAAATCCAAATCATCTCTAAGACCCTAGCATGCATTCCGAAGCAGGTCAACCAAACTTGGTGCACCGATCGATCTGCAGGGACAAAGCCATGCTTTTATCCTCAGACCAGTCTGATTCTGGTGGGCGCATACGTGCTTAGTACTAATCGACATGGCATCGTGCCTGCCAGCTCCTTTCAGCATCTACTGAGTACTCCACCCGTGATTTTCAAAGATCCAAAAGGCCCTTGTCATGTATCTTGAGGGAGTATCCCTGGTCTGGGTGTTTGTCAAACATCCAAGCATGCATGCACATACGCCCCGCTGGCGTTCCGTGACCATGTGTTCATGCACACATGCCCTTATGTTCGTGAGATCATCAAGGGGTACATGCCAAACAGTCCAAGTACCTCCCGATTTCCTCCTTGAATCTGGGCTGCCCTTAGATTCTCCGCTAAAAGTGACCAACTTTTAGTGGGTTAATGGGCAAACTACCACTAAACACTCGGCTAAAAAGCGAAGTTGAACCCGATGGCTGGGAGCCAGCAAGGAATATGACTTGTCGGTGCTCGGGTCTCCCCGCGCAAAGCAAGCGACACCAGCCCCGTCCTCTGCCAGGGCCATGGGTTGCAAACATTCGCTGGGCCCCGCGCGGGCCTGCGATTGGAAGCTTCGAGCCACTTCGAAGCTCCCCCCGACGAGCATGGGCTTGGTGCACAAAACTCCTCTAGAAAGACAACCTTTTCCTCTTGGAAAGGCACCTGGTTTCCGTGCACGGGACCATGTTGGAGGGTCCTTCTTTTTTTTTTTCCTCTTTGAAGCGTTGGCTCTCGGATCCGAACTTGTCAGGCCTTCACAGGAAGTGATTCCCTGGGGGCCACGGGAGCCGCCCGTTCGCTTTGTGGCTTTAACCATGCGTGAGCATTGATCAACATGCTGGCCGAAAGGAATTCGAACCTCTTGAGCAACGACCTGATTCGACGGTTCACCTGAGGATTCGGTCCACCTTCCGTCCCCATGCGCAAGGGATCTGTGCACTTTTGGTGGAACTGTAATTGCAAGACCGTCCAAATTTGAATTATGGCAATAATATGACTTTTTAGCATCAATAATTCAATATCAACACATTTGATATTACTAGTTCTAACATCAATACATTTGTTTCTTGAAAACAATAAATAAACAAATCAATTAATAACAAATCCAATAACATCCCTAAGACACCTCCCAGTGGACTCTCGCCAAGTATCGCGGTGCTTGTGCTGGGCTCCGGGGCCAACGGGCGGAAGCGCGGATCCTTGTGATGTGCCAAACCTCGGGACGCGGCAAATTCTCTCGCCAAGCCACGAAGGGAAAGGAAGGCCTGGCATCTCATTCATCTCGTTCATTATCCTTTCCATGTCATGTAATCTCTAAGGTAATACAAATAGTCAAACAAAATAAATGAAAATAGAAAAGGACAGGGAGTTTGGTATGTTTCTTGTATCTGATCTTTGGGCATGGCTCAACATGAAGTAGCTGGGGTTAATTACGTGGGTTTTAGCCTTTGGTTCCATCTACCGTTTGGTGCCATTTTGGTACCACTCTTTCCGAGCCACAGCCATTTGCACTTGTCATCTTGAAGTTTGTGTTTTGTTTGAGACCCTTGTTCCAGCAAGTTTTTCAGGGACACCAAAGTGAAAGCCTACATCGATGGCGTCCAAATCCCTTTGACATCCGATTTCAAGACCCCGCCCTGGTGATTCCTTTGGCTCAAGTTGGACTCTAGCCCATGTCAGCAGCATGATCCTGGCAGCTCACATGTTTTTTCCCCCTTGAAGAAACGGGGATGCGAGCATCCCTTTTTTAAGGTGAACAAAGCGGCACCAGGTCCCTTCAAGTGAGCCGGCCATCTTTCGAAAAAAGACATCGGCTTCGGTGTTCCTTTCCTTTTTTACGGCTTGAGTTTTGTCAGAACCAAAAGGACACCTGAACATCTGCTCAACAAATGGACACCTTCAGCCATGGTTTTTCGACTTTGACCCCTAGTCTGTGAGCCACGCTGAAGCCAGAGAAGTGCCGAAGATTGGCCGCTCGGCCCTGGCTCGTGGGGAGCTCTCCCCCCTAAAAGAGCCTGGGCTCTATGTGCATGTGAAAACCCCTGGGTTTCCTCCAGTCAGGAACTTGAGGGGTTGGGCGAAAAATGGCGAAAGCTAAGCTCCGCGTTGTTAAACTCAACGCCCAAATAACATCGATGTTGTTTCGTGGGGTGTGTCAGTGCGCGAGCGCGTGTCACTGGAACTGCAGATGTCTCTTCGGAACAGCAAATTTAGCAGAAAACCGCTCTGACTAAACCGATGCAGGGTGCCAGATAGAACCAACAAATAGCCGTAGAACCGTCGGCATTTCCCTCATGCCCGTCCGGAACTGCACGTTTAGCAGAACTTTGGCAAACCATGAAAAACGTGGACGTGTACTTCGTGCCTTGCTGACACTGCACATGTGGCTGGCAAGTCGTAAACAGAACAAATACCAAGGGCGCCGAATGCGACTGAAGAAGGGGCCGCAGAAACGTCGACATGTTCTATGTGTCTGTCTGGACATGCAAATAGGGCAAACAACTGCTCCACCAAGTCGTGAATAAGACCGACACTAGTCGTCAAAACGCACGCATTTCCATATATTCCCATCATGTGTTCCTGGAACTTCAACGTGTGGTCTCATTGTCATCCAAGACCGTCCCGGACTAGACCAATATGAGCCCATCAAAAAGGCTTTTCAGAGCCGACAACCGTGCAAAGCCGTGCTGCACACTCCAATAATTCCACAAATCGAAAGACACTCTTCCAAAAAGGCAGATTGCGCGCGACGGAGTTGAGCCCGCGGAGGGAGGAAGGGGGGGGGGACAAAGATTGACTCTTGTTCGAAGCATCAATTGTGGGGTGTTTTTTTCGCCCCCCCCCCCCTCGCTGTGATGAATCAATTGTTAGTACCCGCACCCCCCTACAAAACTTGCTAAAGCAGGAGCAACTCCAGCTAGCTGATGCTAGCTTTGGTGATGAATCACCCCCATCAGGGTCACAAGGTTCTGGAAAAAAAGGCCCTGAATCCAGCTCTTCTCTCCATCTGGGCCAATAGAAAGTAAGAGGACATCGCGTCTTTTTTCGCTTCTTTTTTTGTTTCCCCGCTGGAGAGGGCCTTGAAAAACCAGGGAGGACTGGCCTTCTTTATGAGAAAACGTGCTGTGGTACATCTGCTGTTTCTGGCTAGCTGATTTTATCGAGACCTGGACAGGCAACTATGAAAGGACGTGGAGGTGGCAGGAGTTGTTCATCTTCTTTTCTATGCGGCAGACATGGGCGCGGGGCAAACATGGGAGCTGTCACTTGGAAGCCTTGCGGGTGCCCAGGCAGTATTGGCTGAAAGTGGGCCAGGACAAGGGACAGTCTTTTACGCGGCGGGGGGGGGGTTGGAGTATTGATGGTCATTTAGGCACCCCGAAAGCTTCAAACATGAGACTCAGCAGACCGGAGAGAGTTATAAACGAAAACCTGTCGGCAGAGCTTTGCTTGGGGGTCCCGTGTGTTTCTTCCTTTCGGACATGAGAGATAAAAGGGAGTCTGGAACTCTTACAAACACCACGCATTGAGTTGGCCAGTTTATGCGCTACATGCGCTACATGCATCTAATGGGGGTTGATCAACATGCTTCCCAAGCGGGCCATCTGTGCATTGGTGCTGAATACACAACTCCTCACCAAGACATTTGGATCAACCCGTCAAACGTCAAACAGCGTCGACATGACATTTCATCTGGTGTTCCCTTTGATATATCATTTTCAAGGGAGACAGAAGACAAACACACACACACAAACACAGATGGCTCTGAGTCAAACAAGTGTACCCAAAACGGAACCCTGGTAAGTGGAGACATGGACTAAACCCTGCGTTTTTTTTTGGTGGTTTAATTTTGACCCACACCCATATATTATCAAGGGAGGCAAAAGAAAAACGCACACACACACACATTTTGAGGGTGCCGCTAATTTTTGAGGGAACCCCACCGACCCTCCGCACCTGCAAAGCCGCCGGCATGATGCGGAGCTTCTTGGCTCCGGGCATCCTGAGCGCAAAGCGGTTTCGACTCCCCCCGACCCAGAAGGCCTCGACTTCGGGCGGACTGAACTGGACTGCCCGGGTTTTTTTCAGAGCTGCGAAAAAGTGAGAGACCCTCCCACCAACTCAGTGAGAGACCCTCCCACCAAGTAACTGACAAATTGACAAACTGCCCATTGCGCAACTGGAAGGGATCGATGGACAGTCTTGTTTTTACGAGACTGTTTGGGGGGTGTTGGAGGAGCGTCCACCAACTAACATGGGTTTCTGCAAACAGGCTCTTTCCAAGAGGAAAGTAGTCTTGCTACAGGGGTCTGTGCACTTCCATGTTAGCTGGTGGGAGGGTAGACTTTTAGTGGGTTTAGTGGAAACTGCCACCAAACCCCAAGAAGCTCAAAGTCTCAGGGGATGGCTGGGCACCACGGATTCAAGCGACAAGAAGGGCTCCTGATCATGTTCTGTATGCCCTGCATTTAGCCAAGAAGGCGAAACCGAGTGGAAAATGGGTGCTTTCGCCCTGCGCCTATCTTCATTCTCAGTGCTTCAGGGGGGCTGTGACAAAGCATGCCCATTCCTGTGGCATTATGAAACGAGGAGCCCTGCCTTGAGGCTTTGGGGAACCAAAAAGGATAGTCACCATGTCAAGTCGCACCCAAAACCCCAGGTACTTGTTTGATGTGCTTCAGCAGGCCAGCTCTCTTTCTTTTTGGGGGGGCTTCCTCCCCGCCATCCAACATGCACATTCATAGCTATGAAATCCATTTCGGCAAAACCTAAAAAACATCTCGTCATCTCCCCAAGCTGTTGATAAGCAACACATGTCTTGCAGACGCCTCCAAGCAAAACGCGGACCCCATGTTGCCCTTCGCGCTGAAGACTCTGAGCACTCTGCCCTGGCAGAAGCTTTTGGTTGCCCCACTGTTGCTCAAACTCGGCCGCCACGGACCTGGCACGTGGGAGTCTAGATTTGAGAGGTTAGAATAAGGGTACCCTTTCTTTCTTCTGTAGTCTATTTTAGTAGGGGAACCATCCCAACCAAGAAGGGGTGAGAAAGGGCACTACCGGGGGACCTAGGAGTAGATTTGGGCGACTCTGAAAGGTGATTTTGTTCCGCAAGCTTGAGCCTGTCCATTGGAGCCCGGGGTCTGATACGTTGGCTCAAGTGCTCAAACCTCCAATTCCGGGGTCGCTTTTTTGGGAACCCTCTACATCCAGAGCGCTACGACCATGCTGCGTCTGCCGTCCGCCTCGAGAAAAAGTTGACGATGGCGTATCCCAGGTTGCGGTCCTAAAAATACCATCCGAGCTTCAACCTGTCCCGGACGTCAATTGGGGTATGGGTCAAAATCAAACCAATCGGACCACAGGTCTTGGTCCACGTTTCCACTTGCCAGGGTTCCAATTGCGGTACCTATTTTTGACAGCCAATTGATAGCAAAGGCATCTCCCCAGTCGATGGCATTCTATTTCAAACTGCCGAAGACTGTGACCTGGTCTGCGACTTGTACGGAATCAAATGCCCAAGTAAAGGAGCTTGTTATACCCCTCCCCCCCGTGAGCTTGCTTTAAAATTGGCAGCTGGTATGGATCCTGATGCCGGAAATGCTTGGAAGGATCTAGGTGCCCTAATGGTCCTGGTTACATCTGCAATCTGCGCTCCTGGTATGGATCCCATGGGCAGTAGAAAAAGTCAAACGCTTCACGCCTCAGACGGTTGTCGCGCCGGAATGCAGTGCGAGAGAATGTGCCACTTGGAGTAATGTTCTGCTTTGAACAAAGCAACAACCGCTCCAGGAATCCCCGACCAAACAAAGCATAAGAAGGCCTTGTTTTCGCACGCTCCACCGCCGAGCTCCACTCCGGTTAGCTGAGCTCTGAGCATATAGGTGCTGAGATCTTCCAGTAGCAGCATCAAGGCGCCCTGGGAGATTTCATGCCACGAGAAGCGAAAGACAAAGAGAGAGAGAGAGAGAGAGTAGATCCTCCAGTAGAGAGGTTAGAATAAGGGTACCCTTTATTTCTTCTGTAGTCTATTTTAGTAGGGGAACCCTCCCAACCAAAAAAAGGGTGAGAAAGGGCGCTACTGGGGGACCTAGGAGAGAGACAAAGAGAGAGAGAGAGAGAGCAAACAGTCTGCTTTTGAGGGAGGCTTGGATCTAACACCCATCAGCTACAGTAGACCTTGGAAGCAATCACTCCTTGCTCAATGCGTCTTCCGCATCCATGACCGTCTGCCCGTCTGGCCATTTTTGTCCGCATCAGTAAACCGGTTCATGTCTCCGGCCTGCGTTAAGAATTGAGGCACGTTGGTGAGCATCATTGTGGTGCAATGCCTTGCGAGCCGAACTTCGAACGCCAACCTGCGATTTGGGAACCCAGGATTAACACACCCTTTCGAGCAAAAAGCACAAGTCCCATTCAGAGGCGGGACTGCACCAGGTTGACCAACCCGCTGTGGCCGAGGGGTCTGCCCCCGGGCCCTGACCCTGCCTACGCTGCGCACGTTCTCCTTTTCGCTGTCGAGACCAGTCCTGGTGGAAAAACAAAAAACGCGTGGAAAACCTGGAGCTGTCCAACTGGATTGGATCTAAATGACGAAAAATCGAATCAGCCTTTGGTGGGCGCTTGCTCGCTCCTGGGAGGTCTTGTCCGACTGCGGCGCATCTGCGGACTCCTGCAAGGCATCTCACCCAGCTGAAACCAGACTCTGTGGTGACACGCGGACAAGGGTCTCGTGAAGTGCCGCCTGCCTATGTGGGCTTGTCTCACAAAATGGAGACTCCAACATGGGTCAAAATGGTCGATCCCCTTTCAGCCCCCTTAACCAAAATGGGTTGCCAACCAACGCGCTCTCACACCCCGGATATCTGCCACATTTGCTTGCCCACGCCGTGCAACCTCTTTTGCCCGCCTCGTCCGGACTGGAATCCCCGCTGCCTTCTGGAGTTGGCACCTGGCTTCGTCTCTCATACTTAAAATGCATCAAAGCCATGTAACGAATCAAGAAGGCGGCCGCACCCATTTTTGGCTGGGATTGCCCAGCCACTATGCTTCATCTATCCGGGTTTTGAGGACGTGGCTCGAATGGGACTCATCGGACTACTTTGACACACGGCTTTCGTTATATTGCCTCTCTCTGGCTGCCCCTTTAATGGGCACCATGTCCCGCAACCCAAGTTCCATGGATTTTGAGCAGGCTGCCACGCTCCACGAATTCGCAGTAGGAGAGTCATTCAGTCATTCAGGGCCCAAAAGCATAATCACGGGCTCTGAATCTGAAGCCACAAACTCGCTGCCCCCGCACATACTCAAGATGCCCTAAGAGTGGAGGAGGGGGGCAAGGAGCAAAACATCCGCCAATGCGCCATGCACTCTGAGTGCAGGACAGAAGCTGACGTGTCGGCACGCGTACTCTGGTCAGATGCTCCATCACGATTCATCTGCTGCAAAGACCTCAAAGACCAGTGCGAGTTAGGTTCAATTTACGATTCCATGCCAGTGCTCTTCGGAAATTTGGCTAATCTGGTCATAGATGAGAGCTCTTTGACTTTCGCCTTCCACGAGTGTGCCGAGTTTCGCAATAAATGGAACTATCTTGACCATACCTTGCATGAAGGATTGTACACATATATATATATATATAAACATTGTCACTACATGATCATAAAGGCTTAAGCCTGAGTAACATGGCCAACGGGAATCAGCTTTGGGGACTAAAAATTGGTCCCAGCGTCCCAGCCAAAGCGGCAATTTGTTGCTGACCACTCTGGGCAGCTGACGCTATGTTCACCCAGTCGCTTCCAGACATTTGCTCACGCTGTGCGCGGGTGTGGCCATGCCTGCGGGTCTGCAGGTCTGGTCGCTCCCCAGTCTCTCCCACACCACTCCAAGCAATATGCCACTCGTGCCCGGCCTGCTGCCGACCTTGCAAAGGACACGGCCAAGTGGAATGCTTACGTTCGGAAACACGTAAAACTCAATCAATCACGCATCTTGCTTCAGTAACTGGACGAATCCTCAAAACTGATCCTTCAGCCTCAAGGCAAGCAGTCGAAGCAACCTTTGACCAGCCCCGGACTGCTTGAGGTCGTTGTCCCTGTCCTGATGAGCATTGCAATGCCAAACGTCAAACAATCAACCAAGCAACTGAGAAAGCACGCGAGCATGAAGGCAAGCAAGCCAAGCCAAGTAACAAGCCAATCAAGCCAATCAAGCAAGCAAGCAAGCCAGCAAGCAAGCAAGCACGCGGACACACAAGCAGGCAAGCAAGCAAGCAAGCAATGCAAGCCAAGCAAGCCAAGCAAGCCAAGCAAGCGATCAAACCAATCAAGCAAACTAAGCAATCAAGCAAGCAAGCCACGCCACGTCCCAAGCCAAGCCAGCAATCCAGCCAGCGAAGCAAGCAAGCTGGCAAGCCGGCAAGCCAGCAAAGCAAGCCAGCAAGCAAGCCAGCAAGCAAGCAAGCACGCCAAGCAAGCAATCAAGTAACGCAAGCAAAGCAACGCAACAAAGCAACGCAAGCAAGCAACGCAAGCAAGCAACGTAAGCAAGCAAGCAACGTAAGCAAGCAGCACGACGAAGCCAAAACACAAACCAAGCATGCCGACAAACACGTGTGCTCACATTTTGCGGATTCTCGCTAGTGATTTGCAGTCCTGTCTTTTCTGACACCCCATCTGCTGCCTGACACTTGCGGATTCTGCCAGTTCTATCGCAATGCCTGTCACACTCCAGTGAAGCCCATCGCATTCTGACGTTGCAATTAAATATGTCAAACAACAGTATCAACAAAATTCATTCCGAGCTGAAAGTAGTGCTCCCCAAAGAAGCTTTTGTGGCTCAAGTGGCTCACTGAACAACCTGAACGAATGGCTTGCCTCCGACCCGCGTAGGGAGCCAGCGATCGGCGAGGAGTCCAATGTGGGGCGCACCTGCAACGCGGAGATCGGTGGACAAAATCCACAGCAGGCACTTGATCAATCATTGTGGAAAATGGCTCAGAAGGGGTGGTCGACGAGATACGCTCGCATCGCTCTGGCGCGGTTTGGCGAGATTATTGATGGCCATGGATTTTGGGAACTACCAGGCATGCCAAAGTCAGCGTGCGTCCAAGACGCTTTCGTCTCTCAGATATTTTTTCTGTTTACTTTTTTGCTCTCGCACAATCACCTAATAGGGGTTTTGCACATGCAGCTGACATCCGCTTGCCAATGAGTCCCTCCTGCGCTGAACTTACCGGCGCTGCTGCACTCAGCTCCTGCCCGACGCATCTTTAATCCTTGAGAATATCTCTGGTCTCCAGTGGGTTCGGGTTCTAAAGCCAGCGACTTAAGAGCTTTGATACGATCACGACCCACACCAACGACGGCTGTGTTTTTGGTTCGGGCACTGAAGCACCGGGTGCAAGTTGGACGTGTCACAAGTTGACAGCTCGGCTGTGAGAGAAATTCCGATTCCACTTTATTCAGTCTTAGCCTCCTAAAACAAGCCAAATTGGTATCCGGGTATCCCCCACAGGCCTGGAACCTGGAACATTCCAGAACCCTTCCTGAAAGCTCTCCCATGTGGGGGAAAACATCAGGATTTGAGTGTAACCAAGGAGCCCTCTTGCTGACTGGGCAACTGGGGAATCTTAACTTTGGCACTCTCTCTGCAAGAATTCGTCCTCTTCCACCAGGAGAAGCATGTTCAGAAACCAACAGTGTCAGAACCATATTGTATCTACCCACTTAGTTGAGGCACCCAAGGCACCTTTACAAACGCACAAGCATCCACCATCCCTCCCAAGGAAACTGCCCTCTGGCTTTTCTTGCGCATGATTTGGCAGGCAGGATGGAGAGGGCATCTCAGAGTCGCTTGGACAATTTTCCCCGGTTCTTTCAGTCCTGGCGGCTGTGAGCAAATCGGCAGGCATCCCCATGCCTCAGAACCGAGGCAAGGATCCGCGGTTTACCCTCCCAATTCGCACATGGAACCGTTCGACGTTCGGGGGGTCCTGGTTTAAGACCATTTCCCCTTAAAGGGACCGGGTCCCTGTTCCAGTGAATTGGTGGGAGGGTACTCAGAACGTGTGCGAGGGCTTGCCCCATTTATGAATTCATGCGTCTACACTGTGGCGTTGCCTTGCGCAAGACTGCAAGCAGATTCAACAGCCCATGGCGTATTATGCATGCGTGCATGACCAAACTTAGACACTTAAGGGGACTGGCTAAGCGACCCCGTGCAGTTTCCATATCTGCAAAATCAGGGGTCACCGAGCAGAAAGAGAACTGGACATGGGAAGTTGCTGCAGGCGTGCCGCTACGCAAAGAGCAGAACATTGAAAGCTGCGTGAAATGTGTTGCTGCAATGGCTGGGCAAGTCTGGCTGTGGAAGTAAATTGCAGCGCACATATATGCATACACGTATATACATATATAATCATATATATACATATATATAATCCCTGTGTGCTCTCAAAGCCAGAGCAATCCTGCAAAACCACAGTTGGGATTCCTGGAACGCAGTTACGATCGATTCTCATTTGCGGGATATCCTTTCCAAAGAGGTGGGTCTTAGAGACAACTCCTGCGCTTCTTGGGCATACCAAAGAAAGAACATGGAGCCATCGCGAAACTCCCGCACACGTTTTACAGCCGGTCGTTGTCTTTGATCAATCCCCATGTTGCTGAGGGCATGTTGCATGATTCCAAGACACCTCAAGCACCCATTCGAAACACTTGAAAACTGCTTCAACAGCTTTAGAGCGTGTGCTTGAATCAAGATCGAATTGCCAAGCGAAAGGTCGAGCAGTCCATCGAGTCCTGCCGACAGAATGCAGTTTGGTGAGCTAAGGAACCTTCGAACATGGACAATTGCCGGTGAACTATGCCATCGGGGTAGCACATGATGGCCGTGTCGGCTCCAAGCAGCTGCTTCTACTTCCTGCAGAATAAGCATAATAATACTGGCACAAATCGAGTGTTTTCGCTTGCTTGCCGCGAAAGACAAACATGTTTCGGGTGAATCCCAAACTTGGCATTCAAAAACAATTCCTTGCGGGCTGGTCTCATCCTACATGATGGTAGCTTGTTTATCGAGTCTCGCGCTGGAAATTGGTTTTAGCTGTTTGAGATACACCGACACCCCATGGCACCCCCTCCATCTCTCGAAGTTGCTTGCAGCGCCCAGAGGAGGCGAAGCGGCACAGCTTGGTCTTGAAGAAGCCTTCTGTCGTGCGAAGCTCCCTGGCGCCCGCGAGGCCGTTTTTACCGACGAACAAGGCCTGAGACGAACCAGGCCGCAGGAAAAAAGAAAAAAACACGAGGGCGGCACAAAAGGGGACACCCTTCTTTCCCCGGCCGGATCCTTCTGTTTGGCCCGGAGAGCAACACATGCGCACAGATTCGGGGTTGAGCAATCTAGGGCCTGCCCTTTTTTCCCAGTCCGGATCGTTTTGTGTTGAGCCCGAGCAAACGTGAACACAAAACAGGGCCCCCTCTACCGCTCTGCGGCCCCAAGGAGGGAGGAGCGGGGCATGTGGAAGTTCGTTGAAAGAAGAACCTTCTGCATTCAGCGGCAAGATCAATGTAAGATCCCAGTCCTGCCCAATCTTTGACATCGTGACATCGGCCTAGGGGCCCCTATGTTCCCGGTCAGGTTCGCTCGCTAGCTCCCCCGCCGCCCCTCCAATGGGATCCCCCGATCCTGGCCCAGCACCCCAGCCCCAACACCTCCGCGCATCCCCGGTCCTTGGGCTAAGTCTACACTCTTCAGCTAACTCCAAACCCGGCCTACACAAACCAACCCTGACACAACCCTGAGCCAACCCTAAGCCAACCCTAAGGCAACCCTGAGCCAACCCTAAACTAACCCCACCCACAGGGGGAAGTCGAGGCAAACCTCGGACCTGGAACATAGGGCCCAATACTTCGCAGGCCACGCAACGGCCAGAGGCGTCAGCCAAAGTTCGGAGCACGGGCCATTTCTCACAAGCCAGGCTTCTGATGCGTAAGCGTCGATTCCCAACATTCGATCCATTGGCTCCGGATCAGATCCGCGCATCGCTCACCGAACTCGAATTCGACTCTTGCCACTCACGCGAGATTCGGAACCCCCCGCCTTTCATCGTGTGCGAACGCACAGTTGGGCTTGTCGCAATTTCCGGACCTCGGGCTGGGAAGTTTGGATTGGGGCTCATGGGGGAACTCGAGAGCCGCATGTGTCCGTTTGGTTTTCGCAGAAAACCGACCCCAACAAGGGAACCCTCCAAAAGGACACGTGACTACGGCAAAAGCGGTAGGTGCACAACGCTAGTTCGATGTTGCGCAAAAGGAGCACGGTATCTTTGGGGGATATGCCTGGCTCAATGCCGTGAGCCCATGATTCCTAGGCCGAAAAGGAGAGCAGGATACCACCGTTGCAGAACTCATTTCGCTGGAAGGTCTTGGGGAAAGTCGCGTCAACCATTGGGCGCCCGGCAGCAAAAAGGTCTTGCACATGCTCGTTCGGTTCAAGTTAGGCCTCGCTTCGAGCTGCAAAGCACCCCCAGACCCAAGGCTCTTGAACTTAACCCGGGGGTGAATTTCAGAGGCCATACTGTGGGTGGACGAAATCCATTTCGCAGCACTTTGAAGCCATGAAACAGCATAGTTTGTTGGTATTTTGCTATTCCAGGGTTTCTTATGTGGTGCAGGATTTCGTCCATCCACAGTTGCGGGAAGCAGCAGCAAATGGTTAGACCTAGCCCAGCTCGCTCTTGCTAGCTTGTCAGTGAGCCCCATGCCACAATGCTGCCGCGCCCAAAACGCGGTGAGCGGTGAAACTCGTGTGACAGTCAGGCTTCGTTGGGATCAAGTATATACCGTAGGAATCTTAAACATATTAATCTCTCCCCACCTGTGCTTGGCTGCCAGCACACCCTGTGCCTGGTGTCAGAGCTGATCCTGTTTAGAGAGACCCGAAGTTGGCGCATCGGAAAGCCCGGCTCGGCTTGGCTTGGGGCCCCGGCTTCTCCCGAATTTCAGACACATCGTGGGCAAAGCTGCAACGAGCGCCCTTTCCACACCTGGAATTTCAGCACGAAACCAGCTGGGCGAAACGAGCGGACACATTCGCGCTTGAGCGAACCAATCGACTCATGGCTCTCGCCCTGCCTATTGAGCATGTGGAACTTGCACATCTCCGTTTTCCGAAGCTGGCGAACATGCCTCGGACATGCAGCCAGCACATGTGCACTCGCACACCCAGTGAGGTGGAGTAGGAGGTTTGGCGACACATCTACAAGGGGCACTTGCACCCAAAACCATGCATTGAACTTTGCAAGCGTCCTCTTGAATCTGATCTTTGCGAAAACCGTGGGCGACCAAGGGCGAATTGCTGGGGCTTCAAATGAAGGCCGACCAAATGCGACACCATGGGAGTTGAAACTGACCACTCCATACATGTTGCAACCAGATTTGGACGCCATCACGGGTCCAAGCAGCTTATGCTGCATCGATGCAGGCGTTGCTGGTGGTGCTTGCTGCGCTGCAGCAGCCATGCCTCGTCACTCAGCATCCCCCAGTTTTCCTTCAAACAAGGGCAAGGAAAAGGCGCCCACGCACACACCTTCAGACAACAAAGGACCTTGCAGGTGCCTAATGCCCTCTGTGAGTCAACCTCACGCGTTGATAAATGGCCTGTGTCCAACTTGCGCCTTTCAGCCTCGCCGATCTGCTGTGGCAGTGAGGCTTCTGGACGGTTCCAAGGGGTTCCGGTTTGCGGATACCTGGGCTTATCCTTTTCTTCCTTTCAAAACCCAGTGCTTGCGCAGGCTTGAACTCGGAAAGCCCGAAGTTGAAACACCCTCAGCATGGACCCCTCGCCAAAAAAAGGGATCCCCTTTTTACCCTCCCACCCTTTTCACATGGCACCTGACGTTCGGGGGGTCCTGGTTTGGACCATTTTCCTTTTAAGGGGAGTGGGTCCGAGCATAGGCGTCCCTTTAGGGGAAACAGATGGCCCTGGTAGATGATTAAACCACCAGGTAAACCAGGAATCGCCATCTATTTTTCGACCAAAACAACCAAAAAGGACACCTATCCCGAACGTCAGGTTCCAAAAGCCGGTGGGAAGGTGGGTGTGGCTCAAAATTAAACAACAGGGGCAAGCCGCAGGTTTTGGTCCATGTTTCCACTTACCAGGGCAACCCATGTAAAATTCCGGTTTTTTGAGCCACAGCCAGGATATCCATTTGGGGACACGCACGGATGCGCGGCTCGGCTCGGCTGAGGCCACTGAGGCCACTGCCCGTAGCTGAGACCGTCAGGCCCGCACGGCCGTTTTCCCGGCTCTCAGCGAATAGGCTGCGAAGTGAACCAGCGCCGCAGAAACCGCTTTTCAGGCCCAAGAGCTGGAAAACTTAAAACAGCACAACCCAACCCGTGGATATATATATATATACACACACATATATTATATATATACATATATATATATATATATGCGTATGTATATATATATATATGACCTATGTACATATATACATATGTGACACCCCTCCTGGTGCCCCCGCTTCTCCGCGTTCTAGCAACTTTTCAGGATTTGTTCATGCTTTTGGGCACCAAAGAAGGGGTTTGCCATAATTCTGAATACCGGTATTAAGGTTTCTTAGCACTGTCATGCAGTTTCCTTACTACCCGGTATTCAGAATGTGGATCCAAGATCCAAGATTCCTGGGAGACTTTTGAGGGAATCTTGGATCCATGAAATGCCTCCCGAGAACCTTAATACCGGTATTAAGGTTTCGTATTTTTCTTAACTCCGGGTATTAAGGAATCTGATCCAAGGTATTAAGGAATCTGATCCAAGATCTAAGATCCAAGATTGCTGGGGGACTTTTGAGGGAGATCTTGGATCTTAGATCCTTAATGCTGGTATTAAGGTTTCTTAGTACTATCATTGAGGACTCTGCTCCGCCTCTTTCTGCTCACAGCTGAGTCAAGCTGAGACATTCTCCGCCCGCTTTGCGGGCCTCACTGGGATGTCACTCCCTTGAAATCCTGCCAGAAGCACAACCACACCCGCAGCGCTTCCATCCATGAGGAAACACTGAGTTTGCCCTCAATCATGCCTCTCTTGAATGGGGGGATTGTTGTGAATGGTCACTGCGACGTTCCTGTATCGAGCCCGACAAACGAAAGCTGGCAAAACGAACTCATACGCTGACCAATATTCATGCCTTCCACCAGCTGCAAGCAACCTGCAAAATCCAGCAGTCGGTTGGCGCTTGATCTCAGTACGTTCTCGTCCATCCGAACAGGATTTTGTTCAACAGTACGATCTTTCTTGCACCTCGTCAACACAAACAGCAGAACCTCCAGTAAGAGCGGGCGGACAACAAACACACCTATATTTCGGGCGGCCATCACAGCCGTGACACGCACTCGGTCAGAAGCGAGCGAACACCATGTCTAAGGCGTGTTGGGACAGGGCGACGCATGCTTGTCCAAGCCAACGCCATGCTTGTGCAACAGGGGTTCTGGTGCTCCATGATCTGGCAGGCAACGGACTTTGCAGCCCTTCTTCCAATTTAACACGCTCAGCCTGTGTACAGTCGATGAAGCCGTCCCAAGCAGGGACACCCCGTCCTAGGACGCACAGGCTGATGTCTCCTGCAATTGTAGCCTGGTGCAGGATTCTTGGCCGACTGTTGCACGTGCTGCTCTGAAACAAGTAGCTGCCAAGCAGCATTGCTTGCCGTTCTTCTGCAGCCGTTTCGATATGGTTCAATCGCACTTCCTGGCAGAAACGTGGATATCAACTATAGGGAACCACGCGAAAAATGGGTGTTGGACAGGAATCCCCACCAAAATGATGTCCACCAAAGCGTCCCCCGATACACAACTCGCACCGCGGTCCTCCTCTTGAAGGAAGGCTGAAACTGCGTGTTCAGCTCCTTCCAAGCTGCGCTCAAGCAATTCGCACACATGTGCATGTGTTCACAAGCACACAGAAACAATCACACTCTTCCAGTTTCTGGTTTTCCTTTTGATGTCCCTTTAAAACGCATTTGCTGAGCCCAGGGTGTCGACTTTTTTGAGGCTCCCTCTTGGTGGTTTTCATGACAGGAACCTACCCATTTCTTTGAGACACACCCGGGTCGAACTTTGCTTTGGTCCGCCACTTTGCCGCCACTCTGCCTCAAAGAGCCCCGCCTTGCGACCAGAGCTTGGGCCAGGCAGAGGAATCCTCAGACCCAAAGAGACGGCAAAAAAAAGCAAAACAAAAAACAACAACAACAAACACTTATATAGCACATCCAACGATTTTTGGTAAAGCTCGTGTTTGGCATCCCCACCAGGTGCTGCAACTCTGCACGGGTGCCCTGGATCTCCTTGCGAATCGTCCGGATCGGATTCCCTACATCTGAAGGTTGATCAATCTTCCATTTGGTGCAGATCAATGGGTAACTCAGATGTAACTTTGCAGTTCAGCGCAATTTGGGGCAACTCAGTTGCTCAACACTTGGGGCCAGTAAAGAAACCCTGGCTCACTTTTCCCACGGACCAGTGGTTTTCTCCAAGCAATGGGCATCCCAGGCCAAGGACCCTTTGATCAAAGGCAAATCCAGACCCAAAGGCCGCAAGGGAAAAACCGATAGCCCGTCCCAAAAGGCGAAGCCGGGCGGAATGCAGCCCTGAAGCTTTGGGGGTTTTTGCCGGTTGAGCTTTACTTCGTCTTTTGTTTCGGTGGACGAAAGTAAATGGGCTGGAAGTTGAGCAAAGAGCCAGAATATGGGCAGTGGCATCGAGGCCTGCTTGAGAAAACTGAGGTGGCAACCTGCGCTAGCCCTTGAAGAGGGACTGATGGTTCAGCGATTCCATTGCATCCCACTAGAAACATGAGAACCTGGGTTGGGCTGGGGATACTTTTCAGAGTTGGCTGATGATTGCGTGCCGTGCTCGTTGGTGAACTAACTCACAAACTCGTTTTCAGACTGAGGAACGGGGCCCCAGAAAGGCTCTCTAAATCAGAGCCGGTTTCGTTCTTAGCCGAGCTTGGAACCCATCCTGGGGTGTCAGGGCTCCCGAAATTTCCCCCTTGAAACATCAGCCCACCAAAAGGAAGCCCACTTCACATTGGCCCACAAGGTCATGCTCAAAGCCACCCATACAGAAAACATAGGCTCAAATGCCCAGTGGCCAGAAAAACAATTCATTCTTTTTTGTTGCTGGTTGGGTTCAAAGGGAACCCTTCCAAAAAAAAAAGAAGGAAAAAGGGCACTGGGCAACTGGGTAGGGACAACTCGGCGTGGCGTGCGGATTCTCTGAACGCATCCGCTCCTGCAGCGCAGCTTCAGCCTCTCGCAGCTGCTGTCTCCTGAGATGGGCTCGAAAAATCTATGGGGGAGTTCTCAACATGGCGGACCGAGCGTTTTTCACTCTTTTTCGGGGGAACCGCAAGGCTTCCAGGAAACCACAATTTCTGGTTTCCTCTTTGACATACCCAGTCGCATGTCACTGGTCGCAGTCCTTTTTTGTTCAAGGTTGGAACAGGTGGATGCCCCCAGCAAGATGCTCACGAAACAGTAAGGGGCAAACCCACCTGATCTGACAGTGTGATGGGCAGCATAGTAGCAAAGGGTCAAAACAAACATCGGCGCTCAAATTCACATTCGCAAGTGAGGACAACTCCTAAGCAAATGGGCAGTCTGAGATGCTGGCACCCCTTGGCACGGCGTCGCTGAACCTGAGAGCCAAGTCATCAGCCCGCGGCTTTTTTACGTGGGTGTCTGAACGAGGGGTACCCCCCCAAACTGGGCGGGCTTCCCTTTTGCTTTTCCCTTTCAACCAAGGAAAGCATGGTTTTCTGGAAGAAAGACCCCCCCATATTTCTCTGGACAAGGCCTACGTCTGGCCTTGTGGTTGGACTGCGGCCACATGTGCGGCAGTCAGCAGCAGTGTCAGCATGCCATCGGAATCTCAGGGCGCCTCGCGTGCGACAAGTGTCATGCGCCGAAGCGCGGCCACGGAATGCTGAGCCTCAAACAAAGTGGTGGTATTTCTCGGGCCACGGAAATTCTACCAGCCAAGCAGGACACGGATGTTGCTGAGAGGCAAGCAAATGGAGCCAACACACCTGCAGGTCAAGCATGTGCAGCTCGTCTTTGTCTCTGCCGCACCTACCCCAAAGGCTCTTCTCCATTGAAAGCTGCCTATCTGTACAGAGTAATCTGGACGATCCCTGCTTTCTCATTCTCGATTCGGCAGTTCACGCCGCGCTACTGGACAAGCACCCATCATCTTGTCCAATCCAATCCCTCTCAAAATCACGTCTCGAACATGACAACTATGCACAGAACCAGTGGCATGAAGAACATGGGGCTGGACACTGCTACCAGACCTAGGGATCTGGTCATTTCACGATTGCAAATTTGAAAGGTAAATTTCAGCACCGCTGCTTGTCAGCAGTTGTGTCAAGTTACTCAGCTTGCATCTTGCTCTCACTTCACCGCCGGTGTGGCCGCAGCTGGTTTTTCCGCAGGCGTGGCCTGTGCACAAACCCTGAAATTGCGCCTTCCTTGGAAAACGCGAGGGGATTCGTGAGATGCCAAGCGGATTCTGCCATTTCATCATGGCTGCAAACACACAAGCCAATTTTTGGTTACACAACTGGGCTGCCCTCAGATCCCCCGCTAAAATTTTAACTGTTAGTGGGTTAAATGGAAACTACCACTAGACACTAAAAGGCTAAAAGGCTAAGGAAACGGATGGCTGGGAGCCACCAAGAAAAACCACAACCCCCCACGGACATGCCCCGACAAAGGCACAAACTGCAAGCGCTCAGAATCGGTGCCTTCAGAGACGAAGAGCCAGGGCGGCTCTGGGGCTTGGCAGAACCCAGCACGCCTGAGGCTCATGGCGTTCGAGATTTCAGGCCTAAAACGTGGCTGGGTCCCGCCCTATTTTCACTGAAAACTAAAACATGCCAAACTTCAGCCTGGCAAGTCGTGCGACTTCCGCCTTCTCCACCCTGTTTCCTCTTTGCCCGGTTTGCACACCGAACACATTTTCATTTATCACGGCCTTCCACTTTTACCTCAGCTCCCGACGTGCCGGGGGCTTCTTGGCCGCTGTCCCATCCTGGCGGAGATCGCTTTGTTAAAACCGGTGTGTCCTTGTGGCCTGTCTGCGCTGACTGTGGCTTACGGGATTGCTCAAACAAGCAAACAGAACCCGATTGCTCCGTAAGCCGGAGTGCAACCAATGGACTTGCGTCTTGTGGCTGGGCTTGTCCCATGTTGCGGGGGTCATTGCCATTGCTGGCTATGGCGGAGTGGTGGTACTCTGATGCTGGTGAACCTACTCTAGCAGCATCATTTTCAGATACTGAACACATTGAAAACTGGCAAGGCGAGGCTACCTGGACTTGCATCTCCTGATCATGCCATTCTTTTCATGGACTGAACTTAAGCTGCAGCAAGTCAGTAACGAGCAAAGGGCTTGTTAGTACCAACGGCACATAGATCGTGTATGATCACTCACGCAATCCCAACGGACAGCTTCCTTGATCTCAAAATGGTAAGATCAATCCAAGAACATCCCAGTGCACTGAGCACTCAAGCATCGGAGAGATCAACTTCAGCAGCCCATGCAGAGCCAAACTCCAGTGAGCAATCCGGCAGAATCCAGGCGCTTTAAATTTGCCAAAGGGTTTTGCAGCGGTTCAGGCGTTTCCTTCTCCCAAAAGCCCCTCGAGATCTGCGCTGACCCCTTTCCACCTTAATGCAACCAAGGTTGCTCTGGGAGAAGGTATCTTTATATATATATATATATATAAAGGTACCTTTATATATATATATATACACACTTGTACCAGACCCAGCATAGATCTTGGCGCTGCAATCTTGTATGTCTTTTATGGCGGGCAAGCTTATCGTTGCTGTCCCTGCCTGAGCCAACTGAGACAGGCCTCAGAAAGCAAGTCACAAAGGGTGGCCTCCCCACGTACGTAAAAAGGCATCATCTTCCGCAAGCAAAGCTTGCGCATCTACTCCATGTTAATCCTGTAAAATGGCAAGGGACATGACTCTAGCAGATGAAAACTCTGCCACCCAGCTTCTGCTCTTTGCCATCTTCTACGTATCCCGTGCACCCGAAACTGCCTTGGCATGGAAAAACCATCTCTAGACCGCAGAAATTAGATAAGCCTCCATTTGATCGGGCCAGAAGCATTTGCATACGTGCAGGCGACTGTAGCCAACTGAGTCATACTCAAAACCGATCGGTATTAAAATATGGTCGTAATCCCAGAACCATGCTTCAAGAATTAAGAAGGCGGAATTCCGTTTATGGCAAGGGGATTGTTGTTTTGATTGTGGCTCAACTGTCAGAATAAAGAGGAATCAATGTCGTTTCGAGTGCAACCTGTAATACCTAGAAGAGTAGACAAACCCTGCACCAGTTGGTAGGTGGCTTTCTCAATTGTTCATAGGGTTTTATCCATCCCAACTGCTGCACATTGCACTTTGAACATCCAGTCGTATTCACACGTGAACATCAGCCATGAGTCACCACATCACCGATCCGGCACTCACCAGGCATCAATCAACCAAACAGAACATCAACATGGGTGTGTCGTCTTTTAGGGGACCCAAAATGGTTGGTTTCCTTTGGGTTTTCCTTTGAATTTGAAAATGAACCAAACAAAAAGACAGCGATCCGTATGGTCCTCATTGCCTCGTGCAGACCAATATGCCCAGTGACAGAACTGTGCGCTTTGAGCGAAAATCATGAGCAATCACATTTGATCCTTACTGGACATGTGAAACACATATTCCCCGCCCCCTATCGGAGCCATAGCCCACGACCCTGAGGCCCGGTGCGAGGGGAGATCACTGGCTTGGCTTTCGCCTTCACGTCCTTGGTCTCCCTAGACCTCGGATACAGGGGTTCCTAGGCCCCTAGGTATTTACAACCACCCTGAAATCACAGGAACCCACTAGGCAAGCAGCTAAAGCACAAGGGCCGCCTGCCTAGGATCGTCGCAAGTAACCACATCAATCCATGGTTTGCGGAGGCTGTCACAGCCCGCAGTCCTGTGTAGGAGTTTGCAGAAATGAAGTGGGCACCAGGTCCCAAACAGTGGCTGAACTTGTGATTCTCGCACCGATGAACAACATACCCTGCATACTACATAATTGCCGCGGGTGCAGGTGAACCATGGCGCGCATCATGGCCGATTCTATAGTGCTGAAATTAGCTTGCCCGTCAACTTCAAGCCATATCGTGCACCCTATTCATACATATGACTTTCAGCTGACCCGAAATCTGCCAATACGGCATTTCCCTGCAAAAAGTCGCAATGAAACCATCGCCATGAAACCAAATGAGCCATCATCAGCACCCGTTTTTTTTTTTTTTTTTTTTTTTTTTTAACGGTGTACCCAACACCATGTAAAGAATGAATCCATCGGCGAAGGCACCCATAGGCATTCTCCCTCAATCCCTGGCTCGCAGCTTCTACCAAGAGCACGCCACGTGAAGTCCGAGCGGCGCAGGCGCGCTGGGCACGTTCCGAGCTGGCCTCTGACGAGGTGGCGCCCAGGCTGAGACCCCAAGATCCACCCCACCATGGGTTGTTAGGGAAAAACTGTGGAAGGACGAAATCCATTGCGCACCACGTTGAAACCATGGGAAGCCATTGTTCGTTGGTGTTTACAGGGGAATCATCATTTGAGGGTTTCTTGGATGGTGCAGGAGTTCGTCCATCCACACTACGAAGCCGTCGGAAATTGGTGGGATTCGTTTGGCGGATCAGAATGGCAAGGATTCCAACATGTGGCCCCGGCTTTGCCAAGAACACCTGGAACAGTGATCTCCACTTCACCAAAAGTCCGTGGATTGGAACCACAAATTGGTCTTGGCTGACGCGCACCGAGGCCCTCACGTTGGTGCAGAAGGGACGCCGGGAGCCTCGCGCGGCTTTCTCGCAACCACATGGCAATCGGTCTGCCAACTCCGCTGATGTTTCAAGACCCCGCCAGGAGAACCATTCGCGAAGTTACCATGATAGATTGCTACACTGTACACATTTAGGTCTAATTTGGCTCCTGAAGAAATCCGGAACCTTGATCAGCCACAAGTAGGCTTGTCCACCAAAATACGTTCTCCCAAACATCGGAAAAAAGGGAGGGAAAAACAAACGCAAACAAAAAGAAGAGGTGCTTTGCATTTGGACCCCCTTTCAAGGCTCAACGGCTACCCGCACAAAAGCAAAGAAGTTCATATGGCTGTTGTCAAAACCGTTTGGGATCCCATTTGGGGGTTTCGGTGAATTCACCACCCATTTTAGAACCTATTTGGCTGTGGCTCAGAAAAAAATGTGCCAACATGTGCCATTTTGGTAAATGGAAGCAAAGAGTAAAACCTGCGGTTTGCTGTTTAATTTTGAGCCACACGCATTTGGGCTACGAACATGGGGATTTTGGGGTCTCATTTGACCCAGTCCCGCCTTCCTGGGCTCAGCTCCTTGGCTGGGGCCTCAATCGTGCAGGATCGCTTTGACGTAAACCTCGTGGGTTCCTCACCCCAATGCGTCACTCGCAATCAAAACCCGGAATTCAAATGCTCGTAATCCCAAAACCACGTAAAGAAGCAAGGCGGAGATCCGCAGCGATTTCTGGCTGGGACTACCCCTTAACTTTCATCTACCCCGGGTTTTGATTGTGGCTCAAACGCGCAACCCCCTGAATTTGAGTCTATCTTGGGGAAGTCAAACAGTTTGAACCCCGCACCGAAAAACAATCTGGACGAACTCAGCCTCCATCAAACATAGGGCGGTTTGGATGTTGTTTTTTTTCCCCAGGTGTTTTGGGGTGGTTTCCCGCCTATTTCTCTGCAAGAATCCCAGGTTTCCAAATCCCCAAACCACCAATCCCAGCCACCAACTGCCTCACAAACTATCCTCTTTCCAATCTTGGAAGTGGGCCAGAGGGCTTTGGCAAACCATCCGTTGCAAACACATAAGCAACACCGGCCTCATCGCCTTTTTTTGCTTTGTTTTTGTGCGGGAGTTCCAAACCAACCAAAACCAAAAAAACATGCGGAAAGTTCCAATCAAACAATCCGAAGAAGAACAACATGTGTTGTGTTTTTGGAAGAATAACACAAAAATGGGGAAAACAACCACGACACGAAAAACTGAGGCCTGCGCCCTTCGGCTCAGCTTTGGGCTTTGCACCAATCAACCGGGCGGCCAGGGGCTTGCGCTCCTCTTTCCCTGTGGGCTCCTTGGCCTGACTCCGGGAAGCAGATCAGGGATCCTTACATACACCTGAACATTGCAACTTGTAAATTGTGTTTTCTCCCTGTATTTTGGCGTTGGCAAAGCCAGCCATGTTTCAAATGGTTGCAAAATGGAGATCTTTTAAGGAGCCCTGCAAATGGGGCGGGACATATTGAGGGAATGGACCAAAGCCTAGGGGGTCCATATGGCGTCTCAAAATAGGGAGCCCTTTTTGTTTTCTTTTTTCCCCCAACGGCTGAAAGCTTTGGGGTCTCAGCCCAGATAGGTTCCAAAATGGTCCGGGGCGGCGCTGAGGTAAGCTTCCACGAGGGTTCCACCAGGGTTCCACGAGGTTCTGCGAGGAGGACTTTGGGGTGGTGCGAGCACTAAAAAGAGCACCGCATGCTGTTGGGGATATCGCCTGAGTTTTTTTTTTGGGGGGGGAGGCACAGTAGCAATTTGTGATACACACTTTTTGACATATCCATGTTTGACGTGCTTCTTAGGTATGGCTGTAATTTTTGGTTGTAGTGGGCATCCAACAGGAAACCAACATGAAGCCACGGCCATGCCTTCGCCATATGCCGAGCATTCTTCTCTGCCAAAAACTTGGCCTTGGCTGACACTGCCGAGGCGAACGCTGCGTTGACGCAATGGAGCAACCGGCCTGCTTGCGCTTCGCTTCGATCTGCTGCGCCTGTCGCTGTAAAGGTTGATTCTGTCTGCCCCTTGTCCGTCTTTCGGTAGCAAGCTAGCACTCCCTCCAATGAATACACGCACGCACAACAAGATCAAGACTCACGAATTCCTTGGTCCTTTCACTTGAATTGCGTTGCCTCGATGTCGGCAGTGCTTAGAGCTGCCCGCGTCGCCAAATTCGCACGCAAAGTTTGGCTTGATGAACCTGCCGCGTGAAAGCTGTCAGTGAAGCATATGCTTGAGCATGATGTCACAAAACCCGGTTTCCCCCTTTGCAAAGGAAGCACATCTACTTTTGGAGGTTCTCTGGAACATTCAATTCAGCAATTCTGAAGGCACGACATACAAACAAGTTTTAAAGAAGTGGTTCAGCTTTTTTCGACAAACAAATCCTTGAAAGAAACACCACTCCCTGCCGAGATTTGATGGGATCCAGGCCTGGTCGCGAAGCTTTCAGGCCCGGTTCTGCCTGCAATGGGCTCCCTTCAGACAAATGGCCCGCAATTCCTCCCAAGGGTTTGCCGACGATCTAACAGCCGAGGAATAAGGCACAGAGCCTTGAACAATTCCCGCACAAGGCACACAATTTCTCAGCGACAAAAGGACCAGAGTACAATTGATGGAGTCCTGTCATTCTCGGAGCCTTGAATCTGCAAATGCAAATGCCTCTAGTTGCCCCTTGCGGGGACTCCCGTGAAACATCACCCTTGAAACGCACTTCAGACACAAAATGGTGGCTGGAAGAGACTCCTTGGCAGTTTGAAGACGCAGTGGCCGTGTTCGTGGGGAGAAAAAAGTGGCCGAAGCTCTGCACAGGTGTCTTGATTCTCTGGCAGAAGACGCTTCTTGCTCAGCTGACATGGCTCAACGTTCGATTCTGCTCCCAGGCATCATCCCGCCCCAAAACCACTGCTACCATCTGTTCGGCTTGCATGTGCTTGTTCCTGGAAACACATAGCTCATGCAGTATCTTAAAGGTTGCGGCTGGCCTTCTCAGATGGCCGTGCGAGGTTGCTCACGGAACGCGCAGACTTCGCAGGTGCCCGAACCTGCGAATCGATGGACGTCACCGCGCTCCCTTGGGCTGGTTCGCGTGGTGCAGATATGATTTTGCAAAGAACCCGGCAAATACCAGGCTGACTGGAAACAAAGGAATCCGGAGCATGGCATAGGTCTCTGTCTTTCCTCAATCTGCAAGGCAGCTTGTGGCATGTAGCATGCTAGCAAAGCAGGTTCCTGAGTCTTTGTTGCTGTTGGCGGAAGCTTCGAACAAGACTATCACACCTGGACACTTAGGATCTATCAAGCCTTCGGCGAGTGAAGCCACAATGCCCAGCTTGCAGTACTCACACTCCGAAAAGCATGGTGCCTTTTGGTGCATTGAGGGTTAGTTGCCGGGAGCGGTCTTATTGTGAACTCGCAGTTTTTCCAATTTTTTTGAGGGGCATGTCATGTTGTAGAACGGACACCTAAAGGAAAACCACCCTTCAGCTTCCCTCTGATCGGTGGTGTGGATTGGTGGTTTGGTGTTCTGGGGTGGTTTGTTCCATTTACCCGCAAGAACCAGGGGTTCAAATCCAACTCCAAACCACCCAGCCAAACAACCAAGGGTTACGAGGCTTCCGACTCAAAACAACCCCTGAACCCCTGCTGTAACTCTCTCCCGCGCAGCCTGAGGCAAGGAGACGCCCAAAGTGGGCGAGCTCGCGGCAATGCCCCTCGCGACAGTTTTGGGTGACAAAGCCCCTTGCCGGAAGCTTTGGCAAGTGCTTCCACGTGTCCTCTTGCTACCAATCAGCAAGCCCCTAGGTTGCATTCAACACAGCTGCTTGTTTTGCCTTCTTTTTGTCGGCCGAAGACAAACACACCACTCCTAGTCGACTCTCCTCCACACAAGTCTACAAGTCTGAGACCTTCCACGCGCCTCACATCTCGCAGACCGGAAGGCTTCGCGGCCTTGCAGCTGACGAGGACGGACAAAAACAAACAGGAAGCTGACAACCCTGTTCTACCCTCCCACCAGCCCACATGGAAGTGCACACACCCCTGTAGAAAGACTACTTTCCTCTTTGAAAGGGCCTTTTTGCACTTCCATCTTAGTTGGTGGGAGGGTACATCCTTAACAAACCACGCTCCTCCAACACCCCCCGGACAGTCTTGTAAAAACAAGAAGCGCCATCCATCGATCCCTTCCAGTTGCGCAAAACATTGGCAGTTTGTCCATTTGGCCATGGGTCAAAAGCTCGTACCCCCAGTGAACATCCCAATGCCCACTAAAATAGGTTCCAAAATGGGTGGTGCACGTATCCCAAAAATGGGACCAAAACGGTTTTGACAACCACAGCCATTTGTCAATTTTGCCATGGCGAACCGGCCTGCGCCTTCTTCTCAGGCGCCTTCTCTGCCTTTTCCTTGAGCTTCTGAGCCTGCAGATCTCTTCGCCGATTCTTCGAAGCAAAGTGGCTGTGGGTCAAAGCCAATGGGATCCCATTTTGGGGTAGGTGAATTCACCACCCATTTTAGAACCTATTTGAGTGGGGATTTGGATGTTCACTGGGGGTGCGATTTGGATTTTGAAAAGCCCATGGCCAAGTGGGCTTAGCCAACGCCGGCTCTATGTTCCTAGCCTGCCCCACATTTCTTGGAGCACGGCAGGGCGGCCACAGACTTGCAAACTTGCAGCCCCACACGCCACCTTCGGCTCAACGAGCGCCAAGGGACAGTTGCAGGTGGAGCTGTGTGACGCGGGCTGCGTTTCAGCTGCACCTGCCAGCGCAACTTTGGCCAACGTCTCGGACATCGTTTAAGGTGCTTTGATGTCCACCAGCCACATTTGAGGCGGTTCCTTATAACAAAAACCTAGCCATACATGATGAACCCCGGAATGCACCTGGTCCATGAAGGGCTCCACTTTTTGACTACTCCCACTTTTCGACCTTTTAAACCCAGTGAGTCATGTGCCCCCCAAAACAAGCGAACCCTCCTCCAGTAGAGAGGTTAGAATAAGGGTACCCGATTTTTGTTCTTCTTCGGTAGTCTATTTTAGTAGGGGAACCCAAACCCCCCCCCAAAAAAAAAAGGTGAGAAAGGCACCTAGCTGGGCCGGGGGACCTAGTTTTGAGTCTCCAAAGACCACGCCCATCTGTGATTTGGGGCAAGATTTCTCCCACCGGTAAAAGGGCACCTAGCTGGGGGACCTAGGCGTAGTCAATGGAAGGACCTTTCTGCCTCGCAGTTGCTATCCCGCCTTGGGAGCTGCAGCCGGCGCTCGCTCGTCACCCCTCACCTCGCAGTCGCACGCGGTCTTGGGGTCTTGGCCAAGCCGGTGGTAACATTCGAAGACATAGCTGGGGTCAAACTAAGGGCTTCTGACCCATGGCCACATGAATGAAACATGAGATAATGCTCATACTGGAGAGGCCAACTTTGCAAAGCTGGTTTTAACACTGGAGAGGCCATCTTTTCAATAGGCAAAGCTCACACAACAAAATACAACGAGCACAACTGCAGAATCTCGAGAGTGCCAGCACTGTCGGCATGAGTTTAGCTATTACAAGTGTCGTTTGATACGAGAGAAATAACTACTGCAGAGCTGCTTCGACTTTTTGCGCTCGCTCCTAAAATAAATTGCAGTAATAGCGCCTTGCTAGAGCACAACCCAGTACTCCGATTTTTTGTGAAAAAGAAGACACAACCAATCACCAAACATTGATTAGTTTGGCCGTGTGAAGGAGGACTCTGTCGATACACTTCTCGCCGCACCATCAAACCAACGCATTGGCCATATCTGCCACTGCGTTAGGGCCAGAGCTTGCTCCCTGGTACAACTCGGACGCACACTGGTTCACCTTCTGGGACCATGACGCCAACACGTCAAGCAGCACGCCCGGCCTGTGTCACTCCCTTCGGTGCGATCGCGGCGGCGCTGGTTGCCGTCTGGGCCATTCTGGGCCTTAAGCCGCAGCACCGAACCGGCGCCCAAGCTTTTTGGTTCCTCATACAATTTTTGGCCGATTCGACGTGGCAACGAACCGGAGCGATTTGCAGATGTGCGAGGCACTTTGCATTTGGTAACAACTCTTGGGACTGCACAAGCAATGGACAGGGCAAGTCTCACCAGCTACGTGTCCATGAGGCTCTGATCCATGCTCCGGGTGCTGAGGCCTGGACATCACCCAGGTTCCCACAGAAGGCATGTGCCGCCACTCTGCCTCGGATAGAAGCGATCTAGTCTCTTGCTGAAAGCCACAGCCCCCTGCCTTCGGCGGCGGCTTTGGAGCAACTTCCTCACAGGTGGGTTGAACAAGTGAAAGTAAATCCCCTGCTCCATGTTCATGCGGCGTATTGCGGCGTGTTCGTGGCTCACCACAGACTCAACCAGCTTGGCCCCCCGGCCTCCGTCTTCATGGCAAATCGATTGATTGCCCAAAGGGTTGCTTCACCCAAGGCCTGCACGACTGCCAGCAAAATGCGGAACAAATCACCCAACATCGCTGTGAAGTGATTGGCATTGCTTTTCAGCCAGGTTCCGTGCTTCAGCAAACCTATCGCAGCACCTGGCCGCTTCCCAGAACTGGCCTGTTGGATCCTGTCTTAATGGGGTGCTTGTTTTTGACCCACTGCCAAATAAGGAATTCGCCCCAGGGTCAATCAAGCTGACAGTTGTCCGGCAGCGCCTCCTGACTGTCAGACATCTCGGGGCTCCGTCGAACGCCACAGATTTCTCAGACGCTTGAGCCCCCGCGCTGCGGAGCCCATCAAGTTGATCCCTTGCGCTTGATCTACCAACACATGGCTCCCCCCCCACACCTTTCAATTTTAGGAGAGATTCGCATGCACTGTCCGATAACCATGAGCAAATGAGGAAGTTGTTCCAACACAATTCAACCGGGGAAGGCAAACAAGTAGAACAGTTGTAGCGATAAAGGAGCACTTTACCCATTGTTAAAAGAACTGGGCCAGCACAAAGCGTACTCAACCAATACAAACCAGCATGAATTCTGAGACCTTCGCATCATTTCTGCTGCTTCAAACCATTACTCGGAAATAGCATAATTTCGAGCTAGGGAAGAGGGGAGTCCATTTACACGAGAACTGAAGAGGACCGCAGACTACTTGGGCAGGTGCTGAAGCATGCATTGCTGGACAAACAGCTCGCATGCAATTATATTCACATTGCTTTTCTGCGCTCGTTAACACATCCAATCCGCAGGATTGGGCGAGGGAAGGGTCACTAGGACATCATCCACATCTCAGGGTTTTCAGAACCAAGGCCAAGAAGCGACGACCAAAGGACTTCAACAATGACTCTGCTGTTTCGTGACGACCTGTCAACTGCAAACGCCACTCGTTCGTAGAAACAATCATCCTTCCTGGGACTTGTGGTGATCCTATGTACAAAGCTGCATCTGGGCAGCTTCAGGCATGTTGTACTGAAGCCCCAAACAACAGCATGTGCCGGTGAAACGTTTCATGCAGGTCGCGCCTGCCGCGACTTGGCCTGCACCCTAGGCCAACCCTTTGGCTTTTCTCAACCCGCGCGGGCCTTCATGGGCGATGCCTGAAGGGACCCACCGGGAACGTCAACTTTGGGAGTCCAGCTATGTCTCGACTCTGCCGAGTGCAACACCACAAATCGGCGACCCAAAGAAGAGAGAGAAAAGTGGGTGATTCAGTGTATGTTCGGCGACTTCCACTAAATCAAGTAACCTTCATGCTCTTCCATTTGCTGAAGCCCCCTGAAAAAAAATGCAAACCTATTTCCAGTAGTGATAGATTCCCTTTCAAACCAAGAGGACCAAAATACAAACACATTCTTGTGTAAGCAAGCTAACCAAAAAATACCAAAAGGCAAACGGAACCCGAAAAGAAAGCACCCCTCTGTTCATCCACGGCACATTCCATTTTGGTCAAGCATTTCTCACCCAAGCCATGTGTCCACCTGTTCCAACATTTGCAAAAAGTATTTTTGTCAAATGTGATAGATTCCCTTTCAAGCCAAGAAGGACCAATATACAAGCACATTCTTCTTGGTAAGGGGAGCAACAATTTAAATTTTAGCAGCTAAGTGGGGATTTCCCACTAAACCGCAACAAGCAAAAATGTAAAATGTTTCCCAACGACAACCATGTCTTAAGCCAATGGATTCTTCAAATCCACTCCGCCTGAAAGGCCCGCTGCTGCACTCTCTGCAGTGCTGCAGAGCCTCTCTCCATGCGCTGGGCTTCTTCCTCTCGCTGCTTGGCCTGAGCAGCCAGCATTTTTGGAGGGTACCCCATTTTCTTGCTTTTTGGAGGCTACCCATTTTTTTGGTTTTTTAAGGGGTGCCCCATTTTTTTGAGGGTACCCGTTTCATTTGTTTTTGCTTTACCTGTGAAATGGCTTCGAAGGAGAACAACAGCTCTCCTAAGTTCAAAGACAGTCTGGGTTGGCAACCACGCTCGAACTTGGTACACGCCAAGGGGGCAGCCAGCGTGCTTGGAGCGGCGGCTGATGCGAGGCCAAGCCCCTGCTACCCCCTGTAACGACAAGAGGGGCTTGCGCCAAGCCCCTCGGAATGGGTTCACACAATATCCTTAAAACATACTCATACCCAACCAGGCCTCCAAAACAGGCGACCGATTCCGGATCAAGGCTCTCA